TCGTAATTAATTATTTTTTAATCTACTCGATGCGTATTATCGTATACGTACAGATGGTGCAGTTAGTATATTTGTTTCTCTGTCTAAAACTAGAAGAAAATTAAATTTTTAATTTTGTCTATCCCATTGCGCTCTACAAAGTTAATGAAACATATAGCTTAATTCTCAAAAGCATACATATCACTATGCGTAAATTAAAATAGAAAATTATCATTAAATGTTATATTAAAGCAACTGATTGCTGACAATTTTGAACCAGACTCGCTTATTTTATTGTTATACCGTATAGTAATGACATCATTATTATTTCATATCATATACCCGTATACCAGCTAGATTTCATAATATCTCATAGCGAGATAGATTTGACTTATGACTAGTTAATCATCCGTGTACTGATAACATAATTTTGATAATTAGAGATTTTACGTTTCGTTTTAATAGCATCGTTAGTATTTGCTATAACTACTTACACCATACAGAATTTTCCATTATTCATCAATGACCATTTTAGTGGTGCGACGGATACTGAATAGAATAGAAAATTATAAGCAAAGTTGAAGATTTATAAACTCAATTTATAAATTTGTTGGTTTTTATTAATATACTAGGAATAATTTTGATACAATGTGCAAATTTCCGATAATTTCTTTGTTTATACTATTAATTAATTTATCACAAGCTGAAACTGTTAGATTTACTTAACTCCTCTACGATAATTATTGTCCATATTATTAGTATACTGTCAATATGATAACCAACCGCTTTACTGAACTCTCTACTCGATAAAAGTTTTCGCTATTATATATGTATGTGCCACCTAAGCAACCGATACTAGTCAGTTTAGTAGCAGAATATCAAGTCGAAATATTCTTGCACTTATAAAGTTTCTTTCAGATAGCAATAGAAGACTAATAGTAAGCTAAGCTTGAGCATTATGTAATATAATCACAATTTATAACTAATCATCTATTTTATTGATAACCTTCTCTTACACCTAAATCCTGCTACGTTACTTAATCATTCCTTTAAATCATTATATGCATTGAGATAGCCGCTGAACTAAACCGAAATTTCGTCTACTCTTAGGTAACAGTAAGAAAGACTAACGAAATTTGCTGAGTACTATATATGAGGCAGTATATCATAATTGATAACTCGTCACTAATAATTTTCACCTTTTTGTAGCGGTAAAGGCAAGGGTTATAAACTAAATTGGAAATATATATTCAAGTTACTTATTATGAACAGCTATAGTCCAGGAATTATTATTCTTATACCTCAGTTTTGATTTGTACTTTCTGGAGTACAAAAGGACGATAAGTTTGATTTACAATTTTAAAATAAGAGCCTGTTGATTCAATCTAATTATCATGGTTCAACTACATCGTAATAGAAGCATGTAGACTACTGTGCTAGTAGATCTCTATCTATATAAGTGATAGGGTTGCTAGATTGTTAATTATAGCTTCTTAGGCAGGTGATTGCTTGCTTTTTAACTGCCTTTTATGTAAGTGTACGAGAGATTAGTAGTATCCATTTTTGGAATAAAGCTTATAATAAACAACTAGAGAGCTAGTTTAATTATAGAAATCCAGAGACGAAAACCAATTTTACATTGTTTTATAAGACCAAGAATAGCTCACGATACAACGGTGTACAACTTTTATTTGAGGATAAGATCATGCCCAACGAGAGAACTGAGAAAGTACAATTTGTGTAATTAAAATGTGTTATAATCGTCAAAGTAGAAGCTACCAGTGTACTGCATTTGTTCAAATGCAAAACACTAGAAGCTACAATTGTAAGTTAAACCTATTAAGTAAAACTCCAAGGATTCGAACAAAATTTGGTAAATAATCCTTACAGAACTGTTACAGGAGTAAGATTGTTAAAGAATAGTTTGTTGTAAAATAGAGCGAAAAGATTTGTAGGCAAAGGATTGAAATACATTTTACATACTTTTCCCTTTAATTTTTGAATTGAAGATGTGGATGGATACTTGCAGCTGCAGCAGCTGAGTGCAACAAGAATTTCCTACTCGCACCACTGTATGGAAAAAAGTCTTTGGCTATAGAATGTTGTACTATGCATTAGTGTTTTGCATCGCACCTCGCAGCATTGCAATTGTTTTTGATTTCCCTTTGATACCGGATACAGTAACATAGAAATAAGATTGAAAAGTGAGTCTTGGTTAGCATATTTTTACTGATAGTCTAAAGCCAGTGGCCTTTTCCATCCATTAACCAAAATTTATGCTTAACATATACGCATAAGATGCATTATTTATCCTTGTTTTTGTTGAATTCTCCTTTTACTTATGAATATCTGCATCGATATTATGGCTTCTGGATTTACAGAAACGCTTTGAAACTGGTGTAAGACCTCCATTATAAGACTGACTAATACCTACTATAACACTAGCTATAAAACTCCAAGCCGTTAAATTAAGGACTTAATTTGATGTAATGTACTTTGATAAGTCAACGTACAACTAATAAAACCCAATAATCAATTACTCAAGTCATCTATGGCAGTTTATATATTATGTCGTATTAATTTCATTATATAATGTCCTTAATATATTATTACAATTTCGCTTACTTTAATAGTTTAATGAAGGTACAGTATTATGTAGATTTATCATTGCGCTAATGGATAAGTTAAGCCTAATAAAGACTGGATATTTTCCGGCTAAACATTATTATTTGTATTTTGTTAACCACGCAAATCATAGCTTCGTTGCTGAATTACACTGCTGTATTGTTTTCAGTAATTCCATAGACTAAAGTGGAATTCTTAAGATTAAAGTGTATTTAATAGCTCGTCATAATGAGAAAGCGATAACACAGAAATCACTTCAAATAGTCATTAAAACGTATTTGATCTTAAGCATCAATTAATATTGGAGTACAACAGTTACCGATAGGATTTGCTTTAAGTTACATATGTTAGACTTTTGCTGTTCATTTACGAAGTGCTATAAAGAATCTTTTGTAAGCCTATCATATCTGAGGGTACTAGAAACCTTAAAGTATCGTTATGTAATTATATATGTTAGAATATTGGGTACGGGAACGCTGTCATAAGATTAAGATTGAAAAGGCAATGCAACACGAACTGGGAATAGCTTAATTAGAAACAGCCAAACACAACAAAGCTGTATCAGTAGTTTATCTTAATTTAGTAAATTTCATTTTGATAATTGTCTATTTCATAATGCATCCTATTTCTTGACGGAATAAAAATATCTGCAGGTACAACGAGTTCAGTGTTATTCGCATCGATCAAACTAGTACTTAGTTTTTTACTTTCGCGTGCAGAGGGAAGATCTTCGCTGTCGGTTGTTCCTTTCCGTTTTTCGAGTTCATTGATGGATTGCCATTGTAAATTTCAGATTTTACAAGCTACTTAAATAAGTTTATTACTTCGATAGGCATCACAAATGCTTCTTTAAAGAAAATCGTTAATTGTTTTATTTTGTCTGATAAGGTTGCAAAGATCAACTTATAGAGCTTAACTATTATGTTTCATGTCGCTTTAGGATAAGATTACGTAATATTTTTTTCAAAATATACAGTCTTTATCTTCTATTAATTCGTAGACATTTTTCCTTTCCCATCTCTTCATGGCTTAGTAAGATCTGTTTCACCATTTTTTAATTAAAGTAACCATGGATTTGAATTGTGATATATGTAAATAGATGGGTGATGAATGTAATATTTACGAAAGATTCGGAACGGCATTGATTAAACTCCTACTGAAATCTATAAGTAACATTATCATCTGCCATCCTATTATTCCCGAAGGCCTAGCAGCAATTAATCTTGTTTGTGTCGCCTCTGTTTAAATATTGAACTAAAAAAATAACACCAAATGAACTGACCAGCGATCCAAAAGTAATATAAAAATTGTTTCTCTTTACTTTTGCAATATGAATTAGGCTTTGCAAAATTTCTATTTCACATTTAATCCCTAAAAGTTTTACAATAAAGATGAATGCTTTACCCTACAAGTAGTCAATATGAAACGATTTATGAGGCCAGCAATAATTTCATTGACTTTAATTCATAAATTTATCGGTCATTCTGATAGAATTTTCAGATAATGTGATAGTATTTAATAAAGAAACCACTTACATCAATTCGATTGATTTATTTTAAATTTCAAAATAATAAGTAATCAGACGACACAGCAAGACATTTTCGACTATCGTGGGAATAATTAATCATTTCACTATTGGCTTTCCTTAAATATCTCAAGAATTGTTTACAAATAACTATGAATATCCTACTGTAAACTACTTAAACTAGTTCAGAGATTTGTAAAGGTTTAAGATTTATAGTTTATATATAGTTGACATTATATATATCTATTTGTTGATTAACAGTTTACGCTTCCAGGCTACGACCGTACATTTTATTCTTGTCAGTTCATTAATGTAGAAAAATTTCGAAACTAATCGATGGTTATAATTACGAGTTATGAAGAATGATGATAAATTCATTTATGTCATATAGAAATAGAAATAGGAGATCTACGTTAATACATCGACATTCTTAAATGGTTGCATATAAACTATTTGTGTCGATATGGAAGTGCTTATTTAAAGGCACCGACATATTGATTATTTTGTACTTTTACTTATTTATTGAATAACATGATATATGCTAACCAATCATTACACTAAATTAATTCAAATGTAAATATTAATTTTGATCTACGGTACGATGAGATTTGTTAAGACAATCGCGGGTAATCTAGCACGTGATTCCAATCATTGATTGGATCAATTCAGATGTAAATGTTAATTGATTCTACTGTACCGCATCACCAGAGTTGATGAAAGTCATGAAAAGACTAAATAATTATACAGTAATTGTTGATATGAGTACATACTCTTATATTACAATCTAGTCGAATTAGTATTGGAACTATACCTATCGCCATTTAATTTAGGCAGGTGTAGAAGTTCAGGCTGCACATAAACCATCGGAAAAATGGACGAGTGGCTCAACAAGGATGATATCGGCTATTTGTTATATACCAAGTATAAGGGCCTTCTCAATGACAGCTTCGATGATATCTTACCAGCCGTTGATGCTCCCGATAATATTAAAATGAATCTTTTAGTCGAGCGAATAAAATTTTCAATCAAGAGTAAAAGTCGCTTCATCATTGCCCCTATAGTGTTTAAAACGAAAGAATGGGTGGTATTAATTATCAAGCAAAATTTTCCGTTCAAATCACTACTTTTCTATTTTGATTCACTTGGCACAAATAAAAATAGATTACAGGTAGTTAAAAGTATCATCGAACGAGCTATTGCTGGACCTAAATCAGACATTATCGACTTATCATTTACCGAGCCATTACAGAAAGATAAAAGTACATGTAGCACACGAATGCTGGAAGCTATTCACGCTATTATAGACGAAAGTTACTTAATTAATCACGTAAAGAAATCGATTTGCAAGGCTTTAAAGAACTCTGATATCAAGGGAGATCATGAGGAAATCCTAAGAAATTCATCGAACAACGGCTTGCTCAAAGATACCATAGATCACTCTCTTAATAGCAGGTATCTCATTTCGTATCATTTATTACCAGTAGTAGAGATTAATATTCTATTACCAGCCTGCTTACAAATCAAAGATCATAATAAGGATAAACGCTTTATTATTGTCCCAATCCGGTTTGGGGATCGTCATTGGGGTGTGTTGGTGATTGATCAAATATTTCAAACGAAACAAAGTGTATTCGTTTTTAGCTCGCTAGACGAGAAGGATCCAAACTTTAGTGTTGTTAAAGAAATCGTTGATCGGTCCTTTAGCAATCCCAAACTTATTAACTTGGTTACGGTGCCGTGTAAGCAAATGAGTAACGATAGCACTTGTGGTACGCTGCTATTAGAAGCGATTAAAATCATTATACAAGCAAGACAGGCCAATACTGATGAGAATCAAATTAGGACGATTGTAGGTGACTGTTTGAAGAAAATTCAGATCAAGAAAGTTCATTCCCTTAACGTCCATATAAGTAAAGTTTCCCAAAAGCCAGATCAAAAATTTCTTAACGATACGACCATACTGGATTTGTTAGCAAATTGGGATCAATCAGATAGTTACCACATCTTACCAGTAATTGTTGTAAACGGGAAACCGTTTGTTAAAGATAATCTTCCAACCCGCATAAAGCGAAAGCGTTTTACTATTTCACCTTTCAAATTGAGGAATGATCACTGGGTTGCACTGGTTATCGATAAGAATTCTCAGTCTTCGTACTTCTTTGATTCACTTGGGCAAAGTACAGAAACTCAAAGTGTCGTTAAGAAGTTTATGACTGAAAAATATCGCAATTGGAATACCATTGACTTGTCATCAGAAGAGCTAAAACAGGAAGAAAATGCAACTTGTGGTACGTGGATGTTAGAAGCTATTAAGGCCATGATACAAGCAATAAGTGGTAATTGTGAAGCTGAATATATGGTAAAAGATTCTGTTCATCGCTTTTTAAAGATGGCTAACATAAACAAAATTCATATCGATAACCTTACGAAGCAAAGGCAGTATAGCGATGAAAAAGATAAAGATGTTATAAATGATGGTTACCTGGGCATAGATGATTTACGACATTTATTACATTCCAGTTTGATTCCGTATAAAGTTTTGTCAGCAATGACTGTTAAAGACAGCAACTTATCCAAACTAATTATAAAATCAATGAAAAGCAACGATAAACACTGTATCATAGCGCCTATCCAAATCGAAAATAATCACTGGGTAGCATTGGTGATTAAGCAAAATATTGGAGCCAAACCTTCTGTCTTTTATTTTGATTCACATTCAACATATGAAGATAATTTACGTGATATTCGGCAAAATATTGATCAGAATGGCAAGAAATTTGATATTGTTGTCTTAGAATTCAAACGGAATAATCGCTGTAATTACGCTTGTGGTATACAGATGATGGAAGCTATCAACTGTATTATCAATGAAGTAGCGAATGGGCCAACAGATGGACAAATAATAAAAGTCAATGTATGCAAGTCTTTGGCTAAGAAGAATATTGAAGAAATTCATAAGAATAACCTTCAAATTAAAAATGTTAAGCTATGTGAAGGCTTCTCGGACAAAGAGTGTAGAAAGCCAGGCTACTTGGTTCGAATGCAATTTATGGATAATAAGACTAACGTCAAGAATCTTCACGCCCCATTCTGTTGGCGTAACATTCCTAAGCTAGCCGTTATTACAGGTAAAAATGGTTGCGGTAAAACAGCCCTCCTAGATGCAATACGACAAGGACATGATACTAAAACTGATAAATCAGTTAAACAAGATTATGGTATTGAATTAGATGTTAGCGGTGATTCAGGATGCAACTTGCCTCAGATATATGCTCATAGTGCCGACTCGAAATTTGTAGGCAGTAGTATGAGAACTTATGGAGATTCTTACAAGGCATCCGAGAACTCAAATGACCTAGCTTTGGATTTAATTTTTTATAATAAATCCAAGAAAGAACAAAAGCCATACACTTTGAAATTTCCAAAATATGAAAGTCTTTTTGACCAGATTATAAAACAAGTTGATGATATGGATAAATTTTCATCAATTGAGAATTTAGGCCGCGATTATCAAACAATATTTGATCATGAATTAGAAGAGTGCATTAATGGCCAAGTAGGCTTGCACTTAACATCCTATGCCACTCTGGACCAATACCCAAAATATTTACTGGAAAATGGTACCAAGTTACAAGATTTAAATGATCATTTAAACCGAAATGGTTTTAAATATATTTTATCTAATGATTGTTTGGAAAATGATAAGTTTAGTCAGTTAATGTTAAATATAGAGAGTGATTCCAAAAACATTAAAAGTGAGGATCTATCTCCTGGTGAACGTTTAGAATTACTAACCCTATTATGGCGATTTGAAACAAAAGTTTGGAAAAAAAGTAATGTAGGTGCAATCATTTTACTGGACGAACCAGATGTTCACCTCCACCCTGGCTTAGTCAAAGAAATGATCGAAACTATTAAAACTAAATTGATATCTAAGCTTGATATTCAAATTATTATGACTACTCATAGTCCAACAACTGTCAGTCTTGTACCTCAGGATAGCATCTATATTATTTCTGAAGATAGCTCTAGAAGGAAACAAGTCAAGATTGAAAAGGCAAAAAGCAAGGAGCAAGCGATACAGCTATTAACTTCAGAGTTTGTACATGTCAGTTTACCTTTTAGGTTAATTTTCGTTGAAGCTACAGATGATGAACATTTTTACCAAATGATCGTAAACAAATTAATTCAGAAACAATTATTTATTCCAAGCATACCATTAAAGTTTCATTCTCATGGTTATAGTTTAAAAAAGCATTCTCCCGATGAAGACGGAAACATAACTACTGAAGATTCATCTAGGCAGATAGTAGAGAGACTTGTTGGATTTTGTGCCGACCCAAAAATTGCAAAAGAAAATAGAGATTATAGTTTGACAGGGTTCATATTCGGGCTCGTCGATAACGATAATATGGGCAAATCTACATTAAATAACATCAAATGCTTGGAAGATAGATATAGCTTGGAAAACTATATTTACGATCCGGTTTATTTATATTATTATTTTAGAAAGAAAGATAACTTAGTGGAAATTGAAAAGGAAGTGAATAGCAAGCTTGGACTTAAAAGTCATCCTGTTCGCTTGTCGAAATATTGCGAAGATGGTGATACCAAAACTAATACTCGCGTATTACAAATCATTATCGATATCATATATGATAAGCTAGTTAAAACAATAGAAGGATTTGTCTTATTAAATAAAACGATAAATTTCGCGGATCTTGCTTTAAAATTAATCTCATACCGGAATAATATAAAAGTGTTAACTGGTAAATTAAGTGAAAATGAGGAATTCGCTCAAAAAATTGAAAAAGATATGAAAATTTTAAAACAGAAATGTAAGCTAAACAATAATCAAAGTTATGAGAAAGACAACGACCAAAATAATATCCAAAATTTGGCCCAAGGTAATAGCCAAGGCAATAAACAAGGATATTTCCAAGGCCAGCTAATACACAAGATTGAAATTATCCTTGAAAACATGAACGCAGAATGTAAGGATTTTGATCACAAGCTAAAAGGCCTATACGACTATGCAGATAGTATTAACAAGGCAATTGGCAGATTAAAACGAAATAGTTTCTTGGAGGATGGGGATACGCTAATACCTGATAGAATTCAAATAAGTTTTGAAAAAAAGATAATCTTATCTTATCCTAAAGTAATATTAAAAATGAGAGGACATGATTTAGTTATGTTCTATAAGGAAACATTTAAATCTATGCCAAATGCTAGTAACATGATTAGGTTCCTTAGAAATGAAAATTTCTTGATTCCATCCGATTTGGTGAAGATACTTAAAGAGCTGCAGACTTCTCATGTTTAGTACAACGTGAAGGTTTCAATGCAGTAAATACTGGATAGTATAATAGAATTACGAAAAGCCATTACCGAGACCAACTCTAGCAGTTAAAGAAGATACCTGTATTTATGAAAAAACATCATTCAGATATTAAAGGAAAGAATAAAAGTGGCATAAATATAATTGATGAAATAGTCTACACCAAAATAGGAGAAAAGAATGTGATTCCTCTAATCAGTGCCAAAGCAAGTCCTGGATACTCAAAACATACACAGAAGGCTAATGACAAGATATTCATATCTTATCCTAGTACTATATTGTTAAGATCATAATATACCTTGCATCTATAGTTTATAAAACTTTAATTACTACTACCTACCGTAAAGTTTTGAAATAGTAAGAATTACTAAATAGATATACGACTTTGTAAATTTACATTTTGCAGTATGACATAAAGCTACTGGTTAGCGATTTGAATATCCGAGATCTCGAAAATAATTGTCTATCTATACCCTAGATATCTATATTAAGAGAGTGAAATTGAGAAGATTTGAATCTAATTACTATAATAGCAACTTCGAGGCCATAATTTAGGAGTTAATTTATTACAGCATAAACTAAATGCTTAGTTTAGTTACCTCCTGGTAAACGTTTAGAATTGTTGTCCATGTCATGGGTATTTGATAGTAAGAACTTGGAAAAATGAAACGTGGTGAAATTATTTTGGTTGAACGGGACGCACACCTTCATCCAAGTTTAATTAAAGAAATTAATGAAACTATGAATTAAGAACACAATTAATATCCTAGCTTGGTATTTAAATTATGACTACTCATAATCTAACAACTATCAAACTTGTGCCTAAAGAAAGCTTCTAAATTATATTAGAATATGACTCTGTAGAATATGGGGTCAAAATTAAAGAAGCTCTTGGCAGGCGGTGAACTGTACAGTTGTTAGCTTGAGAATTTTTTGTATTTAATTTTCCTTTAAGGCTGGTATTTTTTTAGCTATTAAATGATGAAGAATTTTATCCAATCATCATGAATACGATAATTCGTAAACGTTTATTCATACCTAATGCACTATTAAAAGTTTAAATCTCATGGTTGTAGTATAAGAGAACGCCTTTTATGTGAGGACGGTAAAATAATTATTGAAGACTCATCTAGATTGATCATAAAAAGGCTTGTCAAATTTTGTGCTAACTCTAAAGTCGTCAACGAACGTCGTAATTATACTTTGATAAAATTTGTATTCGGTCTAGTTATTAACAATAATAGGTGCAGATCAAAATCAAATAGCTTCAAAGGCTGGAAAGAAAGATACTGCTAGAAAAATTGTACTTGTGATCCAGTTTATTTATATAATTATGTAAGAAAGAAAAAATAAAGTATTACAAATTTAAATGTCAACATGGTATTTGACAATTAGTTACAAAGAGTAGAAAGGTTTATGCCCAGAATATATCCTCGAACCCTGATAGTCTATCTTTACTTTTAAGAAATAATATAGAAATTAAGCTTACGAATATAAGGATACATTGTTAGCTGGGCTGAATTAAAATTTGAATTAAATTTTAAAAACAGTATATTTATTCTAGTCATAGGCTTTTCAAAATCAGACCGTGTAAAAGATTTTATTTCAGATTAAATCCCTAAAAGTTTCACAATAAGAACAAAGGCGTTACCTTATAAGTAGTCGATATGAAGGGATTTACAAGGCCGGCGATAATCTCGTTTGCTTTAATTCATGAATTTATTGGATATTCCTATAGAATTTTCGGATAATATGATAGTATTGGACAAAGGAATTGCTTACATCGATCTGATTGACTTACTTTAAATTTAAAATAATAAACAATCAGTGGATATAGCAAGACATCTTCGATTACAGTACGAACAACTAATCTTACAGATTCTTACTTGTAAATCATAAATCTTACTTATAAATCACAAAATAAAATGATTCATATCCAATGTTCTATCTGTATATACGTGTTGCATGGAGGTAGTTATTATTTTTTTTGTACCAGTAGTTTTTTATACAAGTAACATGAAATTTTGTGACTCAGAATTTTAAATTTCTAAATATGATATTGTCAATGGTATTATTTAATTTCCTTTTCCAATATTTCATTCGATAGCATAAAAAAGAATGTTCACCATTGATAAATAGATGATGATGATGAAACCATCATCAGTTAGATAAATCATTGATCAATATCGTCTATTGCAAATACCATCTTGTCCTGTTTAATTTCAAAAAATGAATACAGATTATAATCATGGCCAATGACAATCATGGACGAGAGTAATTGACTAGCGTTGGAAGCAGAATACATTAGCCAAGCTATTAGAAGCTATTAAAAGCTTGAAAACACTACGTAAAGATCTTGCCTGGAGTATTAAGTAAGGAGTCGATAATTATAATGGACAATTTGGAAACTACATGTATACTTATTTATAATGAAGGCAAGCTAATCGATTATGCTAAGAAATCTGTAAGCGTACCTATAAGTTCGGTTACCATTTTATAACTACCTTTCCCTAAAGTACGTACTCGTACAGCTTAATTTAATTCAATCTTAAGTTTCAAAATAATTTCATCCAGTTGAGGCATTTTGGTCAAGAATTTTAGTAGTAACTATAAATCACTAGCGATATGCCTGTTCTTCTTTAGCATTTCTATAATTTGCAATGAGTAGTGATTAAAGAAATGGATAAGCTGTAAAATCTGAGAACTCTTCAACTAAACTAGTTTCATCACTGTTATTGTTACGCCCTCTAGTTTTACAGTGTATATGTAACATTTATTATATGTTATGTTACATTTGTTAGATTATGACGCATAATAATGCGATGTATTACTGTAAACAGTGTAGGGATGTAGTACTAATTAATAATACAAAGAATAGACTTTAGATCTGGCTACATGTTTAATTCATTAGTTAGGAAATAGAAGTTATAAACGAGTAGCTGAACAACAGCTAATTCAATAGCGATATGTTACCAACGATTAATAAGATCAGATCTAAACAATAACTCTTCGCTAACTCTCTTTCTCGTACTTAGCTTATACAGCCTTGAATACTGTCTCTTTTATATACTCATATTTAGTACAAATTACTATATTTAGATAATTACGCTAAATAAAGAGTAAATAATATCTACGTAAATCTTAATAATAAGACTATTTGAATGTGAGCGCCATTTAGCTGTTGACAATGCTATTCTGCCGCCAGTGTGTAGCATGCAAGAGTTCATCGATAGTAGTAACTTAACTTTTCCGTACTCCTGTGTCTTGCTATGTACGATTGCAGGTGAAATATTCTTTTATTGACATACAAGTATATCGCAAGGGCAATTGTGAATTCTAGAATATTCCATGATATTACGTTCTCATATTACAGTAGATTGTATAACTTTAGCTAGGTGTATCTTCTTAGTTCTTATAAAGGAATACGATTTACGAAATACGCCAGTCTCTTGACTTGTCTGAATAGTGAATACAGTGTTACAGGTTGCTACATTCAGGATTTATCCTATTCAATATCAAAATGGCTAGTTTCCAACGGCCACATAACCGGAATGAGACTGAAATGTATCAAGAGCATTATGACAATGAAATCGATAAAAAATGTAAAAAGCTAGGATATTTAACTGAAATAAAAATTACTGGTAATGGATTTAAAAATCTTGATCAATCGTTCTGCTGGAGTAACATTCCTATGCTGGCAGTCATAACGGGTAAAAACGGCTGCGGTAAAACAGCTGTTTTAGAAGCTATAATGCGAGGATTTCGTGAAGAAAAAGAAAATCAAAGTAGCAAAAATTCTAAAATATCAAGCAAAGAAGGCTACAGAAGTTTTAAAGGTGTTACCATCAAATATGCTACAGAAGTTCCGAAATGTCACTACTACAGTTCTAATTTTAGAAAAAACGAAGATTTAGGTAAATTTCGGCTATTAAATGGCCAAGATCATTCCGATGTAAATTTTGGCTCATGGAACAGCCTCGTGAGAAATTTAATACGCTCAAAAATAGGTGTCGAAATTGATGTTATAAATCAACATTTAAAAAAATACGGGTTTAAGTACGATGTAAGAAAAGGCAAAAAAGGAGAGAAAGCATAATGTGTAAAACGCGGTGATTCGGCTGGTGCGAGTGATATACAATTATCTCCTGGAGAGTCTTTGGAGTTATTATCAATTTTGTGGCTATTTGACAAAGAAAAAACGGATAAGACTGAGAAAAAAAAAGCCGTCTATTTGCTAGACGAGCCAGATGCACATCTTCATACCAGCTTTGTTAAACAGTTAATCGAAATTATCAAAACTAGATTGGTATCAGAACTTGGTATGCAGGTTATTATGACCACTCATTGTCCAACAACTGTTAGTCTAGTACCTAATAATTGTGTCTATGTCATGGCGGAACATACATACCGTACGCCTACTAAACATTCAAACCCACTTGTAACCAAAGACAACATCGATGCCATGTCAGAAACTGATACTGGCAACACCGCAAAGATTGTCAAGATATGTAAGGCTGATAGCAAGGGGCAAGCCATACAGTTATTAACTTCAGAATTTGTGCATCTTAATTTACCTTTTAGGCTAGTATTTGTTGAAGGTACAGATGATGAAATGTTTTACCAAATGATCATGAATAAAATAATTTATAAGCGTTTATTCATGCCCAGTATACCATTAAAGTTTAAATCTCATGGTTACAGTCTAAGAAAACATCCCCCAGATGAGTGTGGCAATATAACTACCGAAGATTCATCTAGACAGATAATAGAAAGGCTTGTCAAATTTTGCGTTGACCCCAAAGTCGCCGACGAGTGTGATGATTATAGTTTAAAAGGATTTATATTTGGCCTAGTTGATAATGATAATAAGGGCGAATCGAAAATAAATAACATTACATGCTTGAAAGAAAGATACAGCTTAGAAAATTATATTTATGATCCAGTATATTTATATTATAATTTACTGAGGAGAGGTGAAGTACTCGTATCGCAAATTAAAGAGGAAATAAATAGTAAACTTTGTTTACAAAATCATCCTGATCATTTGTCTGACTTTTTAGAAGGGACTGAAACGAAGATCGATATATTACAAGCTATTATCGACAATGTATTTGATAAGCTGGCTAAAACAATAGAAAGATTTATCAGGTTAAGTGAAAGTAAAGATTTCAAGGATCTCGTTTCAAAATTGAAACAGCACTTAAATAAATTAAAGCGAATGAATGATCAATTAAACGAATATCAGAAGATTGGCGAAGAAATTAAAGAAGATCTGAAAGAATTAAAACGTATATATAAATTGAATAGTAACCAATTTAGCAAGCAAAGCAATGGACAAGGCAATATCCAAAATTATATTCAAAATAACTCTCAGAATACTGATCAGGTTTGTGTCCAACATAACGACCAAGGTATCAATCAAAGTGATAAACAAAGTTACATTGATGGCCAGCTAATGCGTAAGATTAAGATCACTCTTGAAACCGAGAACACAAAATATGATACTTTGACTGAAAGGTTACGCAATCTATGCAAATATACAGATGAAATTACCGATGCCATTAAAAGATTAAAATCAAATCAATTTTTGAGAAATGGAGATAATTCTAAATTAGATTTTAGCAAGAGTGATATATCTCTTGAAAGTAAAGTGACTGTTTCTTATCCAATAGTAATACTGAAAATGAGAGGACACGATTTAGTCATGTTTTATAAAGAAACATTTAAAAATATAGAGAATTGTAAGAACATGATCCGATTCCTTCAAAGCCAAAATTTTTTGATTCCTTCTGACTTGGTAGAAGTTCTTAAAGAGTTACAGACTTCTTATATTTCGGTTTAACTTGAAATTTCAAATGAGCGATACCGAATAAAAGAGTTGTGGAATATAAGTTAGTCAACAACATAGAACGATAATGAAATATGATTCATAAAAAAATGCAAGTTTTGAAAAGAAATATGCAAATTGATCAGGATTGAGCAGATAAAATTTGAGATGAAATTAACTTAACTCTTGTAAGCGATATGATTATTTTAGTGCAAGAAGTATTATAAGCATCAAGCGTAGGAATAGAGCGATGCAGCTCTAACAGGTCGAATTAAAAGCTTTGGGAGAGTTTTAAGGGGCTACTTATTCAGGCCCCGGCTTTCTAAATAAGTCTATGTAAACTTTTGAATTTATATCTCTAATTTTAATGTCTTTACCATGAAATTTTCATGATTTAATAAAACGTTAACTAAGACTTTAGTTCACATGAAATGATTCTTTGATGCTGGTAATAGCCTCGTTTAAGCTGATTCAGAATAGCATCGATTTTTATTGCAGAATTTTAGGATAAGGTGATAGATGACATATTCTATAAAGGAATTACTCCCACCTATCTGATTAATCTTTTTAAGTTCAAAATATAAAGGTTTACTAACTACAGTAAGACATCTTTAGTTTCTGTACTAATAACAGAAATGAAACGACTGATGCAAAATTTCTCTATGTGTGCGCGTTGCCTATGTGGTAGATTTTACTATGCAATTAGCGATGGATTTGTACCAGAATTTTTAAAATGTTGAAATTTTCTAAATCGAACGTTTTCTTGCAATTTCATAAATATTTTGGGTTTCAAATAGGTTTGTGATTCTTCCTGGTATTCATATGCTGAGATTGCGTGAAATAAAAAATTACTTTATTTTCTAGTGAATCATTCGTTATATCTAGTCACACTAATGTTATTGATGTTTTTGAGGATATTGTGTAAATTATATTTTATTGTGAATTTTTGGATATTTCCGGCCAAAACAGATTTTAAAGCGAGAGATGAATAATTCTAGTCTATGATTAATGAACACTTGTGTGGGGAAGGCGGATACCGGACTATCATGTTATCTCGTACTATTATACTGCACTCGCACAACATCTGTTATGCTTGTCTAGCTAGTGTGTAATAAAGTATCTTCTCCAAAATATAACAACAACTACAGTTTCTTGTAAACTTCACTTTATTACATGAAATCAGGTTCGCCTTAGGTTAAAGTAGTCGATAAAACTACAAGATCATATTTAAATTTACTATAGCGCTTTCAATTCATAATTCGCACTTCTAAATTAGACAATTAGACAATCTTATAATCTCGCTTACAATTTATCTATTTTCGTACAATCCTATAATCTTGGCATTAAAGCTTATTTGAGGCTACACTATATAGTGATTTAAACAAATTGTGAAAACCTAATTTTATTCGAGCAATGATTAACATATTTCTAGCTTAGCTATGTAAACATTCCTTTAACCCATTTGGATAATACTTAATTCTGTATAAACATTAGTTCAACTCGTTGCATAATATTCAACTGTGTGTTACCGCCAGTTGATTGGGAACCCAAGAAAGGCGAGAAGATTCACAACCAATACCAATATTTTTACAAAACAGGCGAATAAATTGTAATCAAACGATTATAGCATTACCAGAGCGTCTCCATGAGATTCTTTAAACATAAATTAGAATCATTGATTCGCGATAAAGAAAATAAAAAATGTTATCGTATTATAAAAATTGGACAGTAAAGTCGTTCATAAGATATTCTAGAGGTTGCAGAGCAACTAAATTTCGCCATTGCTTCTTTTTTCAGTCATTCCCTTGGTGATTAATTATGTACGGTAGAGCAGTACAAATATACATATATGTATCAATTTAACAATCTAATGAAATTGAGATGGGTTGAAAAGGGTGTTATGTATGTAGGATACAGTAACCTGTTGTACTGCACCTAACGTGTTAGCATAAGGTAAGGTGATGAATTACTAAAATCAGGGTACAATACGTCATTACGGCTATACTATTTAAATGCGATAAATCCTAAATAAAAGAGACTTTCAGTAAGCTTGCTAGGAGGAGTTTATCAAAGTTCCTCGCGCTAACGTTAACGGCTAAGAGTGGAAACACAACGACGGATTAATATCCTATCTTGCTGCATCATATGATGCAAATTTCTACTGAAATTTAAATTATTTCAATACCTAATAAAATGCTAATTTTTTTATTTTAGCTCTGGTAATTCTGGAGAATGATAAATATTGAATCGATCTTTGTCAACTGGATATAAAATAGGCAGGATCATGTGCTAGTGAAGGGGAGTTTATGTACCAATTAGATTGGAGAAGCTTAATCAACACAAGCTCTACTACGACAGCCCACCGTATTTGGTACATATGTCTACAGACCAATATTTATTTTAACTTGTATTTAGGAAATGGTTGACGATCATCAATCAGTTTTGGGAAAAGAAGAAATAGATGAATGGCTCAGCAAGGATGACATCAACTATTTGCTATATACCAAGTACAAAGGCGATCTAGACTATCAACTCGATGATATCTTACTGGTAATTGATATTTGTGATAATAGTGACCTGTTAATCAAGTGAATAAAATTATCAATCAAGAGTAAAAGTCGCTACATTATTGCACCTATCTTGTTTGAAAGGAACAACTGGGTTGGATTGGTAATTGAGCTAAAATTTTAAGTAAAACCACATGTATTTATTCTTAATTCGCTTAGTCTAAGTGAAGAAAATTTACATATTGTTAAAAATATCACCAATCAATGCTTTGAAGAATTCGAAATTGCTCATTTATCATCGACAGAGATACACAAAAAGATGAAATCGCTAGTGGTACATGGATGCTAGAGGCCGTTCATGCTGTGATACTAATGATACTGAAACCTAATGACCGAAATAGTAGATACCAGTATATAAGCGATTGAATTCGTCATATTTTAACAAACACTGACATTAACATCGGGAAAGATCATAACAATAACATTAATTTACAGCGACAACTCTGTCTAAATCCACCGAGCAATGCAAGTGCATTACTCGGTGACACTATGGACCATTTATTAAACATGGAGTACGCGAATTTCATTTCGTATGATCACTCACCAGTAGTAGATATTTGTGACAGCTTACTGACTAACCAACCAAATAAAACCAGAATAAATGCTTTATCGTTGCTGCTATCCGGTATGAAAACTATCATTGGACTATGCTAGTAATTGATCAAATTATTAAAGCGGAACTATCTGCATTCCTTTTTAATTTACTGGGCCCAAACGATGAACAGCTTAATATTATCAAGAGTATTATCGCTCAATCTTGGAATAATGTGGATATTATTGATTTATCATCATCGGAGTTGACATAGAGAGTTGATGCCACTAGTTGTGATACATGGATATTAAAAGCGATTAAAGCTATTATGCTAGCAAGATGGGATAATCCAAATGACGTGAATCAGGTTAAGAAATCTATGCAAGATATCTTAAAATAAAAGGAGATTGATATTGACAGAATCCATCGCCGTAACTGCCAGAAAATATCTAGTCAAAGATTTCTTAGTCATATTATAGTAGAATGTTTATTAAAAGAGGAATGCCAATTAAGTAAAAATGACCTACTACTTCCAGTAGCAGTTATTAATGATAAATTGCTTATAAAAAAAATTATTGATTTACTGGCCAATCCCGCGAAATTAAGATTTATTATTTCACCTGTCAAATTAACCCATAAGCACTGGTTTGTATTGGTTATCCGTAGGATTTCTTTAAGAGGATACTCGTCCTACTACTTTGATTGACTGGTAGCAGAAATAGATCCGAAAAGAATTGTTAAGAAGATTTTATTTCAACTACACGAGGAAGATTTGTTTTTTCGGTCTTCGGCGTCTGCCATCGGAAGAGTTCAAGCCGAAAGAGACAGCTACTTCTAGTACATGGACGATAAAAAGTTATTGAAATCATTATGAACGCAAAAATTAGTACAATTGAAGAAGAGATAAAAGGATATGTTTATAAGTCCTTAAAGAATATTAGGATTGATGAAATTTATGAAGATTATCTTGCTCAGCAAAGGTAGTTCAGCGATCAGGAAACTAATTCGAACCGTCTGAATAAATCACTAACCATTCCCACTGTAGATTATTTATTAAGTACTAGTGTAGTTCCTTATGGCATTTATCAACGATGGATGTTAATGATCCTGACTCAGCCAGACTCGCAATGAGTCAGGTTATGAAATGCAGGGATAAACACTGGGTCGTTGTACCGATCAAAATGAAAGATAATCACCGGGCAGTAATGGTAATCGAGAAAATTATAGCCAAGAAACCTTTCGTAATTTATTTTGATTCGCATTCAACACATGAAGATAATTCGCAGGTTGTACAACAAATCATTGATGGAAGTGGTAAGAAATTCGATATCTTCAAACTATCAATGCCGGAGTTAAACCAGAAATGCAACTATACTTGTGGCACATGGATGCTCAAAGCTATCAAGGCTATTACGCACGCAAGCAACGCTTCTAGGAAGTGAACAAATGGTAAGGGCGATCGTACACGAGTATTTGAAAGAGGTTAATATTGAAAAAAGTCATGACAGTAATTTTCAATTTAGAGATACGAGGATGTACGAAGATAGATCTGATAAAGCGTGTAAAGAGCCAGGATACTTATTTAACTTACAAATTAACGGTGCTGCTAGCGTTAAAAATCTTCATGCACCATTCCGTTGGCGTAGCATTCCCACGCTAGCTGTCATTACCGGTAAAAATGGTTGCGTTAAAACAGCAGTCCTAGATGCGATACTACAAGGATGTGAAAATCAATTAGTTAGTCGAAACTTTGGCGTTGCATTAGATATTAATGAAGATTCGGGAAGAATTTTACCTGAAATATACAGTTACAGTACTGGCTCGCCAGACGGAAGCGTAAGAAGTACTTCTAAGACCTTTTTTCAAAGTATTGGAAAAGGAAATGGAGGATATAATTTCAGATTAAAAAAATTAAAGGATTTCAAAAATTCTTCAGCTGCCATATAACCTAAAATTTAGTAGACTTCAAAGTCCATATTATGAAATTAGAAATCAAGTTTTGGAAATGGATAAATTATCATCAGTTCTAATCATAAGGAATGATTTTATAACAACATCCAAACAAGAATTAAAAGAACACTTTGATGGCCAGGTAGGGCTACACTTAGCGACTTTTGGTACCTTCGATCAATTTTCAAAATATCTATTAGAAAAATCACCAAAATTAAGCATCTGAATGATCATTTAAAATGAAATAGGTTCAGGTATATTTTATCCACTGATTGCATTAAAAATAATAAATATAGCCGATTGCTGTTACAGAAAGAAAATTATTCTAAAACTATTAAAAGAAAATGATCCATCTCTTGGCGAACGTTTGGAATTGTTAACGCTATTATGGTGATTTGAAACAAAAGTGGGGAGAAAATCCGATAATGTTACTAAAGATTGCGCGTGCAAAATATGTTTGATATAATGAAATAAACAAATACCAAAAGCTTCAAGGATAGGAGAATGATAGCCGATAGCTATGCTCGTATACAGTAAACTATTAACGGCAGAGGTTATGTTGATTGTTAAGTAGTTAGACTGTTATTTTTACGGCTAAATCTTGATGTTAAAAGGTTAATTTTTAGACTTTTATAATGTATTAATGATTAGGAATTATGTTAGAAATGAAGCTTGCTGTATTTTATGGTTAGGTTGTAGAAGTTAAAGGCAAGTAGTACGGTATACATTAAAACGATTGGACTGAACCAAGTTGGTGTGCTATATCTTTGTACAGTAGATGGATTGCCTTTGCCTGACAAATTGAACTGCTAAAATTCAATCGTTGTAGTTCTACCATTACATGTATGAGATATGTTAAACTTATATATGATACGCTGCCTATGGAATGGCATTCATTCAAACGTCAAGTAATACAAAATTATATAGATAATAAATTTTTTATTTTAACGTATGTGCTTGATAGATTATACTTTAGACTAACAACAATTAATAATTTATTGTTTAATTAAAAAGAATAGATGAATCATGTTGAAATCTTTTGTAAAGAAATGTAAAGATCGGCACTCTATCTCAACTAGTTTTCATGAATTCGTATACTTTTGCAATAATTGGGTTTGTACATCGTGTTTTATCATATAATTTAAGGAAATATTGAATTTAATATGTAATGCACATTTAAGTATCGATGGCCAAGTGTACAAATTGGCATATTATAAATACAATTGAATATTTTGACTTATCCATAAATGAGAAACCGATATATATTAGAATTAGTTCGTAATATGATTTTAATGTCGTGTTGACGTTGGTCAGTATCGCTCACTTTAAGATACATATCGAGATTTAAATTCAACCTTCTTTACATTGAGCGAGAATCTCAGCTAATTTCTTCCTAGTTCGTGCTACACGATCTTCTTGCCCTTTAATATCACCTTCTGAGATAACAATTTTGGGGCATAATGGTTGATTTGAATCTCTCCAGACATGAGGATCTGCTTGTAATAGTTGTAGATGATTAATTTGGCCTATAACGGGTGCTTTATTATGATATAATAAGGCTGTCATGCCTTGAATAATGGCTAAATCATCATAATTAGGGCCGTACTTTTTCATAGCTTGCGAAAGATTAAATAGACTATTGGCATCAGCTGATTTAATACCTTGCAATCGTTTCTCCCAAAAGACTTGACTTGGTTTTTCAGGAGGGATTGCGGCGTATTTATCGTGATTTGATGTAGGCATTCGATTACAATCTTCTCTTACTTTACATGTACGGCGAATGGCGGTTACTTTGCCTGCATATTGAGCCAATGGAGATGTTTGACGGTAGATTAACATATTTGAGCCAATATTTTTTGTGCACTTATTGGAGTTCATTAACTGCTCATCGGCTTTGCTACTATCTGATATTGTACTGAGGTGATTTCTATGCATACTATCAGGATAACTGCAATTTAATTGATAGTTGTGATCTTGGACATTAATCGTATTTTCTGCACAGTTCGCCAATTCCCGATGATTACGAAATTTTCGGCTATGCTGTCTAAAATTGAAAAAAGTACTTATTAATGATAAAAATTGTACTTTGCACTTGACTTAATTAAATACAATACTATAACATATGTACAGTCCGTATAATTTATAATACTATAACATATGTACGTGTAATTTGTAATACTAGTAAATAAGAGCATGTTAAAAATTGATCATTGGCTATAAACATTCTATTTCCTTCACACCTTTACTGTCACAAGAGCATAAATGAAAGGTGTTATGTTTAACTCTAGCCAACAGAACCAGTACTTATAGTTTTACATAAACGTCAATTGATGGTGCAATGTCTGCTGATGCTATATTACTGTGTTAATGTTAATTCTATGCGTATTTCAAAGTATGCAGGCCAATCTATGAGGAAGTAGTATTATAATTCGAATTATTAATGGATTACCAAGTTAAAATATCGTAAATTCATTGCTATTTTTTAAAGTACACTAACGATCACCCTTCATAGTTAGATACTGAGAAGTTTTTCTCAAGAACAGTGGGATGTCGAAGTCATAAATAGGGTTAAATGGGAGCAATTTTGCTTAGCGAAAGTGCTTCATAAGATAAGTTGTTTTGTATCTCTAGGTGTGACAGCTACAAAAATTTTCGTTATTTCAAGACAGTCTGACAATAAACTTAGTCTATCACTTCAATTAATTGAGCAGTTTGAATTTAAATAGCTCTGATATTAATATACTTAAGTAAGTAATTCTATTAGAACTGAGGTTATTATAGCCTTGAAAAATTCGTTCATCATTACTAACTTGTACGGGTATACCAGCAATTCCGAGGGTTGCAACGTTAACTTACAACAAAACTAAGTTTCAGTTCGAGCCTTGATTGATTACTTCAAAGCTGCAATTTTATAGACGCATCACAAGGACTGTATGGAAGTGTCATCAGAAATTTAAATACAGTGCCAAGTGAAGGATTAATTCAGCGATGAATGATTTTAAATATTTGACAAATTCATTCTAACAGATGCGATGATTATCTTTGTAGAGATTAAAATTCAAAGTTAGTTGATAGATCATGGACCATATAAACATCAAGTACACGCAGTACATGTAACTGTTATGAATCAATAAAGTATACTGTAGAACATGGTACTATCTTACCAACAAAAGATAGGAATTATAAACTATTAATTGGTTGATAAATACCGAAAGAAGAGTCGAATAGGAAAGATAACTCTGGTAACCAATTACTGTATAACTATTAAGAATCGTATCCATTTATGTTATACATTATCATTACATGGAACTCTCCTATACGCGTATTTCTTACGGGTGCTACGTTAGTAAAGACTTTGATTTTGAGTAAATCTCGTAGAAGAGACAAATGGTAGCTCTCTCAGGCATTCTAATTCATAATTAATCGAAGAACTTATAATCAGTTGAAAGATATAAGTTTTAACGTATTGATGAAAGATTGAAATGAAGGATGGAATGTCAAGATAATTGATGTTACGTATTCGTTCATGTTGTAGGCTCCTTTTCGATTCTAATTATTACAGTATAGTACAAGAGTTTGGTTTTACAATTCATCTTATGCTTATATGCATACTACTGTATACGATAAACTAAAATCATTTTACGAGTCTATCATAAGAAAGAGAACTTGCAACATATTAATGGATGATAAAAGGTAGGATAACAGCAAGACAACCAATAAAAATTCATGAAATAAGAATTAGGCATTTACTCGCTAAAACTTTTTTAAGTCCTGTTGACGTAGGATTGTTATCTACAGAGATAGTGATTATGACGTATATCATGATAAATAACGTGAGGAAAGAAGCAAAATAGCAAATTTGAGGGTATTTTACATTATTGCAATGTCTCAATTTGTTCACAGATTCGTTAGAATATCACAATCAACACTTTAACCCCCCTCCCCCCAGGCTCATGATAGGTGCGAGTAAGAACGATATTGTAAAACACCCCCAATTTCAATTCTATTTACACGTCTAGTTTATCCATTTTACCTTCGACAATATGGATAAGGATAGGTCCGATTACCATTCTTACGGACATTCAGAAGGGTAACGTTGCTATCTTTGGCTACTGTATTCTGCTTCCAACGCTGGTCAATTACTCGTCCATGGTTGTCGTTGGCCATGATTAAAATCTGTATCCATTTTTGAAATAAAATAGAACAAGATGTTATTTACAATAGGCGATGTTGATCAATGATTTATCTAACTGATGATGGTCTCATCAATCAATCTTATCCATGGTCAAAATTCTTATCTATGCTATCGAATCATCACACTTGTGTCGAAACTATTGCATGAATTCACGATGAAAATTTAACGATAAAGAAGGCTAGAGAAGAAAATGATGAAAATCAAAGATTGAACCTTTGTACTGTTGACGATATTGGATTCCATTTCTATCGCTTGTTACCCTTTCTAAGGTAATACTGAAAGCTAATTTAAACTATCTATACATGCTGTAGCCATCCCTCTTCGTATTTAGAGGGTTTCTACTCACCTAATGAATGCTATAAATCAATCGTTTTGAGGATTCTTCCTTTTTTGGATGGGGCAGCACCATTAGCTTGGCCTTGATGCCTTTGTTTTTCTTGATGCATTAGAACTGGCTGTGGTAGCCGTCTTTAATACGCGCCTAGGCTACACCTGTACCCCTCAGTCAGTGCTACAATCGGTATACAAAGTTATATTCAACTCTAGTAAAGCTTTGAATCTGTATGAAATAGAAATACTACTTTACTGTTCCAGGTATACAAAACAGTCAAACAAAAGACCGAAAAAGAAAGTGCAGCAACAGCCCATATTATGGACCAGAATATAGAAAATTAAACCAATATGCAGCTTTGGACCTACACTAATCAACTCCTATCGAATATTGCAATTTCATGCAGTAATTTTTAGGATTGGACTACAGTTTAAGCGACAATTCCTCGTTTGCATTCGCTCTGATGAACGAATTTTTACTTTAAGAGCTACGATCGAATCTGCCAAGGTGTGTAGTAAAGATCGCACAGTAAATTGGTGGGTTGGACTAGAATCTAAACGACAATTAATTGCTAGCATTGGCTCTGATGGAACAATTTTACTTAACTAAAACTTGAAGAGTTAGCTAAGATCGAATCTGCCAAAGTATGCAGTAAAGATCACACAATAATTTGTTAGGTTAGACTACAATCTAAACGATAATTCCTCGTTACCATTGGCTCAGATGAACGAATGTTACTTCACTTTAACTTAAAAGAGCTAAGATCGCATCTGTCATGGTATAAAGTAAAGGTCACACAGTAATTTATAGGGTTGGACTACTGTACAATCTAAACGACCATTCTTCGTTAGCATTTGCTCATGTGAACGGGTTTTAAAGAGCGATGATCGAATCTGTCAAGGTATGCAGTAAAGGTCACACTGTAATTTATAGGGTTGGACTACTGTACAATCTAAACGACAATTCTTCGTTAGCATTTTTTCATGTGAACGGGTTTTAAAGAGTGATGATCGAATCTGTCAAGGTATGCAGTAAAGGTCACACAGTAATTTATAGGGTTGGACTACTGTACAATCTAAACGACAAATCTTCGTTAGCATTTTTTCATGTGAACGGGTTTTAAAGAACGATGATCGAATCTGTCAAGGTGTTCAGCTATAGATCACACAGTAATTTGTAGGATTGGAATATTATCTAAAAGATAATTCCTCGTTTGCATTTGCTCATGTAAACGGATCTGAAAGAGCGGATATTCTCGATGAAGTCAGTGGAGCAAAAATAAATGAGGGAAGTATCATCGGGAGGTTAAAACTTGCAGTACGTGTATCACCTGCCAAATGTAAAATTATTATTAAGATTACAATAGAATAACGAAGTGATAATCGTAAATAATAGAAAGCCTAATTAAGGACTAGTCTAAAATGTCAGCTTAGCACATGTCGTTAAAATAGGCGGATTAATCAATTAATCATAAATGACCAATTATGTCCAACCCATATCGATATTTCACTCATTTTTGGCGTCATAAACATGCCTTTATACCCGGCTGCCTGTAATTTTAAAATATTACCTTGTACAAAATATACATTCCATGGGAAAAGATCAATTTAACCAGCACATATACTATAGGAATTTGAAAACAGCTTTAAAAAAACGTTTTATTGCCCTTTGACTCCATGGTATAAGTTCATTTACATTCTTCCATGCGATCGACATTTTATAAAATGTCGTCTTTTCATTTGCAAGAGACCGAAAGAAACGTGATTACTTACTCTACTACAAGTATAATAATATTTTTACAATTTTTAGGCATCGCCAAATAATATTTACATCGATTTTAGACATAGGAGAAAAAGTTTTGATGCTTTAAGTTACGAACTCAAAGAAGACGATCCTTTTCCTATAACCATGCATTTGTTGCAATTTGGTATGAAGTATTCCATATTAACTTGAGGATCTGCGATGGTAATTTCATCTATATGTACAATATCTGCAATGATAGATGGGGGCAGTAGTTAACGAACATGATTTGCTATGCCTTGAGACGATAATATCGTGAATGTTGGGTAAGGTGATTAAATTATAAATTGATACAAAAATTTCTACATTTCAAATTTCAATGAAATACCTTTAATAACAACATTCTCTGGAAATGTAAAATCATCGCAGTTTTCCGGCATAATAGGTGTTTTCTTTATTATCTTCTTTTTAGCTACAGCTTTCGCTTTCCTTGTTAATCTATCCGTTATCCATGTAAATTGAAAAAAATATTTTCCTGTAAGGGTTATAATAATTTACTAGAACTAATGTCATCTTTAAATCTGTATATTCAAATCATAGGTGTCTACCTAGCCCTGGTGGCTTGGTAACGGGGAGGGCGGCGTGATTTTGAGGTTGAAGTAGTCGATGAAGATGCTTCTTTTGCAATTGCAGCTAATGGTAATTTGGAGGCTTGCTTTCTTTTATTACGCAAGAGGATTCTTTTTGCAATAAAAACTTCGTCTGCACTATGCACGTCAGAACTATCTTCAACGGACGATAAATTGTCATCGGCTCCTATTCGATGGTATACTTTGTATGTAAAATCTGGGGATAGATAAAATTTTGAGCCATTCCATTATAATTTAATTCTTGAATAAGAGCATGTTGATTTAAACTACAAATGATGTGGAAGCAGAAAATAGCTGTCATACCTTCAGTTTCTTTAGGAGTGTTTAAAATGTATTTGCCTAGGTCAATATCACACAAAGATCTTTCGTCTTTAGCATGCAATATGAGCTTCGGGTCGAAAACCGTTAATCTTCTCTTACGAAATTCGTCAGTATCATACAAGCTGTCAAAGAATGATAATAATAAGTTGTATTCCTTCAACATACCAGTATCATTTGATTTGATGATATTTTATACTATTGTAAACGAGGGAAATGTTAGTAAAGAGTAGTTTTACTATAGGTAGGGATGTATTGTCAAAACTTTTCATGAGTTAGTACTGTACAGTATTCTAACTATTAATGTGCGATATTTAGCCTGCTATAAAGGGCTCCATGAAGCCTACATTATTACAGTATAATACCTGTAGCAGTTGAAAACATGTAGTAGTTTCTTACCATGCAGTATCTTGGAATGTTTTATCAAGGCTGAAGAGAAATTGAGCTTGATCCCACTGATCAACAATCTTGCCACCATACTTTACTGATAGGCGAAAAAGAAAATTGGAAATTAGGAAAAGGCGGTGATTGATTATAAGCAGATTTGAAATGACAGACTGAAAATAGCGTGGAAGAATGCATTTGAAGGGAAGCAAGATCAATCCTTACCCCAACAGTTGGTATAATCGATTGATACACTACTTGAAAACCAAGCGTGTTGGCTATCAAATATTACACTTGACATTGCTTTATCTTGCCATTCGCTAGTTGATCCGATCAGACTAATCCAGGTCGGGAATGTAAACACGACAGCCAAGCTAGCAACCGAGATTGTGTAGAATTGACTGTAAAAGAAATGGCAAGAAAGAAACAACAGATTCTTTTAGCTATTCATGTGCTGTAGTCGAATTTCAGCAACAAGCACACTAGTTACTTCTACATAGAACCATTGCCAATGAGCAACATTTACCTGCTCGCAGCCTTGATTGCAAAGCTAACCAGGATATAACTCTAGTTTTGTAGCTGAGCTGAGTAAGATCAACTTGACTATTCTTAGGCCCAATCAGGTAGTGATTACTACTGAAATGAATCAGCAACAACTCGATAATAACACGTTGTGCAGTGGACGGCAGGTAGATTTCCTCAGTTTGGTGCAAATGATTATCAAAACAACTTGTTGTAGTGATTTTTTAACACCATTTCTTCTCCTATCCCATGGACTTGTGCGACTTCTTCTACTCTCTCTACACTAGTAAATATGTAACCAAGAAGCTTAAGAGCATTACAGTGGTGTTCTACCGTAACGTCCAGGACCGCCAGATCCGAGATCTAATACTACAGCATCAGATAGACGGGTTGACGGACCACGGATTCGTTCATGTCTGGCATGCATCACTGACTGACTGACTGACTGACCGTGGCCAGTGACTGAGCCATTTTTGGCCCCAATTTTGCAAAACCTCCATTAGCTTTACACGGTGTCATGGACTACTAGAAGTTACTCGTCTAGTCCGAAAAATGGGGAGTTTCTTGGTGTAGTCCATGCTGTAATAACTTCTACTAGTCCATGACTATATGTATCACTCATGCACTACTAAGAAAAGAAGTTTTTAGAGTAGTTCAGATCTAGGACAGTAGCTCGATTAATTCGTGATCGAGCAAGGAATTCTCGTAATTCTCTTAATGACAGTATTGTATTCTACTGTAATATCTAGTAGCAAATCGAGAAATGTTGATCATCTTTATGGCTAGTCCTACTTTTACTCTGTGTATCATCATGAGCACCGTAACTGGGAGAATGAGCGAGATCTGATACTAGCTAATATTAAATGGTTAAAAGTTTGCTTCTAGTGGTTCGTGCCCTGACGGAGCCTATTTTTGGCCCCAATTTTTTGCAAGACATCCCTTTAGCCTCTACACTGTGCCATGGACTACTAGAAATTACTACTCTAGTAGTCGATGCAGTAATAACTTCTACTAGTCCATGACTGTATGTATCATTCGTGAACTATTAAGAAGAGAACTATTTAGAGTAGTCCATGACAGTAGCTCAGATTAATTCGTGATATACGTACACTAATAAATAACACTAGTTCTGTCATAGGGGCTACTGAGAAAGACAGACAAGAGCGAGGAGTGGCGTCTAGTGCAATGCTTATTATTCGACCATTCTACAGTAGTAATGAAAGCATCTACCATCGATAATTCTCCCTTCAAAAGCCTTAAGTGACCATTTTTCCTCCAAAGTTAAGGGAAAATTTGCAGTCTTGCCTGAGTACTACTCCCCGGTAAGGACAGCTAGAAGGACAGACAAGAGCCGTATGACTAGATGAGGGAGGGCCTATCATCGAGCGATCGACATGTTGTAGTGTACACTATACCATGTTCATGTATGAGCTAGTACCTATACTGTAAGCGAGCAAGCATTACATCATCGCCGTGACATCGGTACGGTACTGCGTGAAGTTGTTGTGCGCAGTGCAGGTCCATTACTGGTACAGTAGCGAGTGTCCTATTGGTTAGACTTGAGACCTGAGCTTGGTCCTGAAAGATTCAAGTGGTAAAAGGCCACTGGAGCCATAGCTGCTGTCTTCCCATCGTGTCGAAATAATTATTAATGTTGTTATGAATTTATTCATTCTGGCATCATCGGAGACAATATCTTAATTGATTAGGCTTACTTTAAAATCATTGCTATCGAAAGGTTTTCTTCTAGACCTGTAGGGCTAGAGGCAGAAGACAATTATTCATTACAAGTATTACCAATCAGTTGGATTGTTCTCCAAAGTTTTACAAGCTAATCATGTTGCACCATGCCATCAAGCGATGTTGCAATCATGGCCTCCCATCAAGATTAACCATCATCGGCGTTCACCATGGTCCAATGCGCTATCAACATACGGATAGATCGAGATTGTTGCAAATAAGTTGTCAAGTGTTAGGTGTAAAACAAGATGATAGCTTAGATCATATTAAAAGTGTTTATCATGATTTGGTCAAAAAATTGCATCCTGATAGCTCATCAGGTCAAGCCAATTTATCGCAATTTGTAAAAGTTCAAAATGCCTACAAAACAATACTAACTCAGGCATTAGATGATCCTGATGAAATTGAAGAGCTAACGCGTGATATGCAATTGGATGAATTTGAAAATAAGGTGTTACAACATCGTACCAAATTATCCACTGATCCTGCGACTTCGACGGCTTCTCCAGAAGAGAAACAAGCTACTCTTAGGCAACGTATGGATAAAGCAGTTGAAGAAACTGCTGATTATCATGTCCGTTTAGTTGATAATATGACTGTTGAAATGAATATCCAACAAAAGTATCAAGAACCTGGTAGAAAAGGGAAAATCGTGCAAAGTATTGATCGGATTGCTGAAGATTTTATCCAACAGGCCGTCCAGGGAGGCCAATTTGATAATTTACATCAATTAGAGGGTTATGGAAAACCTTTAAAAGAGGAACACGAAGGATTGCTGGATGGTACAGAATATCGTTTAAATAAAATGCTTGTCAATTCAGGTTGGTATATATCAAATAGTTAGGTCTGCTTTACTAATTTATAGTAGATAGGATGCAGTTATCATTCCAAGTCAACTTCATTGCTTATCAATAAACCTGTAAGAAACTTATGTAGGGTCTTTGCAATTATTTTACATGTCGTATTGCGATCTACTTTAAATTCTCCTTGAAGTAGTAACCTTTTAATCGTAAGATACAATTCTCCAGGTTACATACCTCATTGAAAATAATTCTTACTTGAGCGATGACACTTTCTTACAATTATAATTGCAAATTCTACTAAATGTTGCATCTCGATTATACACATTACTCTGCCGTACTCGTATCATTCTCCTTCTGAATTCTGATAGCCTCTTTAATACTATACTTAGCAATATTGTTAATATACTGTAAAAATAATTGCCATACAATAATTCACAACACAATTTGACTAAATAAACTCTACTACTATCTACACGTATTGTATCATTAGGTTATGCACCCAACTGGATCCTGCTTGGGAAAGAAATACGTGAAGACAAAAAATTTCTACGTGCCAGGCTGGAAGATCGAGCTGAACAAGTGCAAAAAAAGCCCCGATGCAACGAGAAGCAATTAAATTGGAAAAGGGCTGTAAAATTTGTTGAAGAACAAACTATTAGGATTAACGAAAATGTCGATAAGTATAATATGCATGTCCCACTACTTAAAATGCAAACCGTTCGTTTCGATTTAAATCGTGAAATGGAGAAAGTTAAAAAAAAGTATCCAGCCGTAGCCAGATTAGACATCAATAAAATTGGTGTATCAAATCAATCCAATCAAGGCCAGGATGCTGGTGTAAAACAATTCTTCGATGCTTTCAAAAATATCTTTTAATGGCTAAAGTTGTTTATCTCATTACAATGGCTACATGGAATATATTATCACGTTCTAGTATAAATAGCATAAACCAAAGCTCGTATCGATGCTGTTTGCATACGTGTATTTAATCAAGTTAAAAATAGGACATTAGTTTGTAATCAAAACCTTTATACACATATTAGTCGTTACTTGCAGCTACATCGGAAAGCCGTAAGGATTGAGCGCTTCTTATTCGCTCTGCCTATTTAGCAATAAACCATTATGTCAATGATTAGCTTACGAGTCGTGCGACAAAAATTTTATAAGACATTTCTTTCAAATGACTACTGTATGAATATACATACGTGTAATGACTATTACTTACTTGCTGCGATAAATCTTCGCGTGTAATAAGATTAATAATCTCCTGGAACAATTTAGCTTTAGGATCAGACTGATCATTTGATGCAGTTAATTGCAGTGATGGTTGCTTAATCTTCTGCTTTAAACAGTTGTCCAGTTGGAGTCTTAATTGCTGTCAACAAAAATAATAAAAAATTTTTCTATTGCTTAACATATGGAAAGCGTTGAGTTATTGGTACGAGTAGAACGTTCTAATTACCTTCATTAATTTAGCGATGCCAGCATCAGCAACAAACTTAATCCATGTGTCGATTGAGATAGTGTTTTCAGACTATACGGCATCGGTGTCCATTTGAATAGCAATATGTCAAAGAATGCATTCTTTTAGCTACTGTCGCAATAAATACTGTATGTTTAAATTATCAACCTCATTTCTAGAAAAGATACCCCATTATGAAATTTAACAATATTACTAATACTTAGCTGGAGGATAATGAATTGCTATGTAAAATTTTAAAGGAATATTAACCTCGTCTACTTGAATATCACCACCGAAAAATAATAGAGAAAACGGAGTAACCATTGTGGCATCAAATATTTTAATCTGAAATTAGTCGATAGTATCATTAGTATAGGGCAAATTTAGCTACCAAAGTATAATAACTGAAAGTACAGTATCGTAAATCTTGGAAAATTGTCCTACCTGACTATCCAATTTCATTTTTTTATGGTATATTAACCATTTACTACTAAAAAAATTTCGATTATGGTGGACCGAGCTGGGATGAAAAAACACTGCTCTGTCGTGTCTCGTTGAAAGTTTAGGAGGCCTAAATTATGATTTATAGAATACAAGTTAGAATAAGTATGCATAACGGTTGCTAAGCATTCTAACCAAATTTAATTAGAAGCACGGATGAAATTGAACCTCTTGTTATTTGTTTGTCTATGTTCGACGTGAATAACGTTTGGATATAACCCAGCACACAAGATTGCTTTAACAAGGTTACTATTGCCTTGACAATGAATTAATTTAGAGTTAAAATTAATTACCGACAATCATAGATTGCATATAGAAATAAAAATAAAATTTGTTAATGATAATTACCGGAATTAACATTATAACGATTTGCCTTTATATCCTTGGTATCTATAAATCCAATCTCGTGTAAGAGATCACCAAATTGATCTGCCATTTTGTGAACCATCTGATGTAATATAAACAACTTGATATTAATTATTCAAGGCTCCGTTATAGTTGTAGACTATCGAAACAGCATTTACGTTAAGGCCGCTTGCAGACAACAAGTTACTCCGGCAAAAGTCATAATCATTTCGGTTATATTTAGCTTTTTTCCACGACTAAAGGATAAAATCGTCAATTGCAATTGCAGCACGAAACATATCAGAACTAGTACTAATGTGAATCATGCAATTTTCAAGGCGCAAAGTTTGCTTAACCTTAAAGGCATTGAACAGTGTCAAATGATCACTAATTGAATCATGTTCGAAGCTTTTACGTGCTCGTCTTGAGGCCTCTCTATCGTCCTGTAATGAATAATAGATTTAACAGCATAATTAGATAAATTCATTTTTCTGTTATTACTAGATGTAAGCATAAAGGCTTACTACGTAAAACCTCCTACCATAACAAATACAAAAGGATCCCTATGACCTAAAAATGCCGATATTATTACAGCAGGATATAGACAAGAAAACAGTGCGCCAAATATAATAATTTTCCCTAAGCGAGGATTAAGTGGGAGTGCCGCAAGATAATGTCCGAGTGGAGTTAACGATTCGTCATCATTTAAACCATTCTAAAACAATAACGTTAAATCTCATTAGATAAACATTAGAAAATATTTTAATAATTAATTACGTATACGCATACTAAAGTATAGTAAAACAAATATTTATAAAATGCGATATTTAATCATTCAAAAGTCTAAAGATAAAATTTTTCTTGATTGATCATTTATCATTACCAAATCCTTTAAAAGAGCTATAGCTCGAGCAACTGCTTCACTATCCGGTGCATCCACTGCTTTCGATAGGAACGGTGCTATCATACCTAATTTAAGCTTCTAAAAATATAATGTAATATAGTGATCTATACAGAAAGTGAATTACCACAGAAGTACAAAGTTTGGATTTAACAAATTTTAAAATTTCAAATGATGACATAAAATATTGATGAGTTCTTGAATTTACTTTAATTTGTAAGCATATTTCTTCCAAGGGAGTCCTTAACATTTCTGGTAACTGAAATTCTTGCATTTTCGACTTATGAAATTGTGTGTAAAGGTAAAAACAGTGCCCAGCTTTTACTCTAAGAGTAAATCGTTATGATAAAGTCATACATATAGTCGCCTTGATCGCAAGCTTAACCTATCAGAAAGGTGCTTTTTCATGAAATACACGTACCTTCCTGCTCGACCCGCTCTTTGCTGTGCTGATGCTTTACTGGTCCAGACCGGAGAAAGAACTTCTAGGCCACTGGTGGGATCATAGGCCTAATTAATATTATTACATGACACATCATTTGCAAAATACAATAAATAATCAATTTCTGTCATCATTTATTTAACAGATGCAATAATAAGCTGACAGTATGTTACCTTCTCTTTTACTTTACCACAGTCAATTACGAACGATACATCATTGATGGTGATACTGAAATAAAATTGCTATAATTAATAAAATAATTTTAATTCTAAATAAATAACGTTACTAATTGAGCTGAAAATGGGTACAGTACTGCTGTAAGTGGTAACCTTGTCTCAGCAATATCGGTAGCAATAACAATTTTTCGAACAGAAGGTAGGGGTTTTTCAAATATCTTGTAAGAAATGATTAGCATCATAAAAAAATTTCTTTTGGAAAAGTCTTAAGATCAATGTTAGCGTTCATTTTACTTACTTTTCTTTGATTTACAGTTGATAATTGCGAATGCAACGGGATGATTAGGTATCTCCCTATTTAGTTTAAAACCAAGTTTTATAAGTTTTTCGTAAGCACCTTAATAATAATAACTATTATCTTCTAAATAAAGTGCTGGAATTGTTGCTGTAAATTATAACTCATGAAGTATACAGATAATATCGTTAATGCAGTCGCAATCAGTATAGTGTACTGTACATTGCATCAACCGCGTCAACAATTTAGAATTATATAAATACCTGACGAAAAATAGGGACTTAATCGTAATCGTTCGTAAAGTTTACGAATGTCCTCCCATCCAGGCAGAAAGCATAAAATAGCACCTTTCTACAAGGTCGGATATTGTTTGTATAAATATAGCTTAGCAAGAGATGGATATCCTCACGTTTTACCGCCGAAAAGGTTGAACGACCTACCTCCATGTGATCTGATATGTAAGTTATTATATCTTCAATTAATTCGAAATCTAAATCGTCAAAAACCATTCGTTCCACAGACTGTGCAGTTCTTAAGCAATACCTGGGCCGTACAAGAATAGATCTATTCATCTAATACTATAGTATAAATTTAATGTGAGCTGTTACATCGACAATATACTGCAGCAATTCGCGGTATCTTACTCATCCGAAATGAATCCTAAAAAATCGCGCCAATCGTTGTCTTCAACACTTTCTTTACTTCTATATGGTCGGTTCCTACCTCGTGTGCTATTACGTGTATTCGATTTCGGCTGGAAGTATACTTTTTGATTACTGTAACATGAAGTAAGTGTTATCAATACTTGCTATTTGGTGAAACCCATTGCTATGATAGTTCTGTTCTCAATCATGTAACTACTGTATAAGCTATATATTATTATCGAAAATATGAGCGTATGGAAGATCTACAACCTTAGTAATATTAGCCTTGAAATTAATGTACGTACAGAACAGTACATTACTGTATTTAATCTATGTTATGCATGCTATCTACTCATTCTCTTAGTACATTTTCTACAATTAAAAATGAAATGGTACTATCTTTTATCATAACAGCACGACGTCCTGTAATTTGGACTTACCCTAGCATCGAGATAATGTCTTCCATGTAGTAATGTCTAACAGAATACAACGATCCGGGAATCTCCACGATTGGACAATTATTAAAATACGAAGAAAAGCTAGCAGCATTCAACGTAGCACTCATTAGAACAACTTTTAGATCGGGCCTAGGAAAAGTTAATAAGTTCTGTATTAGTCGGAGATTGAATGGAGTTCTTATTCTTATGATATCTAAAATAACTTTTATCCAACCTTTTGCTTAAAATATCTTTTAAATAGATTAATAAGAAGTCCGACATTAAATTTCGCTCATGGATTTCATCGATAATAAGATGGCTATATTGTGAAAGTAACGGATCATTCTGTAATTGTCGGAGTAAAATGCCAGTTGTACAGTAGATCATTGACCCTTGATTTCGCGGTAGCTTATTTTCTAGCCTAATTTGATAGCCTGCACTCGGATTGGGTTGATTTTTCTCAATACGTTCATCAAGAACACGCTCAGCAACCTTAATCATACAGTTAGTGTTGGTTGATAAGAGAATTGTATAGGTGGTATAGCTTGATGAAGGCTGTTATAGTCCAAAGAGACTTATTTATAAATCGTATTTAAAATCAGGATAGCTTACGATACTTATATTCATATTTGTATTTATAAATGTATATTCTATACTCATTAGCCTATTTACAAATACACGTTATCATAGATCAGAATAAGACGCAGCATTCAAACTTATAGCTAAGGCACTAACTTACCGATATTGCACTAATTCGACGTGGCTGTGTACAAGCAATCTTGCATAATGATCCATTGCCGGAGCAAATAGCATCATCAAGTATAAACTGAGGTAACTGCGTAGTTTTACCACATCCAGTCTGACCACTAATAACTACGATTTGATTACTATGAATGAGATTCATAATATCATCGTGCATTGCATAAATCGGAAGTTTCTGCCTCTCAGCCTGACAAGAATTATTGAATTTACTGTTAGATTAAAATATAGTGGTAAGAACATCTATTTATATAAATTAACTACTAGTCGCTACGTTATTACTATGTCCATAACACCATGGTAACATTAGCTCAACAGCATGTGTGCTCATATCGTAAGCCAACAGCCAATTTTAGCTTTACCATAAGCAATAGTAAATAAGTAAATTGGTTAACAATTGTAGACGAAATTGACATAGTAGCATTTGCTACAGTAAGCCAACAGCTAATTTTAACTTTTCAATAAGTGATAGTAAATAAACAAATGGGTTAGCAATTGCGGTGCATTTACAAAGTGTGCGGCTAACTGCAAGATACGCGTAGAATATCTGACTAAGCCATTTGAGCTACTGAGTATCTACGAATATAAATGTAGCAGTGTAGAAGATACTGTTACTCACGAGCAATTTTTGATAGCTTGGATCTTTAAATTTCGTTTCTAATTCTTCTTTTAATCTATTATCAAGATGAGGATCTCGTTGTAAGAATTGAATCGAATCAGAAAATTGCTGATCAGAATCTACATGATGGCTGGATTCGTTATCGAGGCTACAACTGGCTTCCACTTGATCTACGATCGATGCGATCGCATGCTGTTTACCGTCATCTAACTCAATGACAGCTCTCTAAAATAGGAGATATAGTTTTATTTACATCCTATTTATAGCAGTTTAACTGTATTCCATAGGCAACATTGCCCAACTAAGTATACTTAAAAGCAAAATTAGATTAATAGACACTTGGACAGTTGCTTGTGTAACTGTAGCACTGAGATTGCAAAGCATCGAGTAAAATGCAATTGCCATACTACGTATTCCAGTATTATAATATAACAGTCATTACAGTTATAAGACGGCTTACTTCTATTTTCTCCTTCTCTTTCTTCCTTGTTCGACTTAAATTAGCATAGTACATGCCAATTTCCTTACCAGACAAGCCGGGTGGTCTACCTACGCCGCCACCGCGACCGCCACCTCGATTGCCACCTCGATAGCTACCTCGACCACCACCACCTCGTCCAAAGCTTCTTCCTCGTCCTCGGTCCATTCCTTGATCTTTTAACACATACTCACTATCATCTGATGAAGTAAGTTTAATGGAAGTGTTATACAAATGCCTAAACTGGTATAGTTTTGTCCTTGTTAATAATTTAGTAGACGTATACGACCAAATGGGATAGCAGGACATGAAATTGAGCTTGACTTTTTGTCTGTGTTGAATGGATCCTGGCGGAAGTTAATAGCTTAATCACTGTAGGATGGATTGATTATACAGCTTACAATAATCACTCCCGGATACGAAAGGGTCTCATACTAAGCCTTATAGTTCCAAGACCTCTAGACAGACGGATGCTAGTCTCTCTTCAGCACTGTACACTGTACAGTACAGATTGGAAAGCTGGGTGCGGTCGCTTTAAGACTGATCCGGCAAACCTGATGTCAGGCAGGATTCAGGAAAGTTGCCCGTGATCGACTGCATTTGGATCGCAGTAAAATGGGCAAAGATTATCCCAGTAATATACAATAATTTCTGCTTTCCAGTGGAATGATAGAGCAACAAAGGCTCCTGTAGGGGCTATTAATAATAATACAAGTTTTTACAGTAAGCATTCGCTGTATCTGTGATAAGCAAGTGGATCACTGCAGCAGTCGATACAGATTTTATCTGCATAGTCATATTTAAAATTGTCTGAGCATCAGCAAGCTTTACCTTGGATGCATTTGCATTCATACTTTTATAATTACCGAATTGCTGTATGCAGCAGTGGTTATAGATAAAAAAAAAAGTGTTCTACAGGGTGCAGTATACTGTACTGCTGTGCCTTAATCACATCCCGTATGCTAAGTTGTTAGATTAGCTAACTAATCATTAGTTAATTCAACTGAATAAGTAATAACTAGTTCCGCATCATGAGCATTCTTACCAGATATAGACTTAGTATTTATTACAAGCTGTAGCAAGGGTTTAATCCGTGCAGTATGCCGAAAATGACTTATGCAATCTTAATGTAATATTACTTTAGCAGTTCGGTAAATTATCGACTTTGATACGATAAGTACAAGTATAAAAGTAAAATATTGTACTACCAAAAAAAATTGCTAAATCTATGTATGTACCAGCTATTAGCATATGACTGAACAACATAGAGATAATTCATCAATATTATTGCACGGTACATTCAAATATAGCAGTCAGAAAAAAAGCTAATCGATCATTGAACGATTGCATTCTTACAAGAAGTATTGCATTCAGTTTTGAGTAATAAAATACTTCCGAGAGATCGTAAAATATTCGCAATTCGGATATGATTTACAAGGAGAAACTTTATAAACAATAACAAATACGAATAAAGCAGATTTCTAGACTAGATCAAGCATTGATATATAAAAATCTTTTGCTACGTTAGTAACACTGTCTTCCTCTTTAATGATTTATACTAATAATTCGATATTATACTGTATAGTATAGCATAAATATTCAGTAGTAGCGATCAGTAAAGCGTGAAATTTGTTCTTTAATTTAATAGAATTAATAGCCTTATTGTAAAGATAATAACATATGGAATTATAGTTTTAACATCAACTTTAATATTGATGATTTCAGTTTGGCTCATAAATTTTCCTTCTTTTAATCTAAATTAATAAGATAAAATTTATATTACAAGTTATAGGGTTACCATTGAACTATGTAGTAAAGTGAGAACTTTTAATATAAAGATATAATAATAAATGCGAATGTTAAATATATACTTAATCGTGAAAGTTAACCTGCTCAGATACATTTTCTTCAGTTATGAGGGAAATGATTTCATGTAATAATCTCCCTTTAAGATCAGAAGAGTCTTCTGATGCTGTTAGTTTTAATGACGGTTGATTAATTTTCTGTTCCAAGTAATTATCCAATTGACGTCTTAATTGCTACCGAGACAAATGTACATAAAACATTATTGAAATAATTAACTTTCGGCTTCAGTATTAATCAATCTAGTATCATATTTAGTGCTACCATAATAATTCTTGCTAGGCTCGGATTAGCTTCGAAATTGATCCAAGAGTCAATAGAAATATTACTTTCTGACTAAAATGATAAAAATAACATGAACCTTGATGAGTTGCCATATGTAGTCCAATAATGTAAAATTTTAAATAGAAGAGATCAAATTATTTTCTTTCATGCAGTTCATTTGTCAGTACTATAAAACATAATAGATTTAACTGATTACCTGCTTTACATCAATATCACCTCCAAAAAAGAGTAATGATAAAGGAGAAACCATCGTCGTGTCAAATACATGAACCTTTAATCCAAAAGTCATGTCCTTAAATACAATGCGGTCTTAAGTCACGCAAGCAATGGTATCCTTACCTGTTCGCCTAATTTCATTTTCTTATGATAGACTAACCAATCGCTATCAAACCGTCTATAATTACTGAGAACAGAACTTTGATGCAAATTAACTTGCTCACCGGAACGAGTATAAAATCTAGGCGACCTACGACAATACGGCGATCGTTCAATCTTATTATAGCTGACGCAAAATTTGAAACTAAGATGTTAGTAAATAAAATTTTACATAAAATTTACCTTCTCTTATTATTTCTATACTTTATCTGGAGAACACTAGGATATAGACCAGCACATATTATTGCTTTGAGAAGTTTCTCATTGCCTAGCATAGATTACAGTATCAGTCAATCAGTTTATTAACTACTGTGATCTAGCAGAAATAGATTTAATAATAATTTAAAATGTCCCAGAAGGATAAATAAATACTTGAAAGATAATTCTTAAAGTATATGTCATACTTAAAGCCTATTGTAGTTATTTTAATAACTCTAAAATTAAAACGCTGCCCATACTTGAGTTATAATTATAATTTTGCGATCTAATGTTTTTCGTGTCAACAAAACCAATTTCATACAGGAGATTACAAAATTGTTGAGCTAATCCAAGAATAGTCTATATTTTAAAAGTGCACATACAAGTAATCAAATATTAGTTCAGTGCGATATCCAAAGTGATTAAGAGTAGTTCTAGGAAATGCAAGAAGTCATTGATACATTAACTAAGAATATTTTTTAATATCTAATCGCTTTTAACATTACTCGAAGGCCGCTTTGAGATAAGTAATTGTCCCGGCAGAATTCAGCTGCAGTTTTCCTTTGCATAGCCTTTTCCCATGTCTAAGAGGATAGTATAAATTTGAATCAATAAGAAAGAGTAGTTGAATAAACTATCTTGAGAATCACAATTTATATCACAATTTGTCACATACGTAAAATGCAACAACTGATGTCAAGTGATCACTAAATGAATTGCCAGAAAATTTTTTGCGAATTTTGTACACTTCAGCTTTACGATCCTTGAAATTATAATTTTATAATTAATAGTGCGTTACTTTTATCTTAAAATCAAATCATAATTTGCCTATCAGACTAATAATAGCTATAACAAACTCATACCATGGGAAAGATAAATGGATCTTTGGTAGCTAAGAATGCCGAAATGACAACCGCAGGATATAAACATGAGAACATAGCACCAAATAAAATAATCTTTCCAATTCGGGGATCAACAGGCAATGTAGCAAGATAATAGCCAAGAGGTGTTAATGATTCATCACTATTCATAGCGTTCTGTCATTCGTAAAGATAGATAATTTAGTACGCAAATGTTATACAAGGTTCCATTCTTATAACAATTACTATTTTATTTCTGTGTATTTGATAGTACTAATAGCTAAACTAATAGTTGTAGTACCAAATCTTTTAATAGATGTATCGCTCTTGCAACGGCTCCATCATCAGGAGGATCCAACGCTTTTGATAGGAAAGGTGATATCATGCCTAGGTTAAGTTTCTTCGTAAAAATATACCTCGTGTTATTATTCAGCATACAATGATATAGATACCAATGATATGTTCATCGTGTATAGACTAACTTTTATTTGTAGACACAGTTCATCCAAAGGAGTCCTTAGTATTTCGGGTAAGTTGTACTCTTGCATATGCTGTGCTATGAATTTCGGATAAAGGTAAAAGCAATGGCCTGGTTGGACTCTGTAAGAACAAAGCAAAATCGAATGTATTAAAACTAGAATTAAGACATACAAATCTATAAATATTACTGTTAGAAATGATACAAATTTTGTTAGTAAACCTATTTTTTGTTAATGAACTTATTAGTAGACTACTGTCAATTTTCTACAGCATAATAATGTATGATAAGAAGTTAGTAACGGTAATAATGTAACATCTATGAGTAAGCGTGACAGCTATCAAATTCATATTTAATTATTAACGGCACGATACTAGTTGGGAATACTATTGCACCTTCCAGCCCGACCGGCCCGTTGACGTGCCGATGATTTACTAGTCCAAACCGGAGCCAGAGTTTCAAAGCCGCCGACCGCATCATAGAGCTATTAATCGTATGCACGTAGCATGATTAAGTCAATGACATTTTTAACATTAATTCCTTTGACATAATGATCAATATGAAATACGTTCAAGTTTACAACAAAGTTACTATCACTTACTTTCTCTTTTACTTTTCCACAGTCTATCACAAAGCATACGTCATTAACAGTAATACTAAAATTTAAAAAATGCCGTCGCATTACATACGCGTCAATTCAATCGATTAGAACTCTAACCGAAAAGTTTCTGTGATTAGTGCTAACATCATTAAACGATTACGATATAAACCTTGTTTCGGCGATATCGGTAGCAATAATAATTTTTCGAACTGATTGTTGCGGCTTATCGAAAATCTTATTAAAAATATAAGTCGGATTAAAATATCTTCGGTTACCTATAAAGCGAGTCAACACTATCACTTTCTTTGGTGTATGCATGATAGAACTTACTTTACGCTGATTTGCAGTCGATAATTGCGAATGCAATGGAAGAATTACATATTGATCTATTAAAAGAATGCAATAACAAAACTTTTATATTATGTTAAGAGAGATAATTACAATACTGTAAACTTGGATGTGCCGATACATTATAAGAATTATATCCGCAGAAGCGTATAAAATAGAAGTAAACTATCGAAGCGGCGTTTGCGAAATACAGGATTTCATATTCTCCAATAAACTAGTAAAATTTAGCTTCATATCCCGTAATGAAAGGAGAATGCACAGATCCTATTGGACGATTTACTACTTTAAGCACAGCCAGAACAGAATTAACTGTAAGTCATGTTTATTCTAAGATTCAAAGCGCGAATACATCAATACTCGTACATAATATTATCGATATTTTCTGTGTTATGATCTTTTCATTATGTTCTTTGTCAATATAGCCGAAAGTAACTAACTACCTTCTACTCTGATATTACAAACCTGATGAAAAACGTGGATTTCCTATCAATGTCTCATACAACTTACGAATATCATCCCATCCAGGAACAAAACATAAAATTGCACCTTCCTATAAAATTGGATAGTTAGCTAACTCGATCGAAATTGTACAACAGAACATGCAGAAATACCGTATTTACGTATTCAATGCTTATATTTTAAAGAAAAGATGAACATAGAATATAGCCATGCTATACCTCCATATTACTATTAATGTGAATTAATAAATCTTGTATTAATGTAAAGTCTAATTTCTTGAATGCCATTTGCTTTATCGATTTGGCCACTGTTGGAGAATACCTAATTAATAGACATTATCCAAACTTAACGATCTATCAGGATAATAATAGAGCGTAATTTTGCCATTCACTTACTTATTCGAGGTGGTTTCTAAATATTTATACCATGCATCAGTCTCCGAAGAAATGATCTCATTGTTCATTTTGTCTTCACCACTGTCTTGTGGATTTCTTACTTTTGGTTGATAATAATTTTTTCTATTACTGCAATGAACAGATTTTAAAATTAACATTATATTTGAAGATATAATCACAGCATAAATAATTCAAGCTGTAATCTTATCACGCTTTTCTGCTGTTTAAGTTGACACTTACTTCAAGAAAGTGATAATGTCTTCTAAATAGTAGTGTTTAACAGGATAGAGAGTTCCAGGAATTTCAATAATAGGACAATTGTTAAAGTATTGTGAAAATTTTTTAGCATTTAGGGTAGCACTCATCAAGATAACCTTTAGATCGGGCCTTTTAACTAATATATCTTGTAAACATATCAGCAGAAAATCCGACATAGCGTCTCTTTCGTGAATTTCATCAATAATGAGATGACTGTATTGAGAAAGTAGCGGATCACTTTGTAATTTACGTAATAAGATGCCAGTTGTACAAAGAATTATTGATCCATAACGTCGCGGTAGTTTAGTTTCAAGCCTTATCTGATAGCCAACACTAGAACCTGGCTGCTTTTTCTCTCCACGCTCATCTTGAATACGTTCGGCTACCTAAGAATTTAAAATGAACTTCATGATATTATTAATTGCTTTTGATAAAGGCTATATGAATCAAAATTGTCACTTTAACGGAGCCAGATATTAATTAGTTTAAGGGCTCAATATACTGTATTATAAGAATTATAATTAATCAATGAAATATATCATTTATTGCTACCTACAGATATAGCACTAATTCGTCGTGGCTGTGTGCATAAAATTTTACACAACGACCCATTGTTATTATCAATAGCTTCATCAAGTATAAATTGTGGTAACTGCGTGGTTTTACCACATCCGGTATGGCCACTTATTACTATAGCCTGGTTATCACGAATAGACTTGAGGATTTTATTTTGCATACTGAATATTGGAAGTTTCTTTCTAACATCCTAAATAAAACAAAATATCAATCATAGACAACAATACCATATTGCATTATTCAGGGACTATGTCTACTTTCATTGTGATTGTCTATTAATAAGTGTAGTAGCAATCAGGCATGCTATTAAATTTAAGAAGGCAAGAAGAGATTATCACTGCACAGAACTATATATATATAATTAGAGTTAGACATAGAACATATATTACATTAGGCACTGCTATGTCTACTTTATCAAGGTGGCAAAAATTAAAGTAAGATAAACTATAGTACGTAGTTATATCGATAGTACAGTAAAATATTGAGCCAAGGATATGTTTATCAGGTGGCATATACAGTATATTATCCTGATTCTGGATTTTATACTTTTATCAAGCTTGTACGTTGACTTTTCTGGTACAGTATATTTATCATATTCATTCATGACTTTTATATATCAAAAACGACGTATCTATGCATGGGCATCTATACGGTAGGTCTAGACAGGATGTAAATCTAATACTGGATTATCGAATAAAATGATGTCAATATATTACATTAATAAGTAGTCTGCTTCGTAGTATACACTGTATAAATATTGAGGCTATTGAACAGATGAATTACTTCAATTTCACTAATAAGGAGAAGCCAATACAATACGCTGTAAATATTGCACATCATAATGTCTTAAAGGGTAAGGAATACTTACTAAAAGTTGCTGATAATGTGGAGTAGTTCGGGTTTCGTTTAGCTGCTCTTTATACAAATCGTCCAGACGCTGACGTTTTTGCAATGATCGACTATTTCTTACAATTTGATGGATATCATTGACTACACTGTCATGAAGGTGTTGTCTATTACTGTTGCGTTCAGTTTTGACTTGATGAATGAGAGATGCAATAACTTCTTGTTTTCTCGTATCTAGATCAATTAGTGGTCTCTGTAGGGTAGCGAAAGGTAAAAAAGTACAAGCCATGGATTAGCCGTACATTATTTATTTGGTAGACAATATCACACGCACATGACTTGATAGGTCACGTCTTTTAAAGAAAAGCTAATAGGTATCATTGATGGAACAGTTAATCTATTATAACAAGCTGAAAATCCACTACAGATGAGCGAAATGCAAAAAGAATTCATTTGAGCAAGCAGATGAATCTGCATGTCGATGTTTTGAGAATGGATTGCAGAGAATGAGGCAGTCAGTGTACTTGACAACGGATAAGATATATATATATGCTGCTAGTAAACTACAAATTGACACACCACCTAGTGGACATATTGGTATCTTACCTGTTTTAATTCGAGTTGCTTTCTGGCCTTTTCCTGGTTTTTCCTTTTTTCTCCTTTCTTTACTTTTCTTGACAGACGCATATCGGATCTTCTCAAGAAACGATTTTTCCCTTTTCCACTTCTTTCTCTCTTTTGCAACATATTCAAGCCAACCCATTGGGTGGAAACAAGACTTGGATAGAGTAAATGTGCTGGATATTTGATTAGCATGGAATATCGACGCGCTATTAATGAATAATCATGCCAGATATGGCCACTGGCCAGAGCAGATCTGCTGGTCAATGCACAGCTCAAGCTTCTCATGAACATAATACGACTCATGATGATTTGACATGCACAATTTCACTTGTCATTCTCAATTGACCCTCTGTAAGGGCTTCTATCTCTTCAACTGGATTCTAACGGTTTTTAATTTAGCTACTAGCCGTGGCGAATGGCTTTCTCAACCGTCCATTACTGATATTCTCCATCTTGTAAAGCCTCAAAGCATGTGCGCCCTCGATTGGTTTCCGCTTGCACATGAATGAACTCAATCACGCAGGGATTTCTAGCATGCCGTACAGTACAAAACGCCTTCCACGATTAGTACTGTACACTGTACATACTGATACTAGGGACATTAGCTAGGGTCGCGGCAGCAGCTCTTACATTGTACAGTACAAATGTACCATGTACTGTAGGATGTGTCTATACAGACAGAAAGATGCTGGAAATGCTCCAATGAACAGATCACTCCTGTTCTTGTTGCTTGCTGACGCCGCTGCAAGAGTTGATTTTGAGAGGAAATGGAGTAAGATCGTACCTTCATTATTCATCTTAATGTTTATAGCACCAGTACTACTTAAATCTTAGAAGGTAACATCTTGCAAATTTCCCTTAATTTTGACTCTACAATATGCGATGACCTAATGGATAGCTTGCAGCCTTGCAACACACGATTACAGAATGCACCACCGACGAGCACTTGAGGCCAGGCCCTTCCAATAGATTAGCACTGTAGTGGTAGCTTATAAACAGGCCATAAAACGGATAATTATCATGATGCCGTGCTTCAACAGAGCTAGATGCAATAACTAAAAATCACCTCAGATACTGATAGCCTTTAATTATAATAAGCTGCACACTAATATTTTAGAAAGACTATCGTACCGTATTTAAATTTGTGCTTTCGTTCTATTCGTATATATACGCGACACAGTTTAATTAGCTAACAAGTCCTCAGTCAGAGACTTGAACCACGAGGTATTTATTCTTCTAGTGGTCCATGCCAGCGAGTAGGACGAACTTTTACTGCAGTTTGTATATCAACGATAATACTGTACAATAGCTGATGATGCAATTTCTATCCAATCTTGCATAATGATTGATACATATACATGGTGATAGAGATGGTAATAATCAACTGAAAGCGGACACACGTGGCTTCCCAATTTCAAGATCATATAAGCGCCTAATAATAAATCCCTGAATCAAGGAGCGTTAACTATAGTGTAATTACTTGTAATACCATGTTTAGCATGATCGTGAACCATTCTACGTGCCTCAAATCATTGCATATTCCGCTCCTATTGACTCGGTTAGGAAAATAATATTTCTAGTCGGTACAAGATAACAGCGTCAGTAGTTACAAAAGTGAATTATGCGAGAGTTCTAATTGCATTAATTAAACTGTATAAAATGTTTGGAGTAATACGTGGGCGATTTACTTTAGCAAAGCTAATCAGCCTAGCAATGATTATAATTATATTTTATTAGCGTGCTTGGCTCTATTCATAACTGGTATTAAACAATTAAATGGAATTTATCCACAGATAGAGGATACCTATTTCAACGTTTCATACAAAACAATTCTCATCCCTTAGATTTTAGCGAATTCCAGTAGAAATCAAATGCTAATACCGCAATAAATTCAAGAATATATTTCACTAAATACTGTAGCCCATGCAGCAAATACAAATTATTGACAATAATAGTTACTCCAAGCAACTGAACACATATTCCCTCGGCGAAGAAAGATACTACGCCAAATTCATAATTTTATATTATTCCCGATAATTTTACGTCCATACGGTCACAACATGGCACACTATATAACGGCACATTGACTACTCTCAGACTTTGATCGCTATATCGTTAAAACCGTTTATTTAACAAAATTCAATACAAAATCAAAAATATTGATCTAAAAATATTGCCCATTTCAAAGTGTCGCAATATAGTATTGTATTGATTTTTTTCGGTAAAACATCAATAGGCGGCTATTGCCTAAATAGTATGTACGTATGTACGTACCTACGTTCTGTATAATAAAACTAAATAGCAAACAGCAACTCAGTAAATTAACCTTAACGAATACGTTATATTTGATAAAACTAGTAATCTACAGGGATAACGATGACGTAGTATATCTTCGTAGGATATACATAAGCGTCAGTATTTTTAAATTTACGTTAAAGATATCTTATCTAAAGATCGGACATTCATTACGCAGTATAAATGTTAGATAGCTAATATGAGCGCTATGAGTATGAATGACATCAAGAGCATTCCTTGACTATACCACATATGAATTGAGATTGTACCTAAAGATTAGACAAAGTATAGAAAATAAGTTAAGGGTAAAGTGATATTATCATGTAGGTTAAAATTTGGTCGAGTAAAGGCAACACTTCACTTACCGCTTGTTGTAGGGGTTACGGCTTGAGTTGTTGGTAATGCCGTTGTAGGTGGTGGTAGCGTAGTTGGACAAGCGCCTAAATTGCAGGATAACGTTTGAGATTGATATTCACAACTGGACGGTACATTGGGCGAAGCACATTTCGATCGTGTTCTATTTTTGAATCCAGGACCGCAACTAACGCTACAAGCTGTTTCCTCCCATTCGCTCCATATTGCTAAAATGTAAGCAAGAATGATTGCAATCATTATCATGGTAATAACATGCTTTTTAAGGGTGGAACGCTAGAGAAACTGTTAATTATTAAGCATAAGCGATCCCTACTACACATTGAAGGTGATAATATATTAAAATTCAAAAAGTTGTTGTCATAATGTAGAATTGAAATAAATAATGTATCTGCTATCTTGCCTGTATCACAAAGTTGGCCACTAAACCCATTTGCACAATTGCAAGTGAAGGAATTGGCGGTAGGAATGCAAGTTCCGAAAGTGCACAAAGTCGAATTGCAATTGGATAGGGCTAACAACGATTAAAAAAATATTAGAGATATTATACGTTGGCGATTCTCCCTGTACAATGTACGGGAATGAATTTTCGTTTTCATACAAAATTATTATAGTAAGCAGTCACTCGTTAACACTTATAGTAAATTGATCTTACGTGCATCACAATTAGTTCCAGTATATGAACCAAAGCATGAACACGTATAACCATTATCATTTGGAGAATGAGAACAATAGCCATTGACACAAGGATTGGATGCGCATTCGTTATAATCTAAGATTGAAACAGAGGTATATCTATCTTATACGTGCCTACTACACATATACACTTATTATAATCTTGAATGCAATGATATTATCCGACTGTATTATTTTTAAACAACGTCATGTAGTCTATTAAATTCATCCTAACCGTAGCATCTCAAAACGACATCGCGATCATGGAGGCAGCCAGTTTGACCAAATCCACCATGACCACATTCTGTGACTTGTACTTCATAACCGTAACAGGTCAGTCCAGCTAACCAAATACGTCCTGTAACAGGACTAGTAAGAGCGCTAGTGTTTAATTGCTGTAGCATCCTTCGATAGCCTAGCTGGCGACAAATAACATTGCCATCTAGTGTATCGAAACCTTTATTGCAAACAGTTCCCCATTCATTATTGTAAAAGATTTGAACAGCTCCTGTATCATTTCTGCCACCATTAATAAGTCGAATGGATTGTGTATAGGCCGGTCCTGCAGAGAATTTGTCATATACATGTAATTAAAAACATTTATGATATTTTCAAACTGTTCTAAGTATAGAAAAAACAAATTAGTCAATTATTTTGAAAATATTTAAATGAAATTTGTATTAGTACAGAAGTAGTATTCGCTAACAAAGTTCCAATAATGCTAAGATAAAAACTTGATCAATAACAAATAAACCAGTTGAGTTTAAGGAAACTACCGTATTTACTTGTAATTACATGTAATAATCCCCGAAATAATAGTATTAACAGGAAATCGCTAATATTTCAGCGAATAAGGAGTGAATAATTCGATTGTTGATGATAGAATCGTTTTAAATATTCCTTGGTAAAATTTCTACAAATACGACTTATAAATTATTACCTTGATTACATAATGGTCCTGAATAGCCGTAATTGCAATGGCACACGAACTTGCTGAATAGATCAATACACTGGCCATTAGAACAAGGGTTCGAAGCACATTCGTTTATTTCTAGGTTAGAGTAAGAATTATTACATTAATATTAGCTAAATCTTAGGTAGTCGATACAGAATACATTTCACATGTACAAGTTCAGAACCTGATTGACACTGTACTCCTTCATAGCCAGGTGAACATTGACAAGCAAAGCCGGCAGCAGTTTCACTACATGTACCATGGATACATGGATTCGATTGGCAAGCAATGATTGCTGTATTGAGATAATAATAATTTTTAGGGTGCAAATTATCGTTAAAACCTGCTTAACACTATATCGACCAGTGATCGTTGTTATAATTATCTATAAATAAATGTTTATAATATTGTTTAGAAATATAGCGAGCATAATTCCATTGCACTGAATTTGTAACAAAACAATTAAATTAAAGGTACGAATTCGTTGCCATTTCTGATTTATTTACCAATACTTTGCTCTATTAATTTTTAAAATAAGCGTAACAATAAATTTCAAAATTAAATCCAACATACTTGTATTACAACGCATGCCAGTTGACTTTGGACCACAGAAGCAAGTATAATTACTATCACTTGAACCGTAAGGTTTATAAGTTGATAATAAAGGCGCAACAGTGCTTGCATTATAGGAATTATTGTAGTAGCAAAGGGCATCATTATAGCACAAAGGTTCACAGCTATAAGGAGCTAAATAATTATAATAGAGAAACGTGACAAAGATTATAAAGCAATTTAACAAATAAGTTTTTGCTAAATATTAATGCTTACTATTTCCTATTCTTAATTAACATTTATGAAAAACATTTAAATAGTTATATTCGATTATATTGGTAAAAAGAATGCACTTCAAACTTACCCATGTTGGCATTCTCAGGTCTCAAGTATTGTACAAATTTAGTTCCATTTCCACAAACAGCTGAAGGTGTAATTGTCCATGTACGTTTATAACTGGGGCTACAATAATTGCTGATTTTCTCATCGGAGTATTGAATCACTGGTGCTGGATAAGTAAAGCTGCATGGTGCTTTCGCGGTCACTTGAATCTGACCTGTACTAACAGGATCAAGACTAGCAGGGCATTTATAAGTGAAATCAGCTGGTGGTTGATAGACTTGTTCGGGATAGCCGACTACGATAGTCTGTGTTACGGAGGCATTATTTCCGCACGTATCACTAATAGTCCATAATCTTTGAACAGTACGACCACATGGACTGGAAGCACCGGCAGTATCGATAGACGATAGCGGTATTGCTACATTACATCTTGGATCGGTCATAACTTGAGGTTGACCAATGGCTGAAGCTGTTACATCGACCGTGTTCGGATCTTGGCATGATCTAATATCGACATAAGTTTGCATAATAAGTTTCGGTGGATTTGTAGCTAAATCTTCGTCGATTCTACCGTCACCATCGTCGTCTATACCGTTAGCTTTTTCCTCATCAATTCGACCATCACAATCATCGTCAATACCGTTTCCAGCCATTGAATTCATGTACATGACACATTGGTGCCTTGCATTAATACCTAATGGCATACCATAACTTTCTGCATAAGAGAATGCGTAATACATTGCTGAAAAGTATACGTTAGGATTTATATGACGTAGAGAATGGCTACTACGTGTTGCTCTAATAATTAAACCAGTGAAATTAGTATCAGGAATAGGGCTTTGATCTAATATCATTAATGCTTGACCATCTAAACGTAATCCTTGTAATAGTTGAGTATCGACGATAATATTGATATATATCATATAGCTAGTGCCACTCATGGTTGGTCCATTAAACAGGTAATCTTTGTAAAATTGTTGAAAACCGGGTACAGTTGTTAAGAATGGATCATATTGTGTAAAATCTAATTCTCCTCCACGATTATATTGATAAACAGAGCAAACTTGGCTACAGCGGATAACGACTGGTGTATTAACATCACCCAAGAATTCGATGAAACCGCCTCGTTTAGAAATTTGCATCATTTTTACACTTTTACCGGTAATAGTAACATCTACGTTATCTTCACTCGCGATGACACGATATAATGCTGATATATTTTTACGTCCATAAATGTACATACTAGCGTATTGAGTGTCCCAATAACGTACTGGAACTAATTGTTCGACGAGATGATCGCAAGCTCTTGCATTAACTTCTACATTAGCACATTTATCACCGCTGAATACAGCAATAGGTTGGTTAGCATTAATGATAGTTCCTGTTAGATCTTTATCACTTTGGAATTGATAAGCTTGTAATTGTTGTAGTGTGATGGTATAATTTTGATTACGTGAATAATTGGAACCGCCAAAGCTTATATCGGTAGGGAAATTAATAGTGACTTTTGTTCGATTTGCTGTACCGATAATAACAAACTCCGAACTCTGAGAAGGATAGGATGCTACAATATAGCGGAAGCCTAATGAAGTTAGCGGTAATGCGAGGTAGCTTTCAGTAGATCTTGGTGCTGCAGTATAACCACGGACTGTAATAGGCTGATCAGCATGAATATTGAAAATGCGATGACTGTATGTAACGCCATAAATAGATTGAGTATTAGGTAGTTGAATAGTAACTGTAGTGCCATTACTAATAGTTTGGGTAGTTTGAAAGATTGGTCGACAAGCCGCACAAGTAATACTAACAGTGGTAGCCATTTGTGATGAGATAGTAACGCTGAGTTTAGTATCTAAAACGGCTACATTTTCCATGAAAGCAATGTAGAAATCTTTTCCAATATGATGAGCGTCACCTTAAAGTAGGGTATTAAGACATATTATAAGTAAATTGTTTTAGTAGTAGGTACTACAGTATATATCTTATTTTAATCTTTACACGCTAAAAATGATAAACCAAAACTCTAACTTTAATATAATTAAACCATTAAACTATAATATTCTTAACCATATTTATTCGAACGAATTTATTGCATAAAGTTATCCATCATTTTATCACTAAAAATCGTAAAGGGTTGTGTGATATACTGTATAAATAATCGGTTACGTAAAATTTATATGATTTCTACACTATTTATAATCATATTGTTTTATCTAACTTAAATAAATAGATATTTAGAAAAACATGTGAAAATGTAGTAGATAGCAATCTAATAGTATTTGCTGATTTTTACCTTTCTTGTAGGCGCAGTTACGACCAAAGTAGCCGTTAGCACAAAGACAATTGTATTTATTAGCACCATCATTCGAACAGGAGGCTCCATTGAGACATGGATTACTGCGACAACTGTCAAGATCTATATGAGAGAAAATACATATATTATATTATTAATAGATGATTTGTGATACCAATTTTTAATCAGATTGATTTTTTAAATTTTATAGAGTATGTTGAAGTATCAGTAAATGATAAAGATTGAGATATTCCAATAGCGATATATTGTATTTACATAATTACCTTGTTCACATGATACTCCAGTGGTATCTAATGGACATGAACAAGTATATGAATTAATTCCTTGAGTACAATTAGCCATCGCTCCTGGACCATAGCTTTTACATGGATTAGAAGCGCATTCATTAATATCTAACGGGAATAAAAATGTAAAAAGCGTAGTTTAGTTAGTATTGTATAATTAAAAAAGTTCGAATACTTTGTAGATATAAAAATTGGCTGTTAATGCAATAAAATCTGTAATAAAGTAATGATTTGAATAGAAGTAAATTATGCGAACACTCGATCCTGTTATGAAGTCATAAGAAATAATCCCGTCTAGTAGAAAACGCAATATATAAAGCTAATCTATGTAGATTAGAGTTAAGTCCTTTCAAAAATCATCTAATATTAGAATCATACTAAATACGAACTCGTGTTATGCTGCAATATCGACTTACCAAATTGACAATGAAGTCCAGTATAGCCAGGAGAACATAAGCATTGGAAACTTGTTGGAGTGTCCAAGCATGTTCCGCCATTAATGCATGGTCTAGCACAACTTGCTTGATCTATTAAAGTAATATAATATTATTTAAAATTAATGCTGCTGTATATCTACATCAGTTACCAACGACTATCTATTAGCTCCTAATTTACAGATAATACTGATTTTAGCATAGTAAATATTATTGTGATATTAATGTTATGTGTGTGTATATATATAAGATATATAGTTTACATCAGAATTTTTATAACTTAAAATATATTACTATATTCTCATCTTACTTGATTGTATTAATTGCGTGTATTTAGTATTTGGGCCACATAGTGGCGTAGGAGTAATCGACCATGTACGTTCAACATGGAAAGCACATCGTTGAACGGAAACATCTTGATAAGTAATGCTGGGTGGGGGTATTTGAATTGCTGGACAGTCGGTTGGATTTCGAACCGTCGGTTGGCCATTTACATCTACAGAGCTATCAACAGGACATAAACCACTAGTGTGGTTGGGGAATCGATACGATTGTTGACCAATCATTCTAGCAACAATACTTTGTTGCCGTGTGACTACATTGCCGCATGAATCTGCAACCGACCATTTTCGCCAGATTTGAACGCCACATGCTGTAGTCATCATTGTATCGTTGTAAGTCACTTTTATGTTTGTCTCATTGGATTTACACTGTGGGTGTACATAACCGACTGTTGCCATACCAGTAATATCAGTAGATGGCTTAAATTGCATCGGTTGACATGTAGTGATAGTATAGTTTTGAGGTACGTGTAATGTTGGATATCGTATAGATAAATCTTCATCGATTCTTCCGTCGTTATCGTCGTCGATACCGTTATATAATTCTTCATCAGTACGTCCGTCGCAATCATTATCAATTAGATCACCTGGTACACCAGGGAAGTTACAATGATGGTCGTAATTAACTCCACCGAGCATACCATAAGCAGATACTCGTTCATGACCATAGATTAATAAAGCAAATGTCACTAATGGATTACTATGACGAAGTTGATGATCTAAACCGCTAACTTGAATAGCTGCAGCGACATATTGAGTTCCCATAGCTTGTACCCATGATATCGATGAATTGATTGGATTTCCATCTAATGTTAATCCACTAACTTGATCTTTTTCGATAATTATTGTAATATAATGGACAATCTCTGTACCAAGCATTAATGTTGGTCGGAAGAGATAATCTTTAGAGTATTGATCAATAGCTGGTATATAAATCATCATCGGATCAGAATTAGTGCTATCTACAGTTCGTCCTTTAGTATATTGTGTTAATAAGCATGGACGGCTGCAATTAAGATACATAGCTGTACCGCTATTGACTTCGAACTCAAAGTGACTGCCTCGAGTTGGTAGCGATTTCGATGTACCGTTACCTAAATATACCATAGTATTAGGCAAAGCTGATGTAATTCGTACAATATCATGACCTAAGCGTCCACCAAAACCGGCTACTATATAACGTGTACCAAGATTATCTACTGATGGAAGTTGTTCAATTAAATGATCACAGAATGGTTGCCCAAATGGGACATTGGCACATTCATTACCGCTATAAACAGCTATATCTTGTGATGATGTAATCATAGTACCAGTTAAATCTTCGAATTGATGAAAATATTTGAATGCCATTTTAGCTTTTAACATCATCATCAATGGTGTTTGAGAATCATAATGAGTTCCGTTATAGGTAATCGGAGCTGGGAATGTAATATTAATTTGTGTATCTTGTTCGCTTGCTACAATTGAAAGTTGAGAATTCAATGTTGGCCTATAACCAGCTACAACATAGCGTTTACCATATAATTGGCGTGGTAGAACTAGAAAGCTATCGATACTTCCAGATCGATAATTATTTCCCCATACTGCAATATTTTCTGTCGATGTTACTTGAACTACTCTATTCGTGAAGCCCATTCCCTTAGTTTGGATTGACGGTGGTAGTGAAACATCTGTGGTATTTGTAGAACCGACTGATCGTTGAAACATACAACTATCATCTAAGCATTGCACAATTACGGAAGCTTGGCGATTTTCGGCAACAAGAGTAAGGATGGGGTAACCCTCTGTACCAGGATTATGATTAAATGTAACATAGAAAGTTTTACCATAATTACTGGTTGGTATGTTTGAATCACCTATGATACATCAGAAAACGAAATATATTAATATTCGTAATGCATTAGTAAAAGAAAAGATAATAATTTCGAATCAAGAGATTATAGTGCATTATGATCTAAACTATCGAATCCTAAGAGATTGCGGTTTATACTAACATTTATTACAGTATGGTTATTTCAATATATGTTTTTCAATCTCGTACAAATTAAACATCGTTGGTATTTTTATCAAAAGGCAAACCACTACTTTAGATATATTATACCAATACAACTAAGATCTGATAGATACATTTATAGTATTAGATGTATCGGATAATAACCATAGAAATAACGTTGACTATCGCAAGCTCACTATTAAAAATATTTATGAGTAATTGTATTTTATTTTTAATACGAGATAACATTATTAACTCATGGGATTATATCCTGACCGAGAATTAATGAATCCTGTATTGCTGCTATTAAGAGATTTTTATATTCATATCATTATTCAATATAAAACGAAAATCGTATGACTTTGCAATTTAACATGACGTTGCAATTTAACATTTTTTAACGTAGGATAATTTTAACTATTTGTATATTTTGTTTTTTATATTACAACTTTACCCGAAGACTGACAAATATTGAAATCTATTGTGTATATCAGATCTGTTCACTATTTTATAGAATTAAAATTAGTTATAATGATTGTTAATAATTAATCGTATTGAAATAGGCTAAAATGTATACGTTTAAACAGTTCAAGTATAGAAAATAGTTATATAACAACAATACATACCCATTTGACATTGTACCCCTTGGTAACCAGGTGAACACTGGCAAGCAAACCCAAGAGATGTCTCAATACATGTGCCATTGACACATGGATTTGATTGACAAGCAAGGATCTCTATATTGAGATAGATAATATTTCTTTAACACACAAGTAATGATTTAAAAGTATTTTACTATTTCTATCTGTTATTATTACTAAAATTATTTATAAAATTATTTTAAAATATTAGTTGCTGCTTTACGCTACTTTCTCATTAAAGTAGTTTAACAAGTACTACAAAAGCTTCAAGTACTTCAATATATCAGACTTACTTGCTAGTAATCTGCTCAATTAATTTTAGCGAATATCAATAAGTTAGAGTACGACGACCTACATACCTGTATTACATTGTAAGCCACTCGATTTTGGACCACAGAAGCAGGTATAATTGTTATTACTTGAACCATAAGGTTTGTAGTTTTGTAGTAAAGGCGCGGCACTACTTGCATTATAGGAATTATTATAGTAGCAAAGAGCATCATTATTACATAATGTTTGACAACTGCCGGGAGCTAAATAATAAAGCAGAGTTATGATGATTAGTAAATTAATCTAGATATTTTCGCTAATATTAGTTTTCCCTATTCACAGATATACAGTATATAATCTAAATTGCTGACTTAATTTCGAGAAAAAATCATTATATTCTAATGTTTTGGAACGTAGATTGTATTTTGCAACCTACCCGCGTTAACATTCTCAGGTCTCAAGTATTGTACAAGTTTAGTGACATTTCCGCATAGAGCTGTAGGTGTAATTGTCCATGTACGTTTATAACTAGGGCTACAATAATTATTGATATTCTCATCGGAGTATTGAATCACTGGTGCTGGATAAGTAAAGCTGCATGGTGCTTTCGCGGTCACTTGAACCTGGCCTGTACTAGCAGGATCAAGATTAGCTGGACACTTATAAGTGAAATCAGCTGGTGGTTGATAGACTTGTCCGGGATAACCGACTACGATGGTCTGTGTTGCGGAGGCATTATTTCCGCACGTATCGCTTACAGTCCATAATCTCTGAACAGTACGGCCACATACGCTAGATATGCCATCAACATCGACAAAGGATGGCGGCATTGCTACATTACATCTTGGATCGGTCATAACTTGAGGTTGACCAATGACTGAAACGCTTATATTGATCGTGTTAGGATCTTGACATGCTCTAATATCGACATAAGTTTGCATAATAAGTTTCGGTGGATTTGTAGCTAAATCTTCGTCGATTCTACCGTCACCATCGTCGTCTATACCGTTAGCTTTTTCCTCATCAATTCGACCATCACAATCATCGTCAATACCGTTTCCAGCCATTGAATTCATGTACATGACACATTGGCGCCTTGCATTAATACCTAATGGCATACCATAACTTTCTGCATAAGAGAATGCGTAATACATTGCTGAAAAGTATACGTTAGGATTTATATGACGTAGAGAATGGCTACTACGTGTTGCTCTAATAATTAAACCAGTGAAATTAGTATCAGGAATAGGGCTTTGATCTAATATCATTAACGCTTGACCATCTAAACGTAATCCTTGTAATAGTTGAGTATCGACGATAATATTGATATATATCATATAGCTAGTGCCACTCATGGTTGGTCCATTAAACAGGTAATCTTTGTAAAATTGTTGAAAACCGGGTACAGTTGTTAAGAATGGATCATATTGTGTAAAATCTAATTCTCCTCCACGATTATATTGATAAACAGAGCAAACTTGGCTACAGCGGATAACGACTGGTGTATTAACATCACCCAAGAATTCGATGAAACCGCCTCGTTTAGAAATTTGCATCATTTTTACACTTTTACCGGTAATAGTAACATCTACGTTATCTTCACTCGCGATGACACGATATAATGCTGATATATTTTTACGTCCATAAATGTACATACTAGCGTATTGAGTGTCCCAATTACGTACTGGAACTAATTGTTCGACGAGATGATCGCAAGCTCTTGCATTAACTTCTACATTAGCACATTTATCACCGCTGAATACAGCAATAGGTTGGTTAGCATTAATGATAGTTCCTGTTAGATCTTTATCACTTTGGAATTGATAAGCTTGTAATTGTTGTAGTGTGATGGTATAATTTTGATTACGTGAATAATTGGAACCGCCAAAGCTTATATCGGTAGGGAAATTAATAGTGACTTTTGTTCGATTTGCTGTACCGATAATAACAAACTCCGAACTCTGAGAAGGATAGGATGCTACAATATAGCGGAGACCTAATGAGGTTAGAGGTAATGCGAGGTAGCTTTCAGTAGATCTTGGTGCTGCAGTATAACCACGGACTGTAATAGGCTGATCAGCATGAATATTGAAAATGCGATGACTGTATGTAACGCCATAAATAGATTGAGTATTAGGTAGTTGAATAGTAACTGTAGTGCCATTACTAATAGTTTGGGTAGTTTGAAAGATTGGTCGACAAGCCGCACAAGTAATACTAACAGTGGTAGCCATTTGTGATGAGATAGTAACGCTGAGTTTAGTATCTAAAACGGCTACATTTTCCATGAAAGCAATGTAGAAGTCTTTTCCAATATGATGAGCATCACCTTTAAGTAAAATAATAACAGATACGCGTAAAATATGTATTAATAAGAGTAATAGTTCTATGTATAATTATATCAATCAATCTCGGCAATTACAGTTTGTACATATTTTAATCTTTACTAACTTAATAATGAAAAATAAATAAACTAATGTAACATAATTAACTTGTAGTGCAATATTCTCATTGACATTGGCTTGCTAATTCTACTGTATGCGACTAAAAATTCGAGTTTTTAAGAGTAAGATATACGAATAATGTCATCATCGAAAATCTACAGGAGAAAGCAATGCGATAACAGATAAAACTCATTTACCTTTCTTGTATGCACAATTGTGACCAAAGAAGTCATAAGCGCAAGTACAATTATATTTGTTGGGACCATCATTCATACATGTAGCTCCGTTAAGACATGGATTACTGAAACAGCTATTAAGATCTGCATAAAAATTATCCATTAAAATCATTCATGTTATTTATGAATTAATTCAATTTTTATTCATTAATTTAAAAGAAAATGGTTATATACAGTATAAGAGTGTCATTCTCTATATTCATCTAGTTCAAAGTTTTTTGCGATCAGGCTGATTTTCCATTCCGCCCGTTATGAACAATCAGTAAAATTAAGAGTTGATCTACCGTCCATAATTGGCATATTTCTATTTACATAAATACCTTGTTCGCATGATTCTCCAGAGGTATCCGCTGGGCATGAGCAAGTATATAAGTTAATACCTTGGGTACAATTAGCCATAGCGTCAGGGCCGTAGCTTCGACATGGATTGGATGCGCATTCATCAATATCTATTGGATTCAATCAATATCGTATTGAAAAAAAATACGATTCCTTACAATTAGCATGATTAAATAGGGAAATTTTCAGTTTAAATATCTCCAGTAAGTAAAAAGTAGAACGTAGTGCTGTAAATCAGGCAAAGATTGCGAAATATCCTGTAATATCTAAAATATATCTATCAAAATCATCTCATCTGTATTGGAGTCATTCATGTCGAATGGATTAACGTACAATATAACCAAAATACAGTAGATCATTTAGCAACAGTGAATAGAAAAGTTTGAGTATTAATGTGTACTAGAATGTGATCGACTGGACGCTAGTAGGATCAACGTGATACTCAGAATGTGCACACTATACTGGTATAATTGAAGAGAGGTTTTACTCCCGTTTACGGTAATATGACCAGATGCTGCTGACCATAATAGATTCAAGTGCAAGACTATAAAAGCATTGTTGGTAATGCATGCATACAGTAAGGTAAGAATCCATGTTAAAGTAGAGCTTAGCCAACTTGGATTGTAATTATCAATCAATCAATCAATCCATTTTTTCCAAGCAACAGCATCCACTATCGGCATAGGCAATTGATACCAACTTACCTACTGTACAATAACGTCCAGTATAGCCAGGAGCGCATAAACATTGAAAGTCAGTTGAAGTTTCCACGCAAGATGCGCCATTGACGCACTGCTTAGGGCATTCTTTTTCGTCTGTTGAAGAAATATAAAATAACAACATCAAAATCAGTGTCGACTATTACACTCTTGATCATGATAAGCAATTGCAATCAGAGATTTGAATAACATCAATGGACGTGGGGTGTATTGACAGCTCACAATTACAATCAATCCATTGGAAATAACTTTCATTTCAGCTTGTAGCAAGATATATTCTATGGATGCACCAGCGTCTGTAGGCTACTAAGATCGATTTGATATCGTTGTCAACTGATTTTAGTTGCATTTAATTCAAGTTTCTTGTTGGAAAATGGCACCCCTCTAAGAATAAGTATGATGGACTCTAAGTTATTAGGAGTTCAAATCTACCGTTGAAGATGGACTGGTAGAGGAATCGCGGTTATGCCGGGGAAAAACCAACTGACCGCCAACGAGTCACCCTAGCCATGTGAGTCATTCAACTGCAAGTGACATGGCTGGTCAACAGTACAAGATTCATCATGGATGATGCAATGGTATCGAGCTGATTGACACACTACTTGCAAGAACTTGTAAGAGTAATTGTATTAGTCTTCGGTAGCAGGGCCTGGATCCATGCTCCTTGCCAAGTCCTTAGTCACTAGTATCAGTGACTTTGACGTAAGAGAAAAATTCATTGCTAGCATTTGGCTTCTTCAAAAGCATACATTCAACGACTCAAGTCTGGTAGAGGAATCGCGGTTATGCCGGGGAAAAACCATCTGACCGCCAACGAGTCACCCTAGCCATGTGAGTCATTCAACTGCAAGTGACATGGCTGGTCAACAGTACAAGATTCATCATGGATGATGCAATGGTATCGAGCTGATTGACACACTACTTGCAAGAACTTGTAAGAGTAATTGTATTAGTCTTCGGTAGCAGGGCCTGGATCCATGCTCCTTGCCAAGTCCTTAGTCACTAGTATCAGTGACTTTGACGTAAGAGAAAAATTCATTGCTAGCATTTGGCTTCATCAAAGCGTACATTGAACGACTCAAGTCAATCATCGTTTGGCCAGTTGGTGAGTCAGACGGTCAGTGTGGTGAATGTACTGTAAGAGATCAACCATGTTTCTTCACCTCTATGCTATATACTGACTGTAAATGTGCAAGTTGACGCATCGCTGATGAATGCGCTTGGCGAACACTGCCGATTGAACCATGGAAGTGAAGCATCATTGGAGCCGTGGTCAAGTGAGACGAACGCTGAGTGACACTGAGTATCATGAATGAATGGAAACTGTAAGGCAGTCAGGGATCAACAGTAATAGCCGATTCCTATCCGACCATGGATGTGAAGCATCATTGGAGCCGTGGTAAAGTGAGACGGAAGGTGAGTGACACTGAGTATCATGAATGAATGGAAACTGTTAGAGGTAGTCCGCGATCAGCAGTAATATCCGACTCCTATTATTGGTCATGGAAGGGAAGCATCATTGGAGCCGTGGTCAAGTGAGACGGGCGGTGAGTGACACTGAGTATCCTGAATGAATGGAAACTGTAAGGCAGTCAGGGATCAACAGTAACATCCGACCATGGGTGAAGCATCATTGGAGTCGTTGGTCAAGTGAGACGGACGGTGAGTGACACTGAGTATCATGAATGAATGGAAACTGTAAGGCAGTCAGGGATCAACAGTAACATCCGACCATGGGTGAAGCATCATTGGAGTCGTTGGTCAAGTGAGACGGGCGGTGAGTGACACTGAGTATCATGAATGAATGGAAACTGTTAGAGGTAGTCCGCGATCAACAGTCATATCCGACTCCTATTATTGGTCATGGAAGTGAAGCATCATTGGAGCCGTGGTCAAGTGAGACGGGCGCTGAGTGACACTGAGTATCATGAATGAATGGAAACTGTTAGAGGTAGTCCGCGATCAACAGTAATATCCGACTGCTATTATTGGTCATGGAAGTGAAGCATCATTGGAGCCGTGGTCAAGTGAGACGGGCGGTGAGTGACACTGAGTATCATGAATGAATGGAAACTGTTAGAGGTAGTCCGCGATCAACAGTCATATCCGACTCCTATTATTGGTCATGGAAGTGAAGCATCATTGGAGCCGTGGTCAAGTGAGACGGGCGGTGAGTGACACTGAGTATCATGAATGAATGGAAACTGTTAGAGGTAGTCCGCGATCAACAGTCATATCCGACTCCTATTATTGGTCATGGAAGTGAAGCATCATTGGAGCCGTGGTCAAGTGAGACGGGCGGTGAGTGACACTGAGTATCATGAATGAATGGAAACTGTTAGAGGTAGTCCGCGATCAACAGTCATATCCGACTCCTATTATTGGTCATGGAAGTGAAGCATCATTGGAGCCGTGGTCAAGTGAGACGGGCGGTGAGTGACACTGAGTATCATGAATGAATGGAAACTGTTCGAGGTAGTCCGCGATCAACAGTAATAGCCGACTGCTATTATTGGCCTGTAGTCAGTTCAAGATGATCCTTAGTGCTGACTGTCAATTCTACTACAATTCCACTACAAACTACCCGTCCATATGGGGAATCAACCAAGATGTACTCGAGAAGAGGACCCATTCTATGCCGTCTAAAGTACCAATTTGGGATTAGAAATTATCAATAGAATTCTACTAGGAACTACCCGTCCAAATGGGGTATCAACCAAGATGTACTCGAGAAGAAGACCCATTCTATGCCGTCTAAAGCACCAACTCGGCATTACAATCATCAATAAATAAATTTTAATTCCAATTCTACTATAAACTACCACCAGCTCAGACGGGACATCAACCAAGACGTACTAGAGAAGAGGACCCATTCTATGCCGTCTAAAGCACCAATTCGGCATTACAATCAGCAACAAATTTTGATTCCAATTCTACTACAAACTACCAGCTCAAACGGGACATCAACCAAGACGTACTAGAGAAGAGGACCCATCCTATGCTGTCTAAAGTATGGATTAGACGAAATTGCCTCATCGTAAAAGCTGCAGTGATCAGCATTAGTCCGAGCGATTCACATCGGATCACGAACTGGGTAGATGAAGGTATGGAGCAGGCACGTTGCACTGCAAAGAAATCTTGCATTGTGGAGCAGTGGTTCTTTTTGGCCACCGTATGAAGAAGATGCATAATACAACCAACAAATGTGTGCTACAGTTGTTCTGCAGCGGTAGCAGTAGCAATTGTTCTAATCTAGAATTGAATTGAAAGCATGGCTGTACTCTATTTGAACACTTACCGTAGCCCCTTATTAACTGTTTGAATTGAGCGCGTGGACCACATAATAGTTCTGGAGTGATAGTCCAAATACGTTCAACATAGTAAGCACATCGGAAAACAGAAATACTTTGATAGGTAACATTAGGTTGGGGTATTTGAATTTCTGGACAATCGGTTGGATCTTCAATTATGGGTTGGCCATTAAGAGCTAGAGAGCTATTAATAGGACATGAGCCACTAGTGTGATTGGGGAATTGATAGGATTGTTGGCCAGCCATTCTAGCAATAATACTTTGCTGCCCGGAGACTACATTACCGCATGAATCTGCAACCGACCACTTTCGCAATATTTGAACACCACAAGGGCTGATAATCATCGTATCATCATAGTAGGGTATTATATCGGTATCATTATTACATTGAGGATCGATATTGCCTACTGATGCCATGCCAGTAATCTCAGTACTGGCATTAAATTGCATCGGTTGACATGTAATGGTAGTATAGTTTTGAGGTAAATACAACGTTGGAAATGGTCGATACAAATCCTCATCAATTCGTCCGTCGTTATCGTCGTCGATACCGTTATATAATTCTTCATCAGTACGTCCGTCGCAATCATTATCAATTAGATCACCTGGTACACCAGCAAAATTGCAATGATGGCCATAACTTACTCCACCGAGCATACCATAAGCAGATACTCGTTCATGACCATAGATTAATAAAGCAAATGTCACTAATGGATTACTATGACGAAGTTGATGATCTAAACCGCTAACTTGAATAGCTGCAGCGACATATTGAGTTCCCATAGCTTGTACCCATGATATCGATGAATTGATTGGATTTCCATCTAATGTTAATCCACTAACTTGATCTTTTTCGATAATTATTGTAATATAATGGACAATCTCTGTACCAAGCATTAATGTTGGTCGGAAGAGATAATCTTTAGAGTATTGATCAATAGCTGGTATATAAATCATCATCGGATCAGAATTAGTGCTATCTACTGATCGTCCTTTAGTATATTGTGTTAATAAGCATGGACGGCTGCAATTAAGATACATAGCTGTACCGCTATTGACTTCGAACTCAAAGTGACTGCCTCGAGTTGGTAGCGATTTCGATGTACCGTTACCTAAATATACCATAGTATAAGGCATAGCTGATGTAATTCGTACAATATCATGACCTAAGCGTCCACCAAAACCGGCTACTATATAACGTGTACCAAGATCGTCTACTGATGGAAGTTGTTCAATTAAATGATCACAGAATGGTTGCCCAAATGGGACATTGGCACATTCATTACCGCTATAAACAGCTATATCTTGTGATGATGTAATCATAGTACCAGTTAAATCTTCGAATTGATGAAAATATTTGAATGCCATTTTAGCTTTTAACATCATCATCAATGGTGTTTGAGAATCATAATGAGTTCCGTTATAGGTAATCGGAGCTGGGAATGTAATATTAATTTGTGTATCTTGTTCACTTGCTACAATTGAAAGTTGAGAATTCAATGTTGGCCTATAACCAGCTACAACATAGCGTTTACCATATAATTGGCGTGGTAGAACTAGAAAGCTATCGATACTTCCAGATCGATAATTATTTCCCCATACTGCAATATTTTCTGTCGATGTTACTTGAACTACTCTATTCGTGAAACCCATTCCTTTAGTTTGGATTGACGATGGTAGTGAAACATCTGTAGTATTTTTTGAACTTACTGATACTTGAAACATACAACTAACATCCAAGCACCGTACAGTTACGGAAGCCTGACGACTTTCGGCAGCAAGAGTAAGGATGGGATAACCCAGTGAGCCAGGATTATGATTAAATGTAACATAGAAAGTTTTACCATAATTGCTAGTTGCCTGGTTTGGATCGCCTACAGATATTAGAAGTACGTTTAAAGTTGGAAATACAACAAGTATCTATTTTGATTATACTATACTACACTATCATCATTCTTAGAATATACTTCATATTTATACCACTTTAGTAGAAGTAATGATATAAGATTAAGGTAGCGATAAAGCTCACTGTTACCGTAAATTGCGGAAAGTATCAATTTATGGATAACGTATCGCCAATGATGAAATTTTAAAATAGGTCATTTCATATCAATCATAGTATCATCAAACTGTTTATAGAAGAATTATATTACTGGTTTATGTGTTATATTTCTGTACTTTGATATCTGATAAACTTATTTACGGCAATAGACACGGTATATCGAGTTTGCAGTAGGTAAAGTAAGGCAATCAAGCTCACTATTAAAACATTTGAAGGCAATTTTATTCCTCTATCTTCCTCATTAGATGATAAAATTAAGATCGAGCACTAAATTATGGTCAAGGATTTGTATACGATTCCAATCGTCTTAATATTCAGTAGTAATATTAGTACGACAGTATTATTACAGTTACCTGCTTTTCCAAAACTTTCTAAGGAAGAATTTAAATTGATTAGCAGTGTCAAGAAAATCGCAATCTTGACCAAATGACTTTGGAAAGCCATATCTTCAACAGAATATCAAGTATTCTTATTTGAGTCAAAATTTCAGTTCTCTAAAATTATGAAAGAATAATCGAACTTAAAATACAATCATGGATAGTAATCGTTGCAACTGTTACGATTCAATATCTAACTACTAATTTAACGATAGCAAGATGCAAATACGGCGATTAGAGATAGAGTAGAATGTACAGCTTATTCTTATTTATTTAATCAATTGTGTCATTACGTGACCAATATTGCTCTAAAAGGTGTTCAAGAAGGCTAATTTAAAGTTGTTGAATTTTTCGGCTTAAAAGTAGGTTATATCTTTTTACGTCTAATCGGAATTGAAAGCTATGATGGGTTTTGACAGTGTCCACCTAATAATGTTAATAAAATTTGACTGCATTTTCAGCTGAGAAATCGAAAAAGGATAGGATAAAACTGGTCTTCCGTAAAATTACTTTGCAAAGGTAGAGGTATTAAGTTATCGAATTTCGATCGCACACGTAATAAGTTTCGATGAACTCCACCATCTGTTACTTTGAGTTTAATAATAAATTTGATGCGAAATGATGGCAAATAATGCAAAAAAGGCGAAAAATTCAACCTTAGCTGCAGGAGTGCGCCACCCCGTTTCATGTAATAATTGTTTGGTGCATTTTTGCAGAAAATTTAGTCTTAATCGAGAGCGTATGCTGCCCCATATATTTCTGCTTTTATTTATCACCTCAAATTGTAACATCCTGAGCCTGATGATAATTTATTATGTAGATAGGTCGGACGACATATGCATGATAATTATAATTTAGGTTGCAACGTGCTTTTGTAGAATGAAATACAACAAAAATAGAGCTCTGAAGATCATGATTGAAAAACTTTAACAGTCTAATATTTTCTGTTATCAATTAATTAATTATTACTTTATCAAATAGATATTCAAATTCTGAGTATATTATAGGTATGAGAAATTAATCTATCAAGGTAATAATGTCGAGAGTTATTACATAATATCTAAGGCGTTGCTATAATTTCTAATCCGCTAATTAGCGGATATAAAAGTATAAGACTAGACGGCAGGGAATGATAGAGACATTCTGAGCTGCTGTGAAAGTTATCTTAATCCTCAAAAAGAAATTTCTCTACTAAAATAAACTATAGAGTCATATGCATGACAATTTTCCAGGCCATGCATGAAAGATTTATTTTAAAAATTTGAAATAAGACAAGATTTAAATGAACTTACTTATAACTTCTTCGAGATTTTCCACTTATTTCTTCGTCGATGATCGAAATGAACTTGACTCAATCAGGGCGTTGCATTAACGGCCAATTAAGTAGCTGGTAAGGTGACTAATAAGCAGAATATTTTGGTAAATTTAATTCATTACCATATTTAATTAAGAGGATTATAATTTACATTTCTATTGATTAAATAGGGAAATTATCTTTTCTATTATTATTAATTTCCCTGTAATTCAATTATTGGATCATCCGCAATTAAGATAATAACCGCCACCGCCCTTCTTTTCATCAATGTCATAGGTTGTTATGAAAAATATTCTACTCTATTTGATTAGCATAGCTTTCCATCGTTAGTTAAGTAAATACTATTACGCATACCAATATCAATATCGCGCAAGTAATTGAAGCAGTCTCCGCCTCTTAACAAAGCAATAATGACTGTTAAAAACGAGATAATATTATTCATACCAATATCAACATCACGCAAGTAATTAACGCAATCTCCGCCTCTTAACAAAGCAATAATGACTGTTAAAAACGAGATAATTAGCTAGCTATTTCTTAGCTAAATGATGACAATAAGTCAGTAACTCAGGATAAGAAAATACAAGGTAAATCAGGAACAAAAATCAGACACGACACAAATGTGTTAAAAATTATGTGTTTAGAGTAATTAATCTTCACTGCAGTATATGGTATTCCATCAATTGCCGTTAAGGAAATATTATAACGACATAAAATTTTCATGATAAGTAATTGATCCTAATTCTTAAGATTGCAATCAACTTTGGTCTCAATAGAGTTTTTACAACAGGTACCTACTACCCTATTAAATAACTAGCATTCTTTAGTTTGCAGAAATTTGCTTATCGCGTGATTGTTAGCGTACCAGGTTCCCTACGAATAAGAATGGTGGAACGATTTATTGATTCTATGTACACTGTTTTTGGTGACCTAAATTGACAATTCAGGGAACGGATATTTACCGTACCCATGTATATGACGATTCTAACTTAAATTATGGTTTTCCATACCTTATTAACAATTATGAAATAAACAGAGAAGAGTAAACAATTATCCATCAAAAGATGTTTTTATAAAATAATTCAGCATGTTATGATAATGATTACAATTGTACTTCTGAAATGGAACACACCTCACGAGGTTACTGAAATAATAGCATCGACTATGATATGCTTCATTATTGTTATGGTGTAAAATTGTTAATAATTACTGTACGCCATCATCGTCTTTATTATAACAGAACAACACCCTTAACTTTCTAAGAGATTCCATTCTTATAATTGGTCAACATATTTACAAGCTTGATAATGATGGGATTACCTATGTTTTCACGTAGCTATTTATCTGTATCCGTTCTACCCGTTCCAGGCGCCGAAATGATCTGTTGATACGCAATAAACTAATAAAATTATTTCACGGTATCAAGATCAGCTTTGACTGTACGTTTGTATATGCGTATATAGCTCCTTCTCCTAACGCTTTTATATGCCTTTGAGTAATACCATACGAGAGGTAATGGGTTACAAAGAATGGCCTATATGAATGCCATCGGAATTATATAGGCTCGACTTACTTATTTACCATTGTAAGTTTGATAACTCAAACTATACCAGCCAAGATTATTCTTGGGACTATTGATAACATTACTAACGCCAGAGTAGGCAGACAATACACTACTGTGCTAATATAGTATTAAATTGATTGATCTTATTCATACTAGTATTTAAAAGCTAAGCTAATATGAGCATTATTTCGGTAATAATAATTGATATGATTAACCTGCAATAGGATTACCTGAAAAAATGCGTACAGTGTATTTCAAATGTTTGTTGTGCAACTATTCGGAGATCTAACTTATTTATTAGGTCCGTTAAAGTTTTATTGCCGTATAAGTTTTTCTGCAATCGTACGATTAATAATTAGTAAATATATAGCTAAATTTGTGTTAGTAATTCAAGTAATTCATAACTGATACCTTCTCCATCTATAGGGTATTTACTCCCGCATAAGACTTATTTACTATCACTGATTAGATTTGCTATTGTCGCGCCGTACATCATCACCAATGATAGTAAACACGGCGTATAACCAACGTAAGAGTTGAGTTAAACAGATAGATCATTATACATATATCATATTAATATTTAAATGGCTTACATTTAGAAGAGTTATAGTGCTATACATTACAGATTTATCTATTATTTTGTTAATGCAGCACAACTTGAAAGTAGTATAGAATAATTGATAAGTTATTAACGGTTTGTATTTTTAATCGTAGGAAATCAAAGAGCATAAATATTTATTTCCTTTACTGTACAGTTAGAGAGATAATTTACATCATAGTAACATAAATTATCTTTATTCTTGTATCTTTCGTAAATGATCATCTATGCAGCAGTGTTGACAATTGTATATCAAATTATTTCATGAATGCGTAGCATCAGTTCCAATCTGGTGTACAATATCAAAATATAATCAGAGCTAGACAAGATTAAATCATTTAAAATCTTATGATGGAAGCTGCATATATTATACAAAAAAAATATAAATTTCTAGCAAATTCTCTATTAATGACTATGTACAATGAATTTTGTGATGGTCTAATACATTACATCTTCTGATGATGCATGCGTTATCATATATTATACAATAAAAAGTGCAAATTCCTTACAAATTCTCTATTAACAACTATTTGCAGCCAATCTTATGATAGTTTGTTATATTACGTCTTCTTATGATACTTGCGCTTCTTTGAATTTCTTATTAGTTCCATAAGATTCTGACTGTTTATGAGTTATCAGAAGTAGATAGAAATAGAATTATTGATTTTATTAGAGTAACGTTACGTAAAGGCCCTGTAGGGTATTTATTAACCAATATCTTTCACTTCATTACTAAAGAAAACGTCTATTCAAACTATGTTATAGAAAAATTTAGTCATATCAGGGAAGCTATGTACCTATCGATGATTTTATCTTGCACTCTCTTCTTTTTCTTTCGAGCTTGTTGCAAATAAGGGGAGTTTAGTAGTTCATGAGGTAAACGAACATCTAGGGGTTGCATGAGATCCACAAGGTCCTTGAAAATACTTATAGTGATGTTAAGGAAACAAAGCGGTTGGTAGCACATGTCGTTAAAATCGAAATGAAGAAATTACTACAATTTTAGATATTATAGTAAAAGGATATCTTTACTGTCGTTATTAATCAAGCTAATAGCCCATCCCAATGAATGAAGTCTGCCAGTTCTACCAACCTGGTTGGAAGTATCCAAAAATTGCAATTAAACTATCTATAGTAATGTGGTTACTAATGATAATAGGTAAACGTTACCTGATGAATATACTCGTGGATGTTTGTCGGTAAATCAAAATGTATGACCTACGTTAATACATGAAAACAGTATTGATCGTAGTATCAGTATATCCCTAAAAATTAACTATTTAATACACTATTATTACCTGCTTAACACATTCCAAATCGATGCCTCTTCCTGCAACTCCAGTTGTTACTAGAATAGGATGCTTGCCTTCAAGGAACAGCTTCAGAGTATTTATTCTGTCTTGTTGTGGCTTATCCCCATGCAAAGAAGCTGCGCGGATACGACATTTCTATAGGAAAAATTTAGTTAATTTAAAATGTAAACGCTGTAATTCGTTTATTTGGCTAATATTAAATAACTCAAATAACTGATGCCAGCACCGACCGCATTAATAGCATCAGCTAGAAAATCAGCTCCTATTTTTGAAGCAACAAAGATCAATGTAGGTGGGCTATAGATAGTGATAGAAACAATATTTGAATCTATAAGTATAACATTGTGACTACGCAATTTAAAAAAACTAATCGGACACAAGTAGCAAAGCAATCACGTAATTATTAGTTTACTGGAAATGCTTTCCATCGTTAATGATAGTAAAAAGCATTTTCTTCTTAGATTGTTCTTCTACCCACAATACCAAATGTTTTACTGACGGATTTAATGAATTGGGCTGCAATTGGTAGATATCACGTAGTTAAATTTTTGGGGACTAGTCTATAGATAATTCACTGATATAGTATCTTACCTTTCCAACAGAGATTTTTATAGGATTAGAAAGCATTACGGATGTCATCTTTTCCACGCCTACAGTAACAGTAGCTGAGAACATTAACGTTTGGTGATCGCGTGGAATCACTTGCATTATTTGTTCAACCTGCATATACACGCAAAGGCACAAGAAATAAGGTGAGCATGCTTGAGTCGTGAGGTCCGACAGTAATGGCTATGACAGTTATCATTGCAAAATATTTAGCTACTAGATAAATGAATTATTGTGCGGCATTTTCCGAGCACAATTAATTATTTAATTAGTATACCTGCTTTTCAAATCCCAACTGCATCATAGCATCAACTTCATCAATAACGACAGTCTTTACCTTGCTAAAATTAATCTCTTATAAATGATAATCATAATAATATAAGTTAAGATTAAACTTGTTACAATAACTAAAAATATTTAAAATACTATTGCAGTCACTAAGCTTAAATGTTTTACCATGCTTTGATATAATATCGATTAATCGCCCTGGTGTCGCGATTACAAACTACAATGAAGTAAAATAAATTGAGTTAACTCCTTTTTTAAGATTAGAAAATCAATAAGCGATTAGGTTATTAAGTTTACAAGAACTGCCGAATTTTAGCATAATACGTAGTACATACGGTATGAGTACCTGAATTCCTTGTTTTAATCTATAAAGTTGCTGTGGTAAAGGTAAGCCCCCAACAATTAAGCAAGTTTTCATATTAGGTAACCCTGATGGTAAGATAAAGCCTTTTACTTATTGCCGTATATATAACAATTCAATCAACTGCTAGATTGGATTTCTATCTGCAACATAACACACGGTAAATGAATACGACCTGTCATGATTTCTTTACACTGATCTTCAATTTGTATGCATAGTTCTCTCGTGGGTGATAAAATTAACACTTTTGGTGCCTGTTCCTGTTCGTCATCTTTCTCAAAAAATGTCATGTGGATTAATGGAATAAGGAATGAACCAGCTAGAAGTGAGACAAATGAAATGATGCAAGGGTTAGGCCTTATGCACATTACTTATGGAGACTTTGCAGATTAAACCAATAATGAGTAAATCTTAAATTAACTCTTCATAAAACCTACTTTTTCCAGAACCTGTTGGGGAAGAAACAAGTAAATTTCTCTTGCTTAAAGCAGCTGGAATAACTTGCATTTGAACCGGCGTCATGCTAATATAGCCATTTGCTTGCAAGTTTTTCATGACTATAACGTTAAGGTTCAGTTAAATAAGAATATTTTCAAGTATTCCAGTTGTTCTCCTATTACATGTAATTATACTACTGTATAAGATAATCACTTACTTCTAGGATCTAGCGAAACATGCTCAAATTCAAAGATTGGATTTGGTGAATGGTTACCCTCTATTTTTATGTCAAGCTAACATGAAAAGAGAAATATCATTATGAGTAACATCATCGCTACAAATATTTGAGCATAAATTTTCTTCCACTTCTCAATTTTAGTAACTGACATTTTTACAATATTTATAGCACGCATAAGCAATATAATATACCTCAGCTTAACTAAACTGGCAGTTACTATGGCTATGAATTCAATAATACCATCTTATAATATGATGTTATAACATGGTTTACTATAGGGCTGTTATAAAATCCTTCCTATATAATTGAAACGTCTGTAATTTATAAGAGTAACAATTGATCTCATAAAAACTAACTGCTTCAACTAGTGACCTTTACAATCACCATATGATAATAAAAATCGACCAATGAACTAAACTATAGTAACAACTACTAGGGATTCTAGTAGTCCTTGCCATAACACTTAGCAAATTAGCATAAAAGAACCAAGATTTTTACGTTTAAAATTCTATAATAATATCAAAGTATGATAAATCATTTATTCTAATTTCGTAATTTACAACTAGAATAAAACGTAATTATTACCATATATCTTAGTGACATTAGTAAGTGAAAACAGGCTCAATTGAACATTCGTTAACTTATTGAATTGAAAACCAGATTATTTTTCAAATCTGACAATTAATTTATGAACGGTAGTTCTACTCCTAGTGTAAAGTTGCAATATAGCAATAAATCGATACTTTACCTCTTGACGTAAATTCTCTACTTGGTTAAGCTGCAAGTTAGCTACTTGTTCATGCTCCTGGTAAGAATACTCTACTACCATTTTTAACTATTCAGGTAAAAATAATCGTTATATGAGAAACTTATGCATTAGCAGTAACTACGAAAGCAAATACCCTTCATTGAATTTTAAGTCAATGATATAGTAGGCGATCTTGCTAAGAACATCTTTCAGGATAGTGCAATGCAATATTATAAGTGCGATACTACTGAGTTAATGAATGTTCATCTTAAGCCAGAGAATAGAAACCTTTTTCCGTTCTTCCAATGATATTCTTACTTTATGCTGAATATCATGTAAATGCTTGGCCTTGCATTCTAAGCTGCAAACATCCTCGTCGGTTTGATCGCATATGTAAGCTCCATAACGTCCGCACATAACACATTTCGGTTCATCGTCTTGTGGCCAACGTTGATTTTTACTAAATGAAACAATTTCTTCATTATCTTTATCGCTATCGCTATTCTCTTCTTCAATTTTTTCTTTTTTCAACTCTTGCTTTTCTTGTTGGATCTCCAGCATCTCTCCATGACTGATTGGATGACTCTGTAATGAAATAATTGTATCTCCATCTATACTTGGGCCTGTCCGACATTGGAGCTCGTTAATCTTGCTAGCTGCTATTTGTTTACGAATGTTCTTGCTGTCTTTCTTGTCATCTTTACTATTTCTACTGATTATACGTGGTACAAACATATTCAATTATGACTTAATGACTGTAAACTATTGCGAATTCTCCTGAGAATGGCCCTATTTGCTTGCTTTTACTTACTTTTGGCAGTCATTGCTATCAATGTTATTCGATTTCTGCTCAGTATATGAATAAAAAATTATCTGCTAAGCCTGTAACCAGGGTTACTCATTACGAAATTTACCTCTCATACTGTATTATAGTCCGAATGAAGTGTATCGAACGTTAGAGTAGCAACTAATACGATACCATTGTACGTACTATACAGTATATCTCAATAAGACTCTATAGTACTCTGATCATATTGAACACTCATGGATAAATTACTAATACCCACAGTATGATGTATTGAGTAATCCATGAAACAGTAGACAGTGGATTATGCGCACAGGAGCTTCTTGGATATGGAGCTGTATCAATGCTCAACAACAAACTAGTTGCTCTCTCTATTTCTACTCAGACACACTTTTCGAGCTCGATTTTTCTTACTCTTTATTTAGTTACTCTAATAAGTAGAGCAATGATATTTTATTCTTTTTAGAATCCCAAGGATTATGCAGTACAGTAATTGACACGGTAACTACAAATTTTTACAAGTATAAGATGAAATATTACATTTTTCAAGACTAGTTCAATTCGGTTAAATAATATACGAAGTATTTTAGTTTATGATGCTAGACACACTAGAATGCAAGAGCAAGTACAGTAGAAGATGAATTTCCTTTGTAAGTTTCAATCCTGAATTGGACACCAAATGGTATTGAACTTTGTTGATTTATTCTTACTCATGCTACGATTTGAGAAGGGATATCAAGTAGTGTAATGCATGCGATACTAATATCACTCCAGGACGTACTTAAAAAAAAAATTAAAGATTCTTTCTCATACTCGTATATCTACTGCACCTGAAGACAAGTACGAAATACAGTACTAAATACTTTTATTATTATGTTACAGTAAACTGTAAAGGTAAATCATCGAATAGGAGGCAGTTTTCTTAGCGTTCTGCACTGATTGACCATGTAATATGGGCAGGAGCTTGAATTTGTATAGTACAGTAACATATACTTTTTTACATTGCCCGTAAGACATACACTATCTAGTAAGTAACATATAAATCGCAAGTAGTGTAGTTTGCAAACTTAGCTTTCACGACCGTAACTTATTAACAGAAAAATCACATGTCAGCCTACATGCTTTACAAGAATTAATGCGGGTGATATCTTATTATTATTATTATTATTAATATTGTTATTAATACAATACTTTTATTTTTTTACAGAATGGGTCTTAGTCGTTCTCGCTTAATTCCATTCTCGAAATACAATATAATAGTGTACGTAGCATCATAACAAGACACGTTAAGAGTAACACATTGTAGGTTTACTTTATATACAATACGCAAGTGGTCAATATCAAATTGCCAAATGGATAACGACGGTATAAAAGAATTTTTTAAGGACATTACGTACTGCTACATAGCGTTCGTTAATGCAAGACGATAACTTAGTACTAGATATAACATTCCACTTTTGTAAAGTATACATCAAACTAATATTTAATTAAAGTATTGCCGTACTGGTAGCAGATAGGATACGTTCAGTTAATCAGATACGATTAGTTGAAAGTGGATCCCACATCAGCTAAAATATGAAAGTTAATAATGCTAACATGTATCATGCAGTCAAGAAGACTACTTAATATCATCCATTATTCTACAAAGTCATCGTAGTTGCATTACTATAACCAGTGCAAAGAACTTGCGACATTATTATTTCGAAAAAACAATCACAACTACAACCTTTTGCTAATACTATTGCCAGTAAGTATATCACTTGATATCTCTTTGATAGACTACTGGATTTGTTCAATTTATTCATACCTTTGTTGCTATATTGTGGTCATAAAATATTCACAAATGGTACGAAGTGCAGTATTAGCAAGGAAATATGGGCTATATGCCATGAAGCCAATTTTTATCATATCCGCTTAGTAGCATTATTCCACAAATAGTGATTAAATTACAGTAGGTAAATAAATTTTAAAATATCAACTCCTTTAATTATACATAACTTCGTAAAGGGTAGCTTTTTTATCTCCAGATCCAGTAACGATGTATTTATCGTCTCTAGATATATCACAGCTGAGTACTGAAGACGATTCCTTGTTCTGTAAAGTTAAATTATCAAACGGAATTAAAATGATTTTACAGCTATTTTAGCAAAAGTAGTCTACTAAAACTGATATAAAAGTAAGTAAGGGATTACGTTAGTACGTTCCTGTCGAAATATTTACCTGAAAGATACTGGCTCCATAAGGCGTTCTCCACGCATTTAATAAATTGTCCTTACCAGTACTAATGAACCATTTACCTAATCATGCAAAGATTATAAAATTTGTTACTTATATAAAATCGATTTGTACGCAACTTTATAATCCTGAACTTACCACAATGAGCAAATTTTAATGATAAAACACAGCTTTCATGTAAGTGTAATTGATATTTTTCAGAATTATTCATTTGTATGACTTCCACATGATTGCTCTCCATCCTGATATATAAATTTTGAATACATCACTCAGGCGCATTATTATATCAACAATATTCTGTACTTTTGAATTGATTCCGTTGTCACAATGTATTCTTACCCTACAGCTAGCCAATCGTCGGAAGGACAACAGCCCAAAGAAAAAATTTGAGAGTTAAATTCGTACTTATCCATTTCTTTTCCCTAAGCAGAACGGTTTAATGTCGTTAGACTATTTACAAGATTGTTGTAAATGCTACGAAATTTAAACACTAATTCATCGCTGTATACCCTACCATTAAAATTTACTTACCTCTCTAATATCCCACGAACGTACTGTACTATCGAGTCCACCTAGTTTATAGATCGAATAAAAGGAGGTTATAGTCATAGCATAAGTATCCAAACAAGGTTGCGCAGTTACCAGATAGTTAGTTAATTCAGATTAGAAATAGTCGTCATTACAAGATACTGATTTATGCTCACCTGTCCACACTTTCAATCCATCTCTCGAAATATCAATACAACTCGCACCATCAGTATGACCTTGAAATTTACTAACAAATAAATACTTGGCCATTAACCATCATTTTATAACCAAAGCGAATAAATAGTTTATTTTATTTTATTGTAAACAACTCCATACTTTATTAAGTGTTGATTATGTAAATCCCAGACAGCAATGTGTCCATCACTGCAACAGCTATAACATTGCTGCAATCGTTAAAGACTCTCCATTAATAACTTCATACTAAAAATATTAATTTCATTCATTATGTTTATTGTCTAATACCTTTCCATCAGCACTAATTGCAAGAGCATAACAAGCTTGAGCATTCGCATCCAATTCGCCTTTAACACGTGGTACAGGCTACAAATAATTTAAAACAAAAGAAAATTAGGGATTAAAATCACTTCTCGCATATAATAATAAATATAATTTTGTATAGAGATTTACCGCCGTCAGATCGTAGACAATAAGGGTACTAGCTTCACCCCCTACTATTAAGCTCCGGCCATCAGGTAACAATTTGCAAGAACGAATATAATTATCCGGCTAATAGTAAATTAAATAACTATTAATGCGCTTGCAAATGTTGGCAAAATAAAATCTCTCCCATCTTACCAAGCATTCCAAAACAGATACGGTCTTATTTAGTTGATTGATGTCCCAAACTTTAACACAACCCTGTTAATAATTACATTATTGATAAGTATGAAAAAAATAAGTCTATCTATAAAAAAAACGAATTCAATTATTGCATACCTTTCCTCCGGTAAATACGTGTTTTGATCGATCACTAATTGTTACAGCACACACAACTTCACCATGATTTAAGCTGCCCATTAGACGGACATGGCGCGGAATTTCTATAAGTAATAAATTAGGATTTTTCTTAGTACTTGTAAAATCAAGAAGTATCCTAATAATATACAATATGCGCAATTACAACCGAAAAGCATTTATTTATTTTGCAACATGAACCTGAATCCATAAGAGCATCCTGTGGGAACTGGGCGGGTTGGGCAATTCCATCCGCTCCAACTCGGAATGAATAGGCTCTAAAAGAAAAAATAGCATTTGAAATGTAAACTATGTGAATTGTTCAATGTAATATTATTTATATGCTCATGATCACATTATGATGTGATATCAATACATACGGTTTATTACTGACACCAAAACGACCAGGAGGATTGTGATCAAAAGGTACCTAATTATATTCAAACATAATAAATTCGAGATCAGATGTCATTGTCGGTTAATAATCGAATCAAAAAGAATGATTGTCCTATCTAATTTAATTTTAGAAGTAATATTTCAATAAATGTTTAAATGGTTTTTAAAGTTGTACCATATGTTGTCCGTATTGAGGCATGCCTATAATATATTCGCAATTATAGTAAAAAAATGTTTAAATATCTTTGACATTTGAAAGATAAAACGCAGGAAATTGATTGAATATTCATAAGTAACCTATAATTCCTCTCACTATTAGCTGACATACCTCCTTGCATCATTGCAGGATTCGATACATAAGAGGTTGTTCCAATTTCACTAATACATAGTGGGATAATGTCGTTACAATCATGAACGTACCAGTAAATATTAATCAATGCACAACAGTACCTGTTGATTGTGTGTGGTTGTACGAAGTACGACGGTCCAGTCATTGACATTGACGTTCTTCCTTGCGGCACTTAAATGTACAGGTACAAATAAAGCATAAGCTACTGTAACTGATAGTGAATTAACTAATAAAAATACAATAGTTTATACGTTGGAATCAATAATTTACTATTACGTACAATTAAGTATTTATAAAACTAATGTATTGTCAAATGTGGATAATATTAGTAGTTGGCTTGTTGATAATTTAAGATATTTACGAATTCAAGCACATTTTAACTTTATTTTACAGGAGTTACACCAACATTGCTTACTTATAGAATGTCCTTTCGATAACGACGGAGATGTAGATCCTGAACCTGTTGCATTATTATTTGTCGGAGGGACCGGTGAACCTACTTGGAGTGGCTTCTGCTTATCAATTATCTAAATTTCAAATAAGTATTTAAATATAAATTATTCAAGATGATACCAACTAATGCAGCCATTCTATATTACACTACCTTAGATTTCATAGGAGGTGGTGAAGGACTGGCAGAACTAATCGGTGACATATCGTTCCTCTTTTTCATCATTTTTTCTTTCGGAATTAAGGAAATATTTGGAGATCTAACAGTATCTCGTACTGGGGATGGAGGTTCCTAATACGTTAAAAATTATTTTATAAATTCAAAATCCTGGTTATCTTTATATGCACAGTAATAAAGAATTAAGAGTTGCTAACATCGTTGGCAACGTCTACTACAAGCTCTCCATCGCTCTTGTCGCTTTCGCTATCCTAGTTTAATACAGTCAGAAATAATACAAGTTTCAGATTGAATGATAAGAGCTGACTGACTTTTAGTCTAATTTTAATAAAATTCACTACTAAAAAGCTTACAATTTTATCGTCTTGCTTACGTTTACCAGTACTTCTATGATTATGAATACTACTGTTACTACCTGTGTCAAAATAAGAGCAAAGAAGCAAAAGCGTAAGTTGTTGACTACTAAAAACAATGCTATTACAAAAACATGTCTTCTTCATACTTGTTGAAGCTGCATCGGTAGTCCGATGCTTGTCAGGTCGTTGTGCTGAAAGCGAAGGCGAAGCAGAATTTCGCTATAGTTTTCCCAATATAAAAAATAATAAATGTTACTTGAAAGTAAATTAATATTTAGTCAATTTAACAAAATTTTACATGTCATAATATTTTGAGAACACCTATGTCGCGAAGCTTTAAATATCTGTAAAACTAGTATATAAAGTACGGTATTGTACTGTGTATACCGCAAAGACTCTGTCACTATTGAAATAACTGAACAAGAACACAAATTTTAAATTTTAAATAAAATCGCAACTACCAAAGGTTGCATTAGAGATGAAAATTTGATCTTAACGTATTAATTGTTTTTACTTTGTACCAGTAAAGATCTTCATATAACTATCAAATTTGATATTTTGTTAATAAAACTAGCGGACTTACCACAGGTTCACCCCCTGGGATTTCTATATTAGATCAAAAAAATAATCAAGTCTTAGATTAAAATATCAACAAATACATGACTAGTCACTTGTTTTTAACATAAACAACTATTCTTGACATGCAAACAAACCTTTGTCCTTCAAAGCCATATGAGACATAAGTAAATTGGAAGGCATTATCATGTTATTACCAGCGCTAACAGGAGGGATAGGAGGTGGAGGGGGAGCACCAGGGTGCAGAGGGATTTGAGGGCCGTGCGGATGATGTTGTTGCAAATGTACCTGTTGCTGCTGGCATGGAATAACAATTCCAATTTTGATTAAAGTATATTTATGCAATTAGTATAAATATGCTATTTATAAGGTTATAAATATAATAAATTTAGCTTATTAGTCAATAAGCATCTAATACTAACTCCCATAATTGAGTTTAGGTCAGTCACTGTTACTTGTTTCGCTCTTTCGATTGCGTTTGCGACCTGTTGCTGATGCTGCAATTTAATAATGTGTTACTGTAATTAGCATTTACATAACAAGGATCTTGCATTACTGTTGCATACGGCTGAAAAGTACATTACCTCTTGACTTAAATACGGAATAATTTGAGCACATATTCCACTAAGTCTTTTCGCAACTTCAGACTACATATAATGACAAGTAGAATAAAGGATATACAACTTTAATGAATAAATTAGACAAAACAATTACAAATATACCTATTATTTCTGCACAACGAACGCATTCTTTAAGATCAACGTAAAAAATGGATTACTAACTACTTTATATGATTAACATACAAAACATATCGTAGCTAAAAATGTGATTACAGTCATAACAGATTGTAGTCACATAAATGATATACTGTATTAATTTCATCACTTAACCACAATCTTATGAGTTCACTGTTATTTATAATTTTCATTTTGTATTACTGATATGACATGAAAGATGCAAGTCGTATACTGTACTTAAGAGGTAATCAAGAACTCCAGAAGCGTAATCCAAAAACTAAAATAGTTTGTCATACTATAAATTATCGTGATCGAAGAATGCTTTAAATACAGCGTAGTAAATCGTAGAGATATCATCAGTAAACACATCCACTATAAAAAATTCGATCACTTCATTGATTTGAAACTAAAGAACTAAAAAACGGTACTGCCCATTACTGAACAAGATCGCTTGGTTGTAAGAACTAATAACTGGTTGTAGCACATAATAAAATACTATAACAGTGCATTGAGTATCGTATACTGTACAGTATATTATAGCATAGCTAGCATACGCTAGTGCCTAATAACAGCATGATGTCGTACGATATCATTGTTAGTGTTAAAGTACAATCGCCTCATTAAATCGCAACTACCTAACCTAATTAATATTAGTAAATTTTTTTGATACTGTACATGAAGAATATACGAATGATACGATGAGAGATAACGAACACCAAGATAATTCAATGGTAGATATAAAAAAAATAATGATAACATTTCTGGATTATTAAGCGATTCGTTTTTACTATTTGTTGTAACTCATGTTAATCAACTATGACAATGGCACCACAAACAAAAATTTTTTTGGTATCTTTGAAGTATGTAATGGATTAATAATTAAACCAGGCGGTACAAACTGATAGGAAACCTTGATCAAATTAGATATGCTACGCATTATTTGTACTACATACTATACTGTAGTGTACAATTTGTATTGAGAAAGCTTTGTTTTTTATACTGTACGAATGTACATACGGTGAAGTACGTCATGCTCTTCTAACGATAGGATATTGATTTTCATGGATACAAGTCACAACTTAAAACGCAGAGTAAGTGAAAAAATCATAAAAAAACGACAATAAAAACATGCAACACAATGTTTGTTGATCTAGTATGAAAGGTGTACAATATATGCAGTAATCTCAGCAATGCATGCACTAATTATATGCACGCACACTCATAATTCGCAAATAACAAAGAAGTGTAGAACATTTACATCACAGATAAAATAAATATAGATCAGACTAAGTAAGAAAAACAATCACTTTACCTGCTTATGCATTTCAATATTGAGTCCATATGACATTTCGTAGTACTGTAAACATAATACGAAGCAAATATTTACTTTATTATATTAAGAAGTGACGCGAAGAATAATAAATGAGATGCAACAAAAATGTCCGCAAGACGATTGAAAACGGTGAAGATAAAAAGACTACTGAATGAAGGAGCAATTAAGTCAACAAAGTTTACATTTGCAATGCAAATAAATGTTGCTTATGTTTGCAGCAGCCAGTATAGCATATAGACATTATAATGTCAACACATTAATGTCTTGTCCTAGTACTCATACGTAGATAGTACTTGGCGGTATTTCTTAGTGTACGGTACTAGTCACAAACTACTAGCATTTTATTATTAAATACAGACTCTCAGCAGTTGTATCATTGGTCGATATTAATATTTTAACACGCAGGTCACACAGCCTTTGTACACCCACTACAAAAATATTTATAATCGCTGGAGAAACCCTTAATCGTGTCAATAACCAATCAAATAGAATACTTTAAACGCAACCTAAATTAATTACATCAATCACGATATCATACATTAATAGTAAAGATATGTGACTGTAATATCACAAACTAAATTCTCCATCATATCGTAGTATCGCGATCTCTTTACACAGCAACTAATTGCCTAACACGCATTGGATAATTTCCATAATATGGCAAAGTAAATTCTGTCGCGTAACTGTCTTTACTTGATACTACAACATTCAAATGACTCGATAACAAACTGCATAACTACAAAACGGAACACAGAGTTCGAGTCAGTAAGATGATAGTGGACATATTGCTATGGTTTTAATTTTTCCTTAAAGTCATTTCCAATCAACACGATAGTGTTAATGACTGCAAAGTCATACACGGTCGTATAAGTGAAGACGCAATGCTGATAAAATAAATTGACGTTGTCAAAGAAATTCTACGAATTGTTTGACGACGATTACGGATAAGCTGTGTAAAAGGTAATCGATCGAATATAGTGGGAATTGGACGTAAATCTATTGTAATAACGAATACGAATAACATTAAAATAGAGCTTTACTTAGTTGTATGCCAGTTGAGCGTATTTTATTGTATGATTCTCGTATTCTAATCTCGATAGGTTAAAACTAAAACTAATTTGTTAATGGCATCCGTCACAGTTAATTCTAGGTACGGATCAATACGCTAGCTTCGGCCTTTCAGACATTTATACATATGATACGTTTAAATCCCTATTAGCTGTGGTAATTTTTGAAATCAAATCTATCGTACAGTAAATTTTTACAAAAGACGATACCATAAGTCTGATCTACAGTATTAAAGTCTCTAATTTTATTGACATATTGTGTACGTTAGTATCGTCTACATATAGTACCATCACTACTAATTGTTGATCCGGGCATGCTAGCGTAAAACAAAAAAGCGGCGCAATCCTCTAAATACTGTCGTGCATACACCATTTTATGGATTAGTTAGCTGCTTCATAAACTTCGATTCCATTTAAGATACTACATTGAATAGGCTTAATGATAAAAAAGTAATCAATTTTTTTCAATCGTACTCTACAGTGGACTTGAATAATTTTAAGCTTGTGTGAACATATACAAAAAAAAAAATCATAAAGTGATGCAACAATTTCTCTTTATCGTCGTAAAACAAGATACGATAGTCGCATGGCTAACATTCATGCCAACATTATAACAGATCTATTACAGTGCATACTTAAAACTGAAATATAATTTTGCAGTGTAGAACCGTCACGTTCTGCAATATCTTGTAGTAACGACTCTACTATCAACGCTTACATAAAGTTGGTCACAAAGTACAGTACGGTACTAACAGCTTACCATGATATAATGACGATGAAGATCGGTTTTTTCATTCGCTAACTTTTCACATTCTAACTTCAAGCTATTCAAAAATTTTTAAAAATTAAATCATTAGTTACCTTAAAATTAAGGAGTTCTAGATGAATATCCGATATAATCCTGGAGTCGTCATTCATTATTTTATCAATGCAATCATTTGGTTATTGATAAGTTTTTAATATCGTAATTGGTAAGGGGCGGTAATGTACGGTATTAACGGTAATATCTCTTGCCGGATACACTAATCTTGGCAAGATGCAATATAAGAATATAATGTAGCCAGTGATAAGAAATTATTACGTGGTTTTGATCAATTTTACATAATAGTCGTCCTATGTGGACAGTATTGAAGGCGACCATTCTACAAATTGATACCCAGATGCAAGCCAATGTATGCTTAACGTTAGTTAAATTTGCATGTAGCTCTACTACTATACGATAGATACATAAAAACGAGCTATAATTCGATAATACCGAACTTTCATCCGCTTTACTACATTAAGTAGTTACAATCGACCCAAACTAAAATCGATAACCAAAAGGTGTAGATAACTAACTACTTCTATTTATTAATATTGTACTGTATAAAAACAATACCTACATTTGACCTATATAAAATTATTTTGATTAAATCGCAATCTTAATACGACCAAAAACTACGTTAAATGCAGTCATTTCGAGATAGAGTGCCACTAGCAAGCCCGTAAGTTGATAAATTATCACTCTAACTTAATCAACTAAATACTACGTAGTCTTTACCTCAGTATTTACCATATTCGTATATGTATTCATAAATCGTGATTAAGAAATGTAACTATTACTGCTAGTTTTAACTCAGTTTAGAAAGAAATAGAGTATCATTAACATTTGATCACTATATCATAGTACATTATACGGTTATTACCTTTGATTTTGTGCTTGTAAGATTTGATATTCCTCTTTAATTCGATCGCATGATTCAGGCGTGGTAAATTTGAATTGACCAATAGGTTGATGAGGTGCCTAAAACAGTTTTGAGACATCGTTATAAAGTAGTCGTCGATTTCGAGTACTTTATAGAGCAAAAATTAACTTAATATTACGACTATTTAAAATTTAATTTATTTGAATTTTTTAGTCCACATTTGCGAGTAAGTTCTTGCGAATTCATTTATCCAACTGAACTTCAATAAGTGACGACTTGAGAAATCTATCGTGACATAACTTACAGCGACAGTGACAGTGAACAGAACGTATTGATTATGACTGCTACAGTCTTAGGATACTAATCTTGGGAAGTATTTATGATTAGGCCAACATGTACCAACAAAATAAAAATAATAATAATAATAATAAAATAGAATCCATGAATAGCGTACAATATACGTATTATTACAGTAGATAAAAATGCTCATAACATAGTAAAGTATTACACGCATTTCAGAAGTTTGTCTAGCCTTCCTTTTTTTTTTAAGTATTTCTAGCGGTGTACATTCAGTGTACTGTACTGTATGTGAAATTAATAACGCTATGCAATATGTAAACATTGACGTCGTGACGGTACTCTTAGCATTGAATGAAGGGTTACTAGCGATATATTGCATGATCACTGTATCTTGTTGCTTTGGCTATCAATCAAACCTGTTATGTTAAGAAATTTTGTCGACTCTACTTGCCGTTAATAGCAACTAAAATGTTATGCAGAGTACGACGATGGATTTAGCATTGATGTCACGTGCAATGAACTACCAAATTTACTAGCCTTTCAAAAGCAGTCCATTAGCCACTAACGAATATGTGCTGCATTCTACAGTATCTCTATCACCTACATCAAATTGCTTGAAAGCTACGCGCTTTGCAGGATAGCATACACTTCGCATCTATAAATTTGTACTACTACGGAGAAATGACTCCTACTCTTAGGTATCTGTAAATGGAGGTTAATAGATTTCTCTAGTTTGAAAGAATTATTGCAATGCACCGTATATACAAGTATGCGTGCGTAACTGATACAATAAGAGAAAAATAGAAAAAAAAAAGTAATGTAATGTACATCGATTATAATTATAATTATAATCAAAGATAAAATGTAACTGTTACTTCACTCCTGTGACATTATAAGACTAACGTCTCTCTAATAATAGAAATTAAATACTATACGTTAAGAACTATACCAATCAGAAGTAGTAATGCAAATAACTTATTGAAATTGACTTAATATAGCGAACAGTGAAATACAGTAGAAAGGGATCAATGCTATTCCCTGATTTTCATTATCTATGTGAAAGCAGTGTATAGAAGATGGGAAGAGTAAAATTGGCTTGGATGTATACGCGTCTATCTGCACAAGACTATGTGTTGTATACAATTGTATAAAAAAGAATGACTACTTAAACGATATTAACATCAATCAAGGCACAGTATAAAGGCTGAGATTGTATACGAGAAATGGCTTCATTTTTTCAGAACAAGTAAAGTAGGGAGGGGGGATAAAACTAATGCAAGAAAATTAACCATCCAGCAAACATGTATACAGGATATACTATTTCAGTGATGTAGTCAATTGAGCACGGGATATTTTCTAAATTACTGAGCAGGATCAACTGGAATTGTATGAATCGATACTCTTTAATTAATAACTGTAGCATCATATCAGGCAATAAGATGCCGTAGTACTTTCCGATAGCAACTGTAGACGAATATAGTACTGTATGATGACGATGCTGACAAGTTAGTATATATTCCTTCGTATGTCAAGCAAACGCAATTTCTTTCATATCACATTACAAAAGCAATAGCAAACAATGATCATCATGTACATATAGAGCATTATGTGACTTACTGGATGTCGATTTGGAAACATCTTCTTCTCTTACACAAGAGCGCAAATAGCCAGTAAAATGTAAAAATCTACGCTGACAGAAAGGGAAAATGAGCTTGTTAACATCAAGCTTTAGAAAAAGCAATACAACATTCACTCTTGTACATTGATTACCCAATAGAACAACATTGTATGATAGTGAGCTTGTTTTACGCTTATAATTATCGCTACATGTTTCAAGAAAATTCGACATAATAATGCTGATAATTTCCGAGTTGTACTGAGTAACGAGCATGATAGAAGGAAAAGTGAACAGACGTTACACGTGCTTGAAATTATGTTGTTGCCTCATTTTACTACGTGATTGGAAAGAAATTTTGATGTCGACTTTTGGATTTGTAGTGGTATCAAAGTAATGCAGCTGTTATCAAAATCATCGACGTATTTTATCTTTCATTTCAGTATGAATCTTGAACGAGGTCAAACTTGACTTTTGTACTAATGAGGATAACTTGGCAATTTTACAAAATACGCCAGTATCCATCCATTCATACGACGGCTTGGGGAGTAAAAAAGTGTAGACTAAAAATGATGAGCGCTTGATGTTTAGCCATGTAATGGGGTAAGATGATGTTGTACTAATACATAGATAGAAAAGTGCTGTCAAAGTAAGTTGATTTGTGTGTAAATGATGAAAGTTCAATTTTGTAAAAGTTGAAGTTGAATTGCAGATTTACCCTCAGTATGTGAACCGACTGACAGTATACTAACAATGGTTGTAAGAAAAAGAGCTAATTTTCAACAGAACAACACCTAGCTTAGATTGTGATCGAATGATAATATCAAGGTGATTGTAAAAAGTGAAAGAAAAAAAATGATTTGGAGTAGTGAGACAACGATTGTGCTGCGTAAAGGGTGGCAAATATGAGAGAGATGGACAACGCCACAAGTTCCAAACATGATTGTGTCGCCGAGTCCATACAGTACCACCAACTGCTATTGTCTGTTCCAGTCGATTACTGTAGTTAACATGGAGAGCAATGCAAAAAGAATGGAAAACAAGGCCCGTAGCGATCGGTGGTATTGATCGATAAGCATTCTACTGTGTCCAAAATCAATTGCAACGACAGTATCGACGCCATGAAAAAGAATCAACCTGGTTCAAGCCTTTCCGAATGTTGATACACCATGATGGAGTGGGTGCATCAAAAAACAAAGATTTGAAGGAACTAATCGACCAAAACCAACTGAGCGTTATGAACAATCAACTAGCAGCTTGGCTAACAGTCGATAGTCATTGCAATAGCTGAAAGAATACGGTAACCACTCTTTTCTATGGTCAAGATAGCATTTCAACGATTTATCCAATGATTGGATAAGAAAATTGCTTTTTTAACTTTACTTTTTCACTGACATAGACGAGCATCATTGAGTTGAAGTTTTTATCTGTGCTTTTGGCTTACCTCTTACAGCCAGGGTTAAACAAAGCGTCACCTTTGAGTGAATAATATCGTGGCAGCGCCGACAAGTTGTATGGTGATGATATTGTCGATACACAGTGCCTCCTTGATCACCTTTCCAATGTCTGTAAGAAAATGGCAAAGAAAAAGGCAATAAAGCTAAGCCAATACTCTTCAATTCCTTTTCGATCCTTACTATAGAGAGTATCAATTAATCTCGACAAGAAAGATAGGCGAATGTCAAGATGATGGCTGTGACGAGTAACAACACAGTTGAAGGGGGGTTTCAACTACCAACGGCGTACGTACTTACGTACGTAGACAGCCAGTATCACCCGCAAAAATTCAATCATCCATCAGGCAAAGCACGTTTGCGCTTAGTACTCTACCGTACAGTGCACAGTAAAAGCGTGGTGTCCAGTACAGTACACGTACTGTACTGTACAGTACACCTCCACTAGACCCTTGATACTCGACTCTACTCTACTCTATTGGGCGATATCATTTCCACTCGTCCATGACACAGTCCAGTCCCACCAGCCAACTATCTACTGTACACTCTACGCCATCTACGCTATGCGTGATTGTACAGTACTACGCATGTCGGCACGACGCGTCACCGTCCACTACCAATTGTGTTACCAAGATAATAGTATTGTACGTACTGCATACACTACACTCTACTCCATAATACACTGCAATAATGACAAGCATGAATGGTGTCCCTGGTAGGCTATTCTTGTCGGCTATGCCGGCGGCAAAGTCCCTAAATCGAGGTACACAGTCAGTCAGCACAGCATTGTACTACTCCAAGCGGTCTGGTGCGTGGTCTCTCTTTTGTGTGCTCTCAATACGCTATCCAATGGGAAATGTACCAGGTCCAAGCGTTGACTGTACACTCTACACTCTACAGTACAGTCAATGGCAGTTATTCGCCGCGTACTCATTACTCAATCTACTGTATGCATGACGGATCTTTTCCAGTTAACCTGAGTGAAAAATGGGTTCAATAACTCCTAAAAGGCTAAAGCTACATCCGGCATGATGGTCTTGTCATTTTGTGTAATTATACAGTACTGTACTGTACTGTACTTACAGTGTACAGTACAGTGCACGGTCTGTACACTTCACTGAAACAGTTTAATTAATGCAAAGTCACTTTTGGTCCGTACTAGTACTGCAATTTGGGAGGACAGTAAAATTATTGTACTGTACAGTACTGTACAGTACTTTACCAATGATATACAGTACAATGCATATATCAACTGTCACTGTACACAGTGTACTGTACAGTACAGTACAGGTAAAAGAAAATCTTTTTTCCTTTTACTTCACTTTCAGCGACCTTGAGTGACTATGTACAGTACTGTACAGTACTGTACTGTACATTGTACAATGTCCCCAATACCTACAGTACAATACAGTACTGTACAGTAAGAGTCGACGATGGCGTCCATCTTTTGTTTTTTGCACAAGTACTGTACAGTACAGTATTTATTGGTGTACCACTGTACTGTACAGTATACAGTACAGTCAGCAACTCAACAATGAACGTACAGTACTGTAGCAGGGTCAACCTTCGGAGTTGTACCTACTGTGTTAACTGTATTATAGTATCACAGTATACAGTACTGTACGTTTGAAGGCCTTTGCAGTGGTAAAAAGGGTCAAAAACCTCCACACTCCTGTGACTTGGATCAATCAAAAGCATTCTACAGTACAGTGCAGTACAGTACATACCCTACGTTTGAACTCTAGCCACTGTCAGTCTGTCACTGTGTACAGTACAGTACAGTACTGAGTAGAGAGTACTGTACAAGTGTACAGTACAGTACAGTACTGTACATGGCCATGGACTACTGTACTGTACTGTACTACAGTAAAAATGCTCCTGTAATTTTTGTAGTCCACTTAGTGTTTTATAATCAAAGTCAAGATTGCTAAGCGTGAAAGATTCACAACCTCGCTCATTCTCACTGATAGTCGCACTGGCCGTGGACCTTTTATGTTACAACATGGACGCTATGGTGGCCAGCCGTAGTACAGTACTGTACAGTCAAGTCCTGCGATAAAATGAAATAAAAAATAACGAAACTAAAATCAATAAAGAATAAAAAAATACTCGTAATAATATAAAATAAAATTGGATTTCAATTCCATTCAATTGAGGCTACAGTCCTGCAGCTAGTTAGAGCATTAATTGTTGCCGAAAAGGAATGATAGCTTTAGCTTTTTATGTAAAATGAATTGAAATGAAATAAAATAGAAAATGGACGCAAAAAACGCCAGAAGAAAAGATGTGAATATTATTCCGCCTGGCGTATTTCACTCTTTTACTGCTACAGTTGCAGTCCAGCGTTGTTCTCTACTGTACCAATGTCCGCATTACTGTATACGAACGACCTCGAGAACAGAGTTTTACAGGTCCGACCGATATCATTCCATGCTTACTGTACTGTAGACTTAATTGCAGTACTCACTCGTACTTTATAAATACAGCACTGGAGTACTTGCTAGGTTAACTTTCTATCAAGAACAGCAACAGCAAAATGCTAGCTCCAGCACGGGCATTGGTAGCTGTTATTGATTTATTTACTTATTTATTTACTTTATTTATCTAAACAAATCGAGTCCGTATATTCATGAGGTGGCTGTAAGATGAGTCGGATATTTATTAACTATTTCCTTTACAAAAGGCCGTCCTCTACGCATGTGTACATGGTTCTGTTTGCTCCTGCATAAAAAAGTGTACGCCAATAGAGAGATTCCTTCCTAACTGAATCACCTAGGGAAGTCCCAGGCATAATATACAGTACAGTACTATAATTAATTAATGAATATAATATATTAACAACATAAAATAAATCAACTTAATTTAGTCGATCAGCCGCTATTTTACTCCAGACGAAGTCAGACTAATACATGGCTTGGCGTAGTACTAATTTCAAAGTTGGACAAGAACCGATAAAACGTTTCGGCGTCCACTGGCTACTACCCCTATCAGCTGTGTTCAGTTTGTTCGCCGCCAAGTGCTGTTACCTTAGTACTGTACAATGCAATACCGGCGGTGAAAACAAGTCAATATTGTTATGGCAACTGCAAATACTTGAACTTTATTTTTATGACTGGATAAATTGCTTGTTTATCCAAACGTTTGGCGAACAATAACTTCTAGGATATTAACATTCATAACTCCGTTTGTACCAGAGTTGTAAGGCCATAAAGTCGAATATGGCAATGGTTGCACCAGGTGTCTGAAACTGACCACCGTCAAACCAAGAACTGCATTTATTGCACTTCCTTTCCCTCTCCTTTCACTATACGCATAGATTAATTATGTGAATACGATATACATATATAATAATAATACTACTGTATAATTATATTATAATTTATCAATTCAACGTGGCAAATTTACAAGCTTTCAAATTTAACCCGGAGTAAACTTGCCACCTTGCCAGAGGTCTGCTTTGTGCGTATTCTTGTGCAAACAGCGACTTCTTAGAACTCACTGTTACAATGCATGTCCTGCTACTGCTGTTGGCATGCAGCTGTAAAATTCGCCTGATTACACAGGCAATCAATCATCCTAATTTTGAAAATAAAATGGATAGAGGCAGATAAACCAGGAATCTTTTGCTAGAGTATTTCTAGAATTTCGAGGATCTCTAGATCCCAGTGTATGTAAAATTCGATCAGTAAATAGCAATTTACGCCTAATACTCTACAGCGTAGTGCCCTTTGGCAAATGCCGTATACTAGTGTCGTATACTTTCGACGTGTTAATGGATTGTAGATAGACGGGCAGACTATACATTCTATCCAGTTTTCATTACGAAGTATTCAACGATTTCAATGAGATCATTCAATCTATGTACTCAGCAATGGATAAACTTAGCAATAAGTATTGAGTCACTTCTACGCTGAAGTAAATATTAATTAAGGAGAATACGAAATGATTTTCCAGTGTGTGGGTAAATAGTCAAGATTGGAGGATTGACTTGGAGAACCCTATACAATGTTAATTTGAAAGTGCCATTTGGAAATCATAATTACATACGAGTACTTCATTGCATTCTGCTCTTGCTAAGATTCTATGCAAGGTAGGCTGAAAAGAGAAAGTATCGATAAATACTGACAAAATGGTCACTCAGCTATCTTCTACACTTCTGATATCTTAATTGTAATTAATTAATAGAATATTATCAGGAATGTTCAAGCTTAAATCAGTGATCGAATTTTCTTTGTTTGCTAGCCTTCATTTAGTAGCTTCTGAGTGTATCTATTACAAAGCATACTTCTTATAAAACCGATGACGATTGGGTTTATAAATAAATACAAAGTGAGTCTCACATTTAATTAATTAATAATCAAATGCGACAACGATAATGAGAGATTTCCCTTCGTAAGAGTAGACTTTATTGTCTACAAGCGAGATAATAATCCTTTCTACTTGCGCTATAAAGTAGAAATCTATCAACCAAGTTTTAGGTTTAACTCAATTTGTTCTCGATACGGGCAACACACCACTAAAATATTGGATTGTACTCAATTGTTATCCCAAATAATACTCATGAAAAGAAATACATATTTCTTTACTTATTATTGTTGAAGGCTCAACTGATTCTTGTGAACAGTACTTCTTTCAATCCTGGAAAATGATAAAAACATATTTCCGCGGAGATAGATCTTTAATGTCACCGATAGTTATTCTACCAATTGATTGGTTCATTCAATTATCTACATAGGACGTTGTTATTCTAGTAGAATGATGCATTACTGTAGAATGGATTATTTCACCATCATTTTCACCATGGATATACACTTAATGAGAACGTATTAAAAAAGGACGAGAAATAAAAAGATAATATCGAAAATAACCTTTAAAAACCATCATTTTAACGGCTAAAAAGAGTTATTGTAGCATACAGTAGACTATCAAAAATAGATCAAGTGAGATGGAATTTACCTGCTTAGCTGATCGTTATGATAGTTTGGTTAAGTGAGTGTTAACGGTAGGAAGGAGCCATAACGCCATCATATCGTTAGCTTTTAAATACAGTATTTGCTTCTCAAGATAGGAAAGTGTTCCTTGTTATCAAGTGCGTAATCACTTAAATTAGTTCGGCTGCTTTTGGCCGTATTTTTTTATTATTTCTATTTAGCTTCAATCAATTTTTCTACAATTGCGAACGCTGTAAAATTTTATAACAAAGAATAAATTAACAAGCATATCACGATTTAAAATAATAGCATGGATGACGTTCATCAGCATCTTCTTTTCCTTGCGAATTACCTCTACTTCCGTTGTTCTTCCAATTCGCCTAAAATTTGCGATTCATTAATGATGATATGACATTGATTGATTATGAAAATAACTGTGAAAGGGTTTTATGCTATTCATAAGGAAAGAATTTTCGGCTAGGCGAACTATACCGATGATGACTCTCTCATATTATCAGTATAATTAGAATTGTTCCCAAAAATTAGCTAATAAAGAAAATAAAAGCATAGTAGAAATACTCCCGCTTTATTTCAAAGAGGTAGAAATAGGAATCTCCTTTGAAATCACAATATGAAAGCGACTTGAAAATACACAGTAAGTAATCATCCGTTATCATTATACCATTTTTTTTTAATAGCAAGACTATAATTTATATTAGATTTAGAATCCAATTGGCTAAGATAAGCTTCCGAGCGTTAAATAATGATTACATTACTGCTATGGACAACAGTTCCGAGCATCAATGAAACTTTAGCAATGCTGAATAGCACCAAAAATTGGCTTTATAATGTCATTTATAATTTGCGGTGGTAACTAAGGAAGAAAAAGTAGAATAAAATATTTAGCTAAAATTTCCGTCTATCAAAGACAAGGTATCCTTTTCATGGAAAAGCATTCATAATGTGATGTATCGATATAGATGAATAGATCTTTTCATCATGCCTTTAGCTAATTAACCCATTAGATATATACCTTGCCCTGATGACTTGAGAATATACCTTTGTGCTATTTTTATCGTAATCAATAAAAATATTGATTTCTGATCACGTCAAAAAAAAATACTAACTAACATCAGTAGGTAAGGTCGTTCCTTAATTTGCCTGACTTTAGACTAATAGCAATTTGCATCCATTTAGTCATGCAGATACCGATAAGCTTCATATTTTTAAAGTAAAACATGATCTCCAGTAAATCAAATGTCCGACTAATATTAATTAATAATTAGCTTGACACCGTATATTAATGATGCAATTTGAATTTAATTCGCATATTTTTGATAATAAACCGATCAATGGTTGTAACAGAAAAGAAAAAGAAATAGATCAATGCTATAGAATTGACTTTTAATACTCATGAACTTTTAATTTTTGTTATTTTTCGATAGATTCCAACATGTATAGGGAAAATTTTATCACATGCGTACGGTCACTTTAGTTTTTTTTTATTTCTGAATTTATTTTTCTTCATGTTCTTAACTATTATTCTTTTATTATAGCATTTTCTAGACATATCTTTTTTCAATAGCTTAGAAGAATGTGTACAATATCGACCAATATCAATCAATTCCATGCAATATTAATTCTATAATCTAATATGGTTATTGTTTGAAATCAATCATCTGTTTCACATATTGATCTTTAAATAAAAAAAATGGAATGTGATTACTGCTATAGGGCGTCCATTCATAAGGATAAAAGTCATTACCCTGTCAATTGATAAATATTATTATTGCAAGATGTTACTACATTTATTAAGAGATTTCTTTCTGAATTGTCGTAGCTATCATGTAAGTTTTCTTCTTTCATTTTCCTGATAGGGGCAGTAACGTGTCAACGTTTTTTCTTTTAATCATACAGTTTTAAATTAGCATCATAATAATTTTATTCCTTATTCCTTTTTCAATTGTGGGGTCAGGAACGATAAATTCCACTTCTACTTCCGTTGCCATAATAGCTTGCGGGAGAATAAACTTCGAGAGAACTATTATGTAAATTAAAGTATTATCATTACTTTCATTACTAGAGTAAAATATTGCCATGGTTGCTAATAGCTATATTACAGCCCTTCATTATCGTTAATAACACTTTAAAGGTCAAGGACAATAGAAATTGATGAAAGTAAGAAATCAATTTTAGCAGTCATCAAAAGGAGCCTTATTAATACTTATAATTATTACACATGATTGTGCGCGCATTTGCAAGGTGATCATAGCTCATGACATTTAACACAAAACTAGCAGCCTGAGTTGCCAATTTTTTACTACTCTAAGCAATTTATTGCGAATTTAGTGATTTTATATCTAATGACGGTTTCAGGATTTTAAAATTCTTTGAAGTTATCTCAGTTCCTGTTATTATAATTCTAAAATAGAAGGCTGATTCAATGAGTTTTGCTTTCTCGGATTCTATATTTAGAATTGTGCAGCCTATAAATAAACTGCAAAAGCACTACTCTTGATGTCTTTCATGATGTATGATAATGATATGACAATTTATAAATGTAGCTTAATTTGAACGTTACTATTCAGTTTGCAATGGAGTTAATTTTACCAGAAGTTGTATGAAAATTTTCTATAGCGTACCGAAATTATCTATCCACTAAAACGAATATAATCATACTTTTAGTCTTTTATCCATGTTAACTCTAAGAGTCGGGATACGAATATATTGTCCAACGACTATAGTATATCATCATAAAATGATAATACAAAATCCTTGCAGTTTATGAGATTTAGCTTCTAAAAAATAATTAATTTTTAGAACAATTCTTCTATGTATATTTTAAGACAAATTGTAAGACAATTGAAGAAATGTCTTCTAAATTAAGTTAATTACTATGTTCAAAGATCCTTGGTAACGCACGTCAAACCTTTTATAATCTATCATATGTAATCCTTTTCAATTAGGGCAAGTTAGCTCTGCACAGGCTCACACAATTTCAGCTAGTTATCTGAGAAGGAATAACATTCTAATATATCTATGATAGCTATATATTCGCTTATTGATTAGATCAAAAGACTATCATTCTTGTAATCCCAAAAATGTACATTAAGATATCAAATGTACGACGGATTAATCCATCATTATCATGCGTCATGAAACTAACAGCTAACATGTGGCCGCTATCATCATATGACATTTCATAAATTGAGATTATACTTTCAAGCATATGTCGGGTGTATAGATATATGTTATATGTTACAGCCTCCTAAGAAAAGTCCAGCTCAACCCAATTCAACCAGTTCAAGTATTAATCTACTCTTAAGATTAAGTATTTACTATAGCTCAGTTACATTTAAACAGGTTTCTATTTTATCAAATTTTCACTTTATTTACGCTTATACGATTTCCATTTTTTGGTAAACAGCTTAATGTTTTCTATTTTGACATCTTGCTTTTTTGCAAGTTCTAGCATATTTGAATCTAAGCCTTTATTTGCAGCTATTTCTTCATTTCGTAAGTCAATGCCTGTTAATAGTGTTACCATATTCTGTTTGCCTTCACTGAAGTAACAACAGCAATCAATGATTTGTTCATAAATCCTAAAAGTAAACGGCCTTTGGTCAGCAATTATATTGAACTCAATTCACTGGAATCAATGAAATCAGCTAGCTAATAATATCTTATTATTGACAGAAACTACCATTGTGACTATCCACATATAAAGAAACGCTAAGAACAAAATCAATCGAAAACTAAGAAATTTCAACAGCAAGTACAGTAGTATTACCAGTTTTCTTGGCCTTGGTTTTTCCGCCTTTTAATCTTTGAAGACATTTCATTATCGTTTTGCGCTCTTAGCCATCTTGTTATGTAGGTAAATTGAAGAGGCAAAGTAAAGTAAATGATTCATGGTAGAACAAGTGATAGTATTACAATAGCGAACACCAACAATGTATACAGATAGAAAGATAACCTATTATCTACTGTATTACAAGATACAGTATAATTATTTATGCAAAGCAACGTAATATTAAGGTAAATCTAGAGATGATAAATGTAGTTATATTACCATATGAAAACATTAGAAGTTTAAAATAATCCAAAATTCCTCACGAAAAGCATAAACTGTCATGCAATAATCATCTTGCTTCATTAATGCAAGTAAAGGATTCAATCTCGTCATCCTTACCTGTTGCCTTTCTTAAATTGAACTTCTAAATATTTTATTGCCTGCCTGGCTTGGGCACTTATCTTTTTCATATTATCAAGCGACTGTACAACTATTATTCGCAAATTAGATATGGTAAATATCGAAAAAATCGAAAATCTATGTTTGTTAAGTCAGCTAATCTACTGGTTATACTGTATAAGTAGTTCCATCTAATCTTCAAAGTAAAACTAAACTCGTGAATTTCAAATGTTATAAGTTAGCATATTTTAGATCATTACATATACAACCTGCTAGAGGCACTATAATGACTAGTTGTCCGCTATGGCTGAAGTCTTGGATTGCTCTGAGAGAATTGCAAAACGCGAAAGCATCTGGTACTAAATAGGGCGATATTGTAACTCCTTTATTTGCATCACGTGAAGCAACGTTAGCTTCAAGTGACTCTACGTCTGACTATAATCGAATAAAATAGCAAATGTTTATCATATATCGCATATTACTAATTAATTTCAATGCAAATAGCATTACCTTCAATTTCATTTGCGCCATCATTTTCATAGCTTGAAGGCGTTTAGCCTTTGCCTTTCGTTAGAATACGACCGTAATAAGATTAGCTTTCGATGAATTGATAGATACATATAAAGACTTTATTGGCACAATTCTCTTTACCTTGTCTTCTTCTTCCTTGCTTATCTGTACTGTAACTTCTGCTTTATATTCAGCTAATTGAAGCGGCCCATAAAATTGACATTCATTTGCTACCCAAATTAAACCTTGCATTGGCTTATAAATGTTAATAGAAGTTAATTATGACTTTAATTTGATTTTCATCCTTAAAATGGTAGCCATAAGTCGAAAAGATAAATTAAGTAGTTTCTGTCGTGTACTAACTATACAGTATTTAAATGTGCAGAATACACGATATTACGATAGTATAAAGCTGAATTAAATACCTTGTGATATGCTAAGTAAAATCCAAACTGCAGTAAATAGTTTAAACGCTTGAATGTCTTGATAACAATACAAATCTTAGGATTAATATTTTAGCGCATGAACGGCTAAAAATAATTATTGATCTTTTCTATCTATCTAAATACGTTACCAGATCGGATTTAGCGATTTTTTGCAAATTTCGGCTATTAGGCTTAATATTAATGTGAATACGTTCTAAAGGCTTAAAACCTAATAAGTAGATGTCCTCCGGTAAAGGGTCAATTTGATCAAAATTTTGTTGGATTGCTTGAGGATAAGTCATGATAATGCAGTTTAATAGCGTCGCATAATCAGACCAAAACTGAGCAAGATCCTAAATAATGGAGTAAATATAACGAAAAAGGAAGAAATAAATAATAATTTATAATCTAAAAATATCAGAAATAAATACACTATTTGCTCACTGTACCTCTTGATATTTATCCAGAACTTCCTCATGGCTTATCAGCCAATCTGTTCCAATTTTTAAAACATTAAGCAATTTATTACTAATTTTGCGTAGTCTTCGCTGCTTCTCGATGTCCACGTGAAAATCTGGCTGATCGGTTGCAACTATAATGTATTATTATGGGGTCATTTAAAGAATAATACATGGTTGGCGTTTTATAATTATCGAAGCTAGAGCTCTAATTACCTTCACATTCTGAGTCATTGCGATTTGACCCCTCAGGATTTACAGTATCAGTACTATCAACAACGTCACCAATCGTATGATTATTAACATTTATAACTGGTTGAACTTCTCCAGAGGCTGTATTATTTTCAATAATATTTTCCTCTGTATCTGTAACTAATTCAGATTCACTGTTTTCACTGTCAGTTGACCATTCACTTGAAGAAGAGACTTGAAGTGAACGCGATTCAGAATCACTATGATGCGATATGCTCCCAGAAAATGAGCTATCACTATAATCTTCGTTGTTGTCACTACTTTCATCTTCGGAATCACTAGTTTTACGTCGTCTTCTAGCTCTAGCTTTCTTGTATAATAGTTTCTTTGCTTTCATTTTTTTAGTTTGAGGATCATCTTTATCATTATCACTATTGTAGTTATTCATTTCATGGCAATCGCTAGATCCTTCACTGGTCTTTAGTGCATTCGATGCTGAATCGTTATCATCTAAGTCTTGTTCATTCTCTCCATAGGTTATATAGTACGTAACGCATTGGGCTATTCTAGTTAGAACAGCGATAATGATTGCAACAGATATAGTTTCCTGGGGTGCACCTTCAAATAGCAAAATGAAAGGCTAATTTAATATAAGAAACATATAGTGCAGTATCACTACTTTGGTGATTTTAATTACCTGTCAGTAAAAAAATAACATCATAAACAATGCTTACCCATCTGCGACAGATTATATTCTGACATATATAAAACGGCCAGTAACTTAAAAAGAATATTACAGTCTACAAGATCGTAATCCGCGTCCGGTTTGACGGAGTATAAACTTTCGTTTTCACAAAACTCAAAACCGTATGCAGTATATTCTTTAAAATCTTTTATTACTTTCTCACAAAGTTCATTAAGTTGTTCAATCGTCATACTATTAAATGATAATTACAAAAATTCATAATCGTCGTAGTTATTCATGAATAACTTAAAGGCAATCTCAGTATCTCTTACCTGGTATTTGGACTTAGATTACTGTTAAGATATATAAAATTAATAACTAATCTTTTCAAAATATATTCCCTACAAAGGAATAGAAATAAAAGTATTGAGGTATATATAAAATTGAATGCAGTCATCCATAAATTGTGCGTAGTACAAGTTTATAATTATTACAATGTACCGTAATCCCACATTATCTACTCCACTAAGTAAAAGATGCAAAAACTGTAACAAACTTACCGCGTAATTGTTTCTGGTTCTCCATATTGAAGCATTTGAAGCATTTCCTTATAGGTTTTGCTGATATGGCGCTTAACGTTATTAATGATACCATCAAAAGGTACTGTGCTATATAGACTAAAGGGAAAATATATTGTTAGAGACTAAAGGTCATTGGAATTTTGATAAATGCCGGCATAATCTTACCATCTCATGTAGTAATAAATAGTGTCCAGGCCGAAATTAAAATTGACATGTAAGGTTCCCAGTTGATTATGAGATATACCTATATATAACAGAAGAGAAAATAAAATATACTAATGCTATTTATGACATAGGCTCGAGGAAAAATGTTGGTTGACTTATTAAACAATAGAGATATAAATATCTATGACTAAACAACAGAATGTAAATTTAGATACCCCAGTCAGGACGAAAACACATAGCTTTATGATAATGTTCCAAAGCTATCTCATGGCCTTTAACACTATCATAATCTGTGTAGTAGCGAGCTAAATTTAAATAATAATTAAAAAAATTCCGTTAAGTAAGATCAAAATAGAATCCAATATTAGTTTAGTTAGGTATCCTCGATTACTACGTATTCCATTTTGGGCAGGTAAAAGTACTGACAAGGGAATATCGTTTACCTAGATCTCCAATGTAAATTAAGCATCGTCCGCTTGCATCTTTTGCCCAATCAACTTTTGGAGATGTAATTGTTATTGCTAAAAAGGGTATCATGATGCCGTTAATCTTAAAAGATCTGTACTATAACAAGACATACTAATCTGAAAGCATTAAAAGGAAACGACGATATTTTGTTAGGCTATATACTCGTAATTAAGTTAGTTTTAAACTTAGATTTCTATTTCAATCACATTCTAAATAATAAGCTTAAGTGCTCGACATTGGAATATAGCTTACCTGCTGTCTCAGTATCGTCATCAGTACTGTCAATATTATCTAAGAATACGCACGTTAAATCAATATTAAACGCTTGGCCTAGTTTTCTTAAAAAGCTTTTGTAAAAATCTATTGCTGATAACAAATAATTTGCAAACGCTGTCTTTGTATCTAGATCTTCATGTAATTCCTATCCGGATAGGAGTAAATATAAAAATATAGGCGATAAGTAAGAGTGAATAAAGAACAACGTTTCATTGGCATCTACATCTAAGTTGCAGCGACAAAGAAAGGGTTAATCTTAGTTTCTTAGGATAAAATTTTAAAAAAGATAGATTGTAATTTTAGAAAATATTTCGGAATAATAAACGATAACTAAATTACTGCACCTGGTATTTTACTATACCTCTTTATTCAGTCGTCCCTTGCTAATAACGTTGTAATATACCTTCTTCCACATAACATCTTCAATCATCTTTCCCATATCTTCATCATCTGACAATAGCAATTGTTCACATATAGCTCTTAACCTTTGGCATCAATAAAAGAATTTTAAATTAGACTACGTATTAGACAAGTATTAAAGCTGCTCATTTATGATCAAACAGAAATCATTAAGGATACAGATTTTCATTACATTACATTAAGATTAATTGCACAGATATGACGTAACATTAAATAATTCATAGTCTATATGATTTAATCTACGATTCATACGTAGAGTAAAAAATGATAACACAGAAATAGGAAATGTTGCTAATACGTGCATCTACCGTTCGTACTCTAAAATTTTATCGTTAAGATCGAGCTGATAAGGCTTTATTCTAACACATTCACTACAGAAAATACAGTAATATCATCGTATTACAGTTCCATAGCCTAACAGTATACTGTAATAATATGATATAATTCGTAGGTACGCATGTACCCATTTTGAATTTCAAGGTGTTACCTCAAACGATGATCCACATGAGGAGGCTGTAAAAGTGCTGCAATCGAGATCTCCTTGATGGAGTGATCAACACGATGTGCAATATCTACACCATTGCTAAACGAGAGGTCAATGTGAATACAAAATATCAACAATCTTACAAGGATTAGTTAGTATTTTGATGAGGTTGTTGATCAATTTTGAATAGATGGATAGAGAATAAAGACAATTTAAGCGTAGATAATTGCAACGATTACAAGTTTACCAAATCTCGCATACAAGTGTAAGAGTACGTCATCGTAATATCACTATTTGAGCTCACACAAGGACCTAGCCAGAGCCTGACTAACGCTTATCGCACAAACTTTAGTAATCATTAACTTACAATACTAAGAGTATGCAGAAGTTAAATGTATTATCACACTGTTTTAGATCATCATTAAGTGTTACTAACTGGCTGCAGAACAATTTACAACTCCGTATTTGCAAATATTGTAAACGAAGGAGAGGAAAAAAACTACGTAGACTGTTTACTTTTATTGAACATGATCAAAAGTCAAATCAAATTAATTAATTAGTAATTACTGTATACCGGTATAAGCGCCTGCAATCCGCTTTATTAAGATTATGAGCTCGACTCATGGATGATGCATTTATCCTTAATATCTTAATACAAATCTAGTGAGGTCTTTGCTTGGCGTTAATAACCAGCAGTAGTTAATACAATGTCCATAATATCGATAGTGGCAGCGGTCTTGGCAAAAAAAATTAATTTGTTTTGGAATACTGTACGGCAAAGGTGAGAGGCCCAGCAGTAATTGCGGTACAGTACAGCACCGTACAGTGTACAGTACACTGTACGGTAGACTCAGAGTCCTCACAAGTTAACTAGAGACCAGTAAGTTACTCAGTTATGCGCAAAATCCTTAGGATATGCAGTGTTGTACGATATACTACTGTATAGTATACAAACGCTTCCGCACAATATGGTGTCCGGATGTAGTAAGAATAATAAGGATTTGATTGTAGCTTAAATGGTTTGATTCGAACAGGTTTAACACCTATTACAGGAGTTAGGTATACTCAGTGCGAAGCGACAGCGATAATTAATTAATATAAAGTAAAAAAAGTACAAGTGAATACAGAGTCCGTATTGTAGACTGTATTTAGTACGCGAAGTATAACGAGCGTGGGTTCTACAGCAGCATTGCTAGGCAGACTTACTGTATACCAGGGACTAGATAGATAGCATCTGTCTCAGAAGTCCTTGTTTATACCATATAACTGGGTCGGTGATGCCAATTAGGATCAACAAAAATAAGTAAGTACGAGTATAATGATACAATCTCGTAGGCATAACGGAAATCGAGATGAAAAAAAACTCTAGAACTTTTTAATCAGCTCGTCGTCATAAGAATTGATATTGACTCATTTCTTTTTCATCGCTAGTTGTAAGATAGAGAATAACTTGCTAGCAATGACCTAGTAGTCCATGCCTAGACATAGCAATCCAATCCTTCATGGAATGGTTTGCATGAAGTCTCCGTTAGCATGCTATGAATGCAATAGCTTTATCAAGAAGCAATGTACAGTACAGTATACAGATTGTTATTAATTAATAAAGTGTTTCAGACAAGTTGAAAAATCTTAAAAACTATGGAGGTGCATGCACTAATATGATAAATAAAAACTTCCACATACCAACTCAAAGCGTAACTCTAAATTTCATCTTGCACAATAGGCTAAAGGTAAATGACGAGACGAGATAGCAATTTATTATCCAATACAACAAAATAACTTACAATACAAAAATCGACAAAGTGTATTTGCATTTTTGTAAATGCAGAGTACCGGAAACGACATGTACGGCCAAAATACAAATATTTAAAACCGAAGGATTGCAACACGGGTTTATACAGTGTGATTGAATAAACTAATACGTGTCAAGCAGGCAAATGTAAACTCATTAGGATAGCATCTATACAACTTACAATTAGATATTTAGTTACTCTGCATTTAACAATTTGCGTTTGTATAACACAGATTACGATATAAAGCCCAATGCAGACGTAGCAATATACCTACACAGCTAGATTTAAGAACGTATTTGTACGCCCGATCCTAAAATAGTAATGCTAATGCTAACATTACAGGAAAACTAGCCTATCGATATCAATTCATCATTAGGCTAAATAATACAATTGGAATCGGTAACTTTTTAAAATATATATATTTAAGGTAACATAGGCAGAAAACTGTTAATTTAAATTAAAATAGGAATATATCAACAACAATTTCTATGTACATGTTATACCCTACATGTATGCTCTTCTACAAATGTCATTCCTAACCAGACAGAAGTAGACATTGCAGCAAAAGGTGATAAAACATAATCTTAAATTCGAAGTAAACATATTCTAAAGGCCGGAGAGAACTGTTGCACGACAGTAGTAGGGTCCATTTAACAAGGTTCTTAATTCATTATTGCACTCCAAAGCGTTCTGCTCGCATCTTTTTTCGAGACTGTATACAAAGCAGTGGAAATTAATGAGAGATGTTATAACTATAATTAAGTTGAATCTAGTTGAAGATGTGAGCACATACTGAGCAACTATACTTTACAGTATTCAACTACATACCTCTAAATCACCGCCAGCTACAGAAGCTGCACCAAATTTCTCCTTCCTTTTTAGTAGCCGATCTACCTGATCAATCTTATTACAATACAATAGACGGCAATTTAAATCTCTGCAATAACTCCAATTCCTTATAAATGCAGTATACTCACTTTTTGCATTGTTGGGGACACCGAAACTCCGAAACGTTCACCTCGCTTCTTTAATTTATCCAAATGCTGAAACAATAAATCAGAGTATATTTTCACAATTACTCTTACGAAGCATAATCATGTACCAATATTACGATGTAACCTACCTCTTCAGGATTAAGTATTATAGTGGAAGTAGTTGATGATTCTGTAAGGCAGATTTCAATTTATCATAAGTAACTGATACTACAGTACTCTAATAGTTCTCATCGTAGCTTAAATTGATTGTCACCTGTACCTTCTATTCCAAACCTGCAAAATATAAATTATGATTAGAAAATAATGTTAACATAGATGAAGCGTGTATTAAAATGTTCTTACTATGAGGGTAGTATATTATATTTTTATAGCGGATATATAAATATGCTGTAGCTCTAACCGTTTTGCTCTGGCTTCCTTTTTCGCTGCCTCTTCAGGTGAGGTTGGGATATTAAACCTAGCAGCCCTTGCAGCTTTGCGCTCTGCTTCCGATATCGGCTTCGTTGTCACACTATAGTACAGTGCAAAATAATTGATGTAGAAGGGATTACATTATTGAAGAGTTATAGGACATTTTGGCAAGATGATCGTCCGCACGTCAATTAATAGCTTAAAGTATTGGATTACTAACTTTTTTTCCTCAGAGTTGTCAGCAGAACCGCTCACATTTTTTACTTCTTCATCCTATCAGATATGATAAGGAACTTTATATTAGATATAAACTTAGTAAAAAGGGACTACTGTATATCATGACATTTAAATATTTAGACATCATTAAGGTGAAAAGAACGCTACAATAATTAAATTATTAGTTAACTGACGTCAACCTTGATTTCTGCTTTATTATTGTCATTGTCTTTCCTTCAGTAAGCAATGATAACATTAATGTTTGATGATATAATTGCATTAACGATAAAGACATCTACTTACAGGTCATTAGTATTGGCAGTACTACCGGCTAGAAGATCATCATCCTAATTATGAAAGTAAAGGAATTCTAATTATGGCATACGCGTCAATATATTTCACGTTTTACGCAGACTAGGTGACATATAAGCAGCGTAAGGTGTTCAAGGAAAAATAGAGTCAATCGTTAGTTATAATGATCATGCCAAGTTTGTTCGGCCTACTTACTTCACCAAGATCTTCTACATTGCCACTCTCTTCAACGTTGTCATCGTCCAAGGCCACATTTTCTATATCGGAGTGATAGATGAGCAGTAAATGTTACCCTCACAAATGTTAAACTACTGAACAATTTATCAAATATAGTGAATTACAGCGCTTATTGTGATTATTGGTAAGTATTTGCATAGAGCAAGTTACTAGCACATATAGTATCATTGAACCCAATAACTATTTATCTGTTGCGATCGTATTCATAAGCATCTACTTTGCTTTATCCATTATCCTACAAACGTCATTGCTACTTGAAATCAACGAGAAAAACTTTCTTCGAATTGAGTAAGCTTTAATCTAATTGGTCATTTCTAATTAGAATAGTGAGTCAAGTCGCTGTAATAGAGTGACCATGGATGTACGCATTACGATCCTATTGATAAACAGCTATTTCGCTCTCATCGCGTTTACTGTAGGTCTAGAAAAGCTTTAGTAAGCGTACGTATATCGATATCATGCTATCACAGTTATATGTACCAGTTTCGATTTCCTCTTCCAAACGGGCGATGAGCTTCTCTTTACTCCCTGTTGTGGATAAACTGCGCACCTTTAATTCTCGTTTTAAGTCTGAAACCTACATTGAAATTTATTTCCAACTTTTAGTCAGACGCCAATCATAATTGTACATTATATACAGTATAAAAATATTTGTTAACAACATGGAATTTTATTGCAAGCAGTACCGTAGTTGGTTGTATTGCTAACGATGTATACTAGAAAACATTATAGTAGAATGAAAGAGTTTGGACCTGGACAAGCTATGTAAGCAAGTTTAGATACGCTGGAATTAGTAAAGGTCTATAACGCTTAGTGAGAAACACTGGCAACAACAACAGCAATGAGGCCCCGGTCATGACTTAGTGTATGACACGATTTCAGTAGCTCGCAAGGCGTAAGCTAATGCTGTGTCACCTATTGCAGTTTTAGTCGAGCGAGATAGCATGATTAATAAGACTATCCAATCCACATGAGCATAACGAGTCACTAAAATTTTGAGATCATTCCTACAAGCTAAGGCTAATGCTAAGCGCTCATGTTCAATCCAAAGTTGGACATAGAAACAAGCTTAGCATCGTACTGTGCTGGACACTGTACAGTACACAAGATTTGTCATCCAATGATGCAGTATTTGATTACTAGTAGCAATGCTCACGAATAAGGTGACAGCTACCTCATGTAATACCACAGATAACTGATTACAAAAGCTATGATATATTCTAGAACTAATAGGTCGAAATGATAGAGAAGAATTCTCCATTGGCGTACATACCTTCATTTTTTTCACATCTTCTACTCGCAGTGTCGACTCCATTATCTCACGTGTGGCGTTGCACCTAGACCACGTCGTTGGGCTTCGCTGTATTGTACAGTACTGTACAGTACAGTGCATGTGAGAGTACTGTACACTGTACACTGTACGGTGCGGTGACGGTACTGTACTGTACAGTACTGAAGGTGTCCCCTCCAAAATCGACGACGATTGAAGTTATACAGTACTGTTACTGTACCGTACTGTACTGTACTGTCTGTCTGTACATGTACAGTACATGATACAGTATAGTACAGTACAGTATAGTAGCCTCAAATACTGTACAGTACACTGTAAAGTACTGTACAATAAAGTACTGTACTGTACAGTATTTCCCTACAGTACTGTACAGTACTCAATACTGTAGTTTTTTTACCTCTACTGTACAGTACTGTACACTGTACAGTACAGTAGAGGTTTCATTGATAGTGTACTGCACAGTGCACACTATAAAAATCATCTTGGTGACTTGGTGGCTCATTACAGTATGATATACAGTACATACTGTATCGTGTAGACCTGTATGGTCACTGGTGACAGTGGTCAGCCCATCGAGGTCAAAAAATAAAAAAACCTATTTTTTACACCTTGGTTGGAAAAGAAATCCTCTTATTTTACAAGTCCATGTCTTGATACAGCCTGCACTCAGGCAGAAACTACCATAGAGGTAACTGGTACTTCTATGCCAACTACTAGAAGAGAGATGAGAAGTAACCGTTTAGTGCAGAATACTGTACTGTCAATGCGAGGGGCTTATTATTTTGGGTGTTCTTTCTTTCTAGCAGTTCATTGGGATAAAACGTCGTCGATGGTAGTACAGTCAGTAGCAGTGTACAGTACTGTACTGCATTGGGGCCTAACTACTGTAGTACTGTATAGTATATTGTATGCTTGCAAGTTGCAGTACAGTGGAAACGACCAGGAAGAGTCGGCCAGCACCTTTTTGGAGCATTTTTTGTCTCTTTAAACGATCATTTCCTGGCCTTCTCTCCATTTAGTAGTCCTAATCAGGTACTTTTTAAAAAGAAATTCTCTTCTTCAAAGTCCCTGATCTGACACTGCTTGTACTCGGACAGCCAAAGCACTGCTGTAAGACAGAAGAATGAGAAGTGGCCACTCAAGAGGCATAACATTTTCCTGGCCATTTTACTGTAGGCAACGATTCAAAACTAACCTAGCACGTCATTGCAGACATGCAATATAGCTGAAATGACCACTGAAATAGTTGGCCATCGCATTTTACGATACCTATTTACTGACATGAGATCGCCAGTACAGTTATAAGGGATTGCTGGTACAGTCATGGACTGCTAGATAGTAGACGCTATACTGGTACTATTGCTTCTAAAGCATAGTACTGTATCGAGTAGCCAAGGACTACGACAGTAAATACTCTTTCTCTTTTAGTAGTCCCTGCCACTAACCGGTACGGTACAGTACGATATTCTACAGCCACACGGTCACTTGGATACAGGGCAGCGAAGACTGATCAATATCCACCAAGATAGGCAAGAAATATTTCTTATACTTCCAATAACGATCATTGGATTGTATTGAGCATAGGAAATTGAGGGAGTACAACCTTTAGATTTCAGGCTATAATAAAACAAGTTTACTGTCCTTAACTATTCCGTCTACTATACTGCGGCTATTCAGTTGAAACAAAGGTTGCAATATCCCAAGGTTGGCTATCCTTCACTTAACGTTGTTATTGTCAAAAGGTATATTGTATTAAAAGGGAAAAATGAGACGACGAGGGGTTGGTGGAGTAGCAGCGATTAATAAGAGTAAACTAGCAAAGGTACCTGAATGGATGAGCATTGACGAAATGAATGTCGATCCACCAATTGTAAATTAGCTATCGCTTTAATCACTCTTCAAAGATAGCTTAGACATGATACTATCTTAATGGATGTAATTTATTATTGATAATTATTGTAGGCCAAATTTGCTGAGAAAGGTACAGAAATTGCAGAAACTCAAGTATCTCAGGTACATTTCCTCCGCTCCTTGACTGTGTAGAACTGCACGATTACATGTAGTATTATTATCAAAGTTATGATATATTTATAACGATAATAACAACTAGTCATAAATTGTAATTTGAAATGGATCTTCAGTAGATATCCTAGCATAAGCTGGTCGCTCAGTTCTGTTATGAAAGACATAAATCACTCTACTGTACAGTGCACAGTATACAGTACGATGATGCCATCGACATGGACCTGTTTAGATGACCAGAAGTACCTCAAATTAATAATAATGTGGTATAAAGGAAACGTCAATAATGCATATTCGTTAAAATATTCAGTAACATTTTAGTATTCTTAGTTTAAATTCGATTCAAGTAAACATTTCTTTCCTGGATTATGCCTCTGCTATAAAAATGGACTTTATCCACAAGCTGTACAATATACAATGTACATACTGTAGCAGTAATACTTACCATTTTCGTTTCATTTCATACTGCGGATAAGAGTCAACTGATTCAAAAATGAATGACTTTAGCGACAAAGATGGAGCTACTTACTGCTAGTGATTACGTTCATTAAGTATTACAGATGAGACACTGATTCACTACGCTTACACTTCTTCAAAGTGATGTAATCACCAATGATTGTCCGTTTTGCCTTATTATACGAATAAGTAACAATCTATGATAACTAGAATTAGTCGTACTAACTATAAATTTGCATATCACACCGGCGTATCCAAATGGGTTTAGATGTCCCAACAATTAGAAGAATTTCGTACAAAATTGAGCGATTTTGCGGCCAAACATCGAAATGAAATCCGAAAAAATCCTCAATTTCGTAACCACTTTCAACAAATGTGTGCCCGTATTGGTGTAGATCCTTTAGCATGTAAGCAAGCTAATAGTAACCAGTACCGTTCTAGTCGCTAGTGACCACAAACCTACTATGATAACCTCTCTTATTGTTTAACAATGATAAAAATGTAGCTGCATAATGGCGTTCTTCTGAGATCTACAGTACTTTAGGTGGGAATCCTATCTCATTTCTTGCTTGTCTATTTCCTTTTTCTCCATCTACACAACAGCTAGTAAAGGATTCTGGGCTGAGCTCCTTAATGTTGGAGATTTTTATTACGAGGTAAGCCAAACTATTATTACTAGAATCTGCTTCTCTTATTGTTGTATAACAAATAGTATGAATTGATCTATTTACCAGCTTGGAGTTCAAGTTATCGAAGTTTGTATGGCTACTAGACCGAGAAATGGAGGTTATAGTTGTAAAGCAGTCTCCGATATTATTTCACTAATATGATCACAATACAGTAATATAAATATTTTTGCTCAGGCATAATACCCCTGGAGGAGTTAAGAGTTCGATTAACAAAAGCACACGGCAAAACTCGAGAAGATGTTACTGTGTATGATAGCTTCATTTTACTTTCGATATATGTACTATAGAGTTACACAAATATATAACGTGCAGTCTTCCGTTATTCGATGTAGCGATGACCTTTCCCGAGCGATTAAAAAATTAAGTACACTAGGTAACGGTTTCAAAGTCATTGCAGTTGGTAGTCAACGCTTGGTACAATCTGTTCCAGTTGAGCTTAGCATGGATAATACCGCAGTTTTACAATCAGCTATGGTATGTTATAGGTGTACGCTCATATAAAAATGTGAAAAATTATTATTACATGCGTACCGTAGAACCTGTCAATCAAAGTAATTGTAATTATAATTTATAATTTGCCAACCCTGCAGGATACTGGTTATGCTAGTATTAAAACTCTTTGCGATGAATTTCAATGGCCAACTGATAGAGCGCGAAGAAGCCTGGTACGCATACGTTTTAAAAAAATGCCGTCCATTTATCGTAATTTATTAAGAACTAGAATATCGCTATTGACTTAACATTGCAATTTTTTCTATCTTCTAATAGGAACAGCTTATCAAGGAAGGCATGGTTTGGATTGACTCGCAAAATGCAAGTGAAGATCTTTACTGGTTTCCTGGATTGTTTAATAATGAGAAGTAATGCGTGCCTTTACTTTGGCATAATTTCTGCGGCTACTAAAACATAGCTGCCTGTTAAGTAATCCCACCTTGATACCGCGGTTAATTTGTAACCACAAGGGTGTTGGCTAACCCGTGAACTAAACACAAATTGGATACAATGTTTCCAAACCGCTTCAGCTAATCTGAATGTGTATATAATATTTGAAGAGATTTGAGTTAATTGTAAATATCCAACAGCAAATAAGCTGTTTTAATATCTCGGGAATATACTTTTGACATAAAGTAATCTGTTACGAATGATGACTAACTACTGAAATCAAATTTGTTATGGCTGATAAGGAATGGCTTAATTTATGATGTATTGATTATTATTATTTGTAAAATACGTGTTCGTATGAATAAAATACTGCAATTCTGTAAATATCATGTGACGATCTCTTCACTCTTTCTTATTGAACAAGCGTGTAAAATATAAATACAAGTACAGTTTATCAAGAAAATATTACGCAAGTATATACAAAAATCTCAGAATAATACCTCAGACTTTACTACTACGTGAGTGTCATCAATTGATACTATTGTATTGATTTTTGTCATAAGTTATAATTTTCTGCCGTAGATTTTATAATTAGGAAAACTATGAGGTACTAGTACAACTTTTGGACAGCTAGTATTGAATGAATAAGTGTTACATATCTGCAATGTCTAATTCGCCAGAGAGAGAACCTTTTAGACTATGACTCTCTAACACGCCCCTAACTTCAGTCTCCAAGCTAGAATCCCTTTCTTGTGTTAGCTTTTGTATAGTACGTTTATATGTACGCGCATGAGTCTAATTTATTAGAGAGAGTTTTTAGACCGTAACCCACTCAATCATATCCTCAAATTTAGATAGCCAAGCTAGAATTCCTTTATTATGTTTGCTTTCGTGCCTTTATATGTGCGTCTTCTATAAATTAAAGTATATGCGAACACATAATACTCTGTGTTGTCGTTTTATTCTTTATTCTATATAGTCACGTATGTCCAACAAGTACCAACATCATAAACGTCTACTGCGAACTATAATGTTATACCATGCCTAACAATATCTTTGATAAGGAATACGGAGTAAAGGGAAAAACATCTTATAGTAGTGACAAAAAGAAGAATTATATATCTTCGATTAAGAATACTAAGTAAAAAGGGAAAGAAAACACCTTATGGTAGTAATAATAATAAGATTTGTACAGTACATCTTCGATAACAAAGTATAAGTAAAAAATATCTTGTAATAAGCTAACAAAGATATAAGAATAAGAACTACACATCTAAGTTTATATCTAAACCACCCGAAAATTACTCAGTTAACAGTTAGCGAATTCTAAGATTCTGATGTACTGTACTGCGCGAATAGCATAGCACAGAAAATGAGTATGCTGTGTTACATATTTGACAGCAGACCGAAAGCGATATTTAGTGAACATATTGTAATATGCGCGGCCATATACTAGGTCTAAGACTACATAGAATAGCGATCAGACACGATGCAGAATGATTCAGGATTAGAATAAGATTTATTGCGAACGTAAAACAACAGGAGGGATCAAGAGAGGAATCACCAGATAGCTAATCCACATATACACTATACAGTATTGTGTTACAGCAAAAGCAATATTATTTGATAGTCTTAAATATACTCTGTAATTATCTACTGTACTCTGCATGCTCAGTAATGCTTAGCGTTACTGTAGTATGTCACACATATGAACGCTTTTTGATAAGTAATGTAAATAGGATATTTCCTCAATAAACCATCAATCCTGTTTACAACGGCTAATCTATGGATACGTAAACAGCAGTATTTTATGAGAATGTTATAGTGATAATAATACCGATGATTAAAATTTAAATTTAAGTAAGTAAAATACCAAGGCTTATCAGATCAACTTAACTGAGTAAAATGACATACTGGTAAGCATACAGCTGAAAAAGTACTAAGTATGCAATTTGCCATAATGCTAATTGCTGTGTAGGTTATAGTATCTCGGCAAATACTAAAAAGAACCGTGAGTTATAGTATCGGTATAGGCAACGTATTAAAAATTAAAGATCTATCGCTTTAGTATAACCAAGTTTGTTGTAGTAAAATATAAGGTAATAAAGTATCACGTTGACAGTAACAATGCTACGACATGGAAGCCTACTAGCTAATTTTCTTTCCTACAACATTTCATTAATAGGTTTTCGAAAATACAGGTTCTTTAATAACGTCAATTGCTTCTTCCATTCATCGTTTTTTATCTTCCATTTCATTAAGTCAATGCAAGTTGCAGCATCTTCTATACTATCGTGACCAATTTTGTCTAAGATAAATTTGTGAAATATACCAAATTAATGTCTATAAATATTATTTTATCTCATCCGTATTAAATTTACTATCGTAAGGTAACATATTAATTGTATATCGCTACAGAAAGTGATAGCAAAATATAATATCCTGAGCTATTATAATTCTAACCGCTACTTTGGATAGTACGTCCCAAATGATCACGCGCAAGATTCTTCAAAGATCGTTTATATGGTAAACCGCGACGATGAGGAAATACCAAAGCTGTGTCCACAATCTTTTCATGTATTAACTACAGTAACACGCGGAAAATTAGTAGTACTATCTTTCTCAAAATATAGGTCAACACACATATTATTTTATTGATTCTGTCGTCTTTCAATTATACTCTACTCACAGTCAAATAAACATTTACAGATACAATTATAAGCTAAAAACAAGATATTACCTTTAACACTAATAAGTCATGTTCGAGTCCATGGCCTACAAGTATAGTATCCCCATTAATGTAGCTCAAGAGCGTTGCTTGAACGTCGCGTAAGGTAACGTTAATGCCTTCCATGTCACTTTCCGTAACGCCACTAAATCTAAAGTAAAAAGTTTTTATGTTATGAAATTATATACCTATCGGACGTATTAATATGAAAAATCTTAATTACTGTAAACTATTTGAAGGCAACTCGAAATTATCGTAAACAAACTTTTCAATAAAATAATCAATCGAGGTAAAGATCTTCGAAGGTAGTCTTAAAAACAAAGAGTTACTGCTAACCTTGTATTATAATCAATAACTCTCCCTGATGGTTTTACTAAAGTATCGCAGATTATTTTGATATTATGATCTATCAAAGTTATACGACATAGTTCCATTCCATTAGAGGTGTAACACTGTATAATAAAGATAATTATTTTAATATATAAGCAATTTCTCTTAAAAGTGTTATTAGAAGCACCCTCGATAGTAATAAGAGAGAGTTAGCATGTTTGAACTCATACTTGTACAGCGATCATTTACTGTAATCATTTACCATTTCGCAATCTAATGCGTAAACTCCAATTCCTGCTGTTATCGAAGAAGCAGTAGTAACATATCCGGACGACATGTCTCCATAATATCGAAACACATGATTCTAAACGATACAGATTGTACAACATTACCGCTAGTTTCTTATTTTTATTGACAGAAGAGTAATAATAATAACAGTAAATAACGATAGGATACTTAATAACCTACCTTATAAGTAGTACAACCAGTTCTTCCTACTAGTTGACCGCAACAGCTATATGCACGCTCATTGAAATAACCATTCCAACCTCCAAAATACTTAAATCTTAGGATAAATACTAATTCGATTTATGGTATTAGATACGTATATTACCTCTCTTAGTAATAATTCTACCGTAATGAAACACGCATTGATCTTCATGAACTTGCATGCCATCTTTTGAAAGGTAGAACGTCTTCTCACAACGATTACATTTGCACAATCGATCTTGTTTAGTGTATAATTTTAAAATATTACATCATTCATAACGTAAGATTTCTAGCACTTCATGCTCGTACTCTAGTATTTAGGCCAAAAAAGTCGTTTATTACATATTACAGTTTACAATAAAAATTTACCGCCATTCCTTTGGATTACAGGTGCTAGGTACTTTTCTTGTACGCTAGGTATAGAAGTAGCTCCAGTTTTTCCAGGTACCGGTAATGGATACGCGTTTCTTCGTAGACTATCAATATTAGCTATATAATTTTTTAAACCTTCGTAATACTCTAAAGAAATTGAATAATTGATCGATTAACAAAGAAATTTTACTTATTAGAAGAGTATTTAGTCATCTTAATTAATCGTAATTATAAATGAGTGTAGATAACTGTATACCTGCGAGATCATTCTTTGTAGATTTAGATTCAGTACTCGACTAGTAAATTTAATCAAAATAAGGCGTAAATATTAGTCGTTTAGGAGCCCTTTTTAATTGATTCACTTTTTAGACGGACGTATTTTAAAAAGAATTACGCATACTTTAATCAGAAAAAGCTTAGCAAGAATTAAAGTTTTATTTGGGCAGGTTTTTAACCTTATGTATGTATGCATGTAAGGGTTTTGTATGGAAAGCAGAAAGCACGATTTTGAAATGGGTAGCTACACGTAATGTGAAATCGATACTTATTAACAAATGATTTATTAAGAATAAGTATAAGTTGTCGGTTCAAACATATATAGAGTAAACGATGACGTAATGTAATTATAAGTTCACAATAACTTACAGAATAATAATACGACGAAAGAAAATTACATTAAACAAAGAATAATTTATCGTTAGTAAGGTATATTCTATCTTAATCGGTCATCTAACAAAAGCATTGTTAATTAATCGAATAAGTAGAGCGATTAGACAAAGCTTACTCTGACTAATTAGGTGCAAACTTGAAGACACAAAAAATTAGATTTGCTGCCTATTTTACTAAAAGTAATCAAGGCGTATATCGTCAAATATTTAAAATATTTCTCCTATACGACTGTAATAATGTATCATTATTCTCATTATTATTATATATTAATTTCTATTTTCTATACGCATATAAATATGTATTTTTTAATTTTAGTGTATGTGCGTATAGATCTCGCTATTCTGCAATATTTTCATTATTATATTTAATCTCTATTTTCTATACGCGTATAAATGTGTATTTTTTAGTTCTAACGAACACATGTGTTACGACTATTTCTAATATCTTTTTTAGTTATAATTCATAGATGTACATTATTGCTAGATATCAAATTATAACGTCAACATCAAAACGTGTTATCTGTGGCCTATACTGCGGAAGTGATTATCAAATGTAGTTGAATAGGCTACCAGATATGTGTACTGTATATGCTTTACGTATATTTTTATGCTGCTTTAGTGAATGAGGCTACCTTTACTTACACGCATAAAATCTCGGTCTTTATCGTATTTATCCATCGATATAGGAAGGTTTTTCTGTACGCTTTGAATAAAGTAAGCGATATGACAGTACGTTAGATTTGAAATGAGCCCTGTTTGTGATAGAAGAGGAATGATTTAAAGAAAACTTATAACATATATTAGCGTATACTAAACTATTAAGATAGACAAATAATTTGGAAATCTTACTTACGCTATCGGTCGAAATTTCCTCAATTATGGGTGTACACTGTAATTTATATAAACTACCGATACAATGGTTTTATCTCTATTGCCTATATAGGTAATTCAATAACATCATTTGCATATTCTGCATGTTACTTTGATTAGATTTCAGCAACAGGCGATCAGGGTTGGAAGCCAATAGAGTACAATCGGAAACTAATTTTCCAGACAATAGAATGTCTGATCGTGAAAGGTAGAATAGAAAGTAATTTTTCAGTTGCCCGTTACAATAACAATAACTAAATGACTCTATAGCCTATATATAACAGTAGAACTTTAACAGATTGAATGGAGTTTATTTGTTTATTTTTATGCAGGAAGGGTTTTCTAGTTTCTAGGGTAAGATTTCGTATACTGTACGCCATTGCATCTAGGACTTTTAATCGGAAGAGAGAATAGCCAACCCGGTATTGACTGTTGTACTTTGGTTCACCGTATTGAACAGCTTAGTGTACGGTTACAAATGTACACTATACTACTGTTAAAATGACAAGCAAAATAGTCAGCCGCCATATTCTAGTGTTGTATAGTGAACGGTCGTTTCTCTTTTTTTCTAACACTAGTCAGTACTTTCTATTTGATGAGTTCGTTCACTAGCAGAAACAATCAAGCTAATTAGCTTTACTGATCATTTTGCTATACAGTACAGTACAACTCCAACCGTACACCATGCTGTAGAAAGTTAACCTAGATGACAGTTGTATATAGGAAATCTTTCCTTCTTTTAGTAGTATCAAAAGATATCCACAACTACATGTAAAGTAACCACGTTTTGATCTGAAATATCCAGGCACACATTATACTTGGTATTGCGGCCATATTCTTTAATTAATTAAAGCTATGTATGTTGAACAAGTATGCGCATCATAAACGCCTACCGTGAACTACAATGTTATACTATACCTAACAATGTGTTTGATGGCTTCACTAATAAAGTATCGTAGACGACATTATTATTTATTAAGGTTACACGGTATAGTTATTTCTTTTTCTTTTTTCCGTGGAACGGATTTCTAATTTCTAGAGTACAGACTTGGGTATGTGACTGCTGAAATCGATATTATGTTACTGACGAGGAAAGTAATAATTTGTGAAATAAAGATTATGGCAATGTACATGTTTGTATAATTAAATTACTTAAATTGAGTATCTCGTACGATCTCTCCACTGTTCGTTATTGATTACACATGCAAAATATAAGCACAGTTTTATTAGGGAAACATTCCACAAGTATGTACAGAAGATGTTGAAGTGGTATCACAGCAATGATTACAGTATGAATATCATCAATGGATACATCTTATATGGACTTAAATGAAGGATGAAACATAGTTGTTTCTTGATCTGGTCTTGGCGGTTGTAGAGGTGTTACTGTCGATAGGACCATTCTCGCGTAATCTGATTTTAGGAGACCAGCTGTTCGCAATGCTGCCTCTACTTTATAACGAGGATCGGATAAAATCTGGCAAATTAAAGTGTGATAGTGTTATTGATGGTATTCTTTCGTTTATCAAATAATAAACAGTAGAAATAAGTAGATCCATATTTTAAAACTAGAAATTACTTTATCATCCGTATAGCCATAAACTGAAAATATTGGATCTTGAAGTTCGGATTCTTGTTGTGCATATGCTGTCTTAGCATTATAGGCCTGAAAGGGTCAAAAATACATTTTAATAATCTGGAATTATGGTAGTGTATCAGGAAGTTGCAATAGCTCCTGAAATCAAATCAAATTTTGCATTATATGATTACCTCAGTAGGCTGCAATAAGCGCAGTGGATCATTTTCTACATGGACTTCAACCTACGTGTAGATTGTTGGTTAAACGAAAACTTTTTACCATCTTTTATTCGATAAACGTAAATCGATTCTTTTAGCGATACTATACAGTTTAAATTTTATTCGCTCCATCTACATAATCGTGAAATGGCTTGTTCATCCTATTTACTCTTCAGATAGAGTTATGCGTGTGTATTGCAAATAAAGAGTAATGAATACGGTACCTTCTGTCGAAGCCTATCCAGTCTTGCCTCTTTCTCAATTTCTTGCCTAATAACCTCTTCTTTAGCTAAACGCCTGTCTTCTATTTTCTTTCGATGCTCTTCCTTACGATACTCAATTCTTTCATGATGTAGTTAATAGAAATAAAAACTTATCGATAACGAAACATACTATTACCACTCAATTTTTAATTCCTAAAGAGTAGAACCATCAAAATCATTTAACTACCTAGCTTTATCCTTTACTGCTTGTTCAGCCAAAATCTTTCTTAATTCAGTTAATCTCATTTTATCAGCTTCCTCTTGCTCTCGACGTTTTTTTTCTAAATCTTTCTTATAAGCAGTTACCTATATCATATAGCGAATAGTTTAGACATGTAGTAATTAGTTTTTAATTTGCGATTTACAATGTGGCTAAATTAAGCCAATGCTATAAATATTGTTATGATTAGTATACAGTACAGTTAAAAATCGAATATTTTCTTAAAATTACTTTATCCTTGGCAGCTAAGCGTTTTCTTTGTTCTTGTTCTACTTCAGCTGCAAGTTTAGCGGCTTCATTCTCCCTTAATTTCGTAGCCATTTCTTCTTCTAATTTTAGCAGCTCTAATTTTTGTTCACGCCATATCGTAACCTTAAGCCATGTCACGAAAGATAAGTAATTGATTTACGATCGATCAATTGGGTGGTATATTCTCACCAGCAATCACTAGCAATGCTATCACAGATTAATAGGATTAATTTTTATAGAAACGAGAGTTTAATTAGTTATACAAACTTTTTGGTGTAATTCTTGACAAAGACGTTCTTGCTGTCTTATTGCCACTTCCTTGGCTTTAATTACTTCATTATTTGACCAAGCATCAGCTAGTAGAGCTTTGCTTTTAATTAATAATTCATTACGCGATCGAGACCAGCTATGTAGCAGTTCAGTTCGCCGTTCATGATACCAGTTATATTCGATCCACCAACGCTCATGTTTATCCTATAATACGTATACAAGGAAATAATAAAATTTAAGATAGTATTTATTGCGCCTATACTGCAGTTCAATTTAGCACAGCTAGTGCAATTTTCTTACAAATTCTAAAACGGATATAGTCGGTAACTGACGCTTTATCCGATCTAGGAGCAACTTTCTTCTATTTCTCATGGTTGTCGGATATTGCTCTCGAAGCATTACGAATTGCAAGTGATTCTCTTCTGACCAATCGCCTAACCTTGATCTAGACGGTAAGCGAAGAGAATTAACAAGAGTGTTTAGACGTTATATCGTGCACATAATTTACTACTGTAATCTTAAAATTTCCTAATAGATACGAACTTTAAAATTTGCTGATGTTGTTCCTTTAATTGGTTTAATCGCTCTTTGTACTGGTTGTCTAGGCTTAAGAATTCTTGTAAAATTGCCTCTTTTAAGCTCTTATTTGGCCATTCCATAAGCATAGCTTCTTCAGGTATTCCGATATCGGAATACTGATCTACAAAATCAATCAATCAAGGTTATAACTACAACATATGCTAACGTACCGTAGATACCAGTATTAGCAAGAAGTTTCATACTAATATTTATCTATGAAATAGGATTTAAATCTCATACTTTTTACATCAGGCGCTTCAGCAGATTCTGATGGCATTTTTAATTCTAATTGTATCATTTCTTGTTCATGTTGTAAGCTTTGAGAGGTTTCTTTTGCTTGTAGTTTTATTCTAATAAGCTCTTTACGTAAAGGCTCTAATAAATCTTAATAATTTAAATGAAGGACCAGATTAAGCAGCATTATTTCTTGATTATATTTTTACTGTCACTTTATTCATCTTAGATAGTAAATCTATTTTAATATAAAATACCTGAATGATTTAGATTATCAGATTGGTTTGAAAGCTTCTCAATGCAATGCTTGACATTAGCGTTTAAATGATAGATCGGTGAAATATAGTCATCCTTAAATTCTTTGATTGATTTTGTTGATTCAGTCTTAAGTTCCTCAGTTTCTTTAGAATAATTGGCGAAAGCACTAAAGAAGGCATTTTAACTTTAACTTTATTCATTCCAAGACTAATGCCAAAGAATAATGCGGTATCACGATAGAGATTTAGGTCTTTAAACTGCTAACCTATTTTTTGAGACATCAGACCAAGCAATTTCTACCTCGATTTGAAGGCGTTTCCTTTCTTTCTCTAAGTGATGATAATACTCTACCCAAAATCGCTGATGTTTTTGTAATAAATTTCTATCCTTATGCTCTAATTTTTTCTTTTTAAATTCCGATAATTTTTGTAACTCTCTGTTTGCGTTATTCTTTTTTCTTTCAGTTATTTGGAGCAATTTTTCATAGTTAACCGGTTTATATTTCATACTACCTTGTCCGAGTAAAAGGATTTTCTTAGCTAGTGTATCTAAAATTAGAATAAAAGTCAAATATGGAAAGGCTTTAAGCTATACCTGTATTCAAAACTGACTCTTAATAAAATATACGATAGTGTTGATTGTACCTTCATCGCTTGATCTAGCACTTGCAACGAAAGCTTTAAAATCTCTACCGCTCATCTTTTCTTCAATTGTATCTTTACGTATTTACGACTTTCTTGTATTGATACTATCACGATCTTGAACGAATGACGGTAATAACTATGAATAATAGTTGTGGGAATGCGAGTATCAGCTAATTAAGGATAACTGATGAGCAGATTGATGCTTTCCATTTAAATTTACAGCAAAGTCAATCAATAAGTACAGTAGTAGAGAAGATTCTATTACAAGATGCCTAAATGGCAAGCAGATAGTGACCGGATGAACTAATTAAGAGTAGGAATGAACTATCTAGTTACAGATGTGTACGTTAGTAGCCAATCACTCGGTTTATTTCATCTGCAATCCAAGTATAGAACAATCAGTAATAAAAATTACAATTTTCTATCATATTTCAGGATGACTCTGCTAGAACCATCCCATCCGTACTTTGCTTTACAATTTCATGATCACGACTTTCTAATAAATACTATCAATTTAATGGTATCATACTTTAATAGTTGGAAAAATTAAGATTCGTATTATTTCGAAGGTAGTAGAGATAGCAGATATAGTATTTGTTCGTTTTAAATAAATATAACATATACTAATTCCTATTTAACTTGATCAGCCTTACTAAAGATAGCTTTAGCTATAAATAAGCGTATTAAAAATTTTGTCTTCCATTTGATTAGTATAACTTACACACCTTCGCGAACTACGACAAAGAAGATAATATTATAATACTGCATTAATAATATAACATTACCTAAATTTCACTTATAATTCTTGATGATAGAAATTAGACTAAATATCAGAGGTGGGCTAACTATAAACATTAATGATAGTGCCTTCAAAATGGATGACTGTGTCAAAATCTATAGCTTGACGTGCACTATCGATATCTGGACTATAAATCTTAGTATGATGATCATCATTTTACATGTAGTAGAAATTGACTAACCGTTTGATTCGATCATTCCTGTCGATCTGGAAATGTTTCTTAGGGCTTAGCTTGTAGCTTTATGTTGAATCAAGATGATATTTGGCATCATCGAAGGATTAGACTGTTAATCGCTAGTATTATACCCAATTTTTTAACACTTATAGTGATATATCATTGAATGAAAATTATCTAATTCTATCAATGGCCTAGGATAAGCACGATCGAGATCTTCATGTGATGTTATCCTCCACTTGTAATGATATTTAGCATCGTCAATGGTTTGGACCGTTAACATTAACGTTATATATTATTTCTAATCTATATTCTATTTTCTAACTAAAACCATACTATAATTCTTGTTATATTGTTAAACAGCAATTCTATCGATGGTCTTATGTAAGTACAGTTGAGATCTTGATCTTGTCGTCTAATTATGATGATATTTGGCACCGTCAATAGATTGGACCGTTAACTACTAGTATTGTCTATTAATTCCAAATCAAATTCTATAACTAATTAATTCTTGTTGTCATCATATCATTGAATAAAAATTACTTTATATTGACGGTCTTCTAGGATTACGATTAAGGTCTTCGTACGGTAGTACTGGTCATGTTTAGGTACTTATGCTCTACTAGATACCCGTAAATAGTCGACATACAAGCTAAGCACTAGTTTTATTTCACATGGTTATTATCTAGTTATCGTAGATCATCTTTGAGTATCAGTGGTATCTAGTCATTGGTCTTGTTTTACTTTTGTATCAATGCCCTATCCGTTTGGGTAGAGTTTACAGTGTTGCAGCTTCAAACTTTTCTCATTTGATATATAATACAGTTCTATAGATAAATTGATCCTGTTTGAGTATGTCTACTATATTGGCCCTTTATCCACTTGGGTTGGCATAGAGTTGCAGATATTTTATTTTATATCTTCTAGTACTACTAGATAGAAGAATTAATTTTTCTGCCAATTTATCAACTACTGTC